ATGACTAAACGCTAAGTGCCCGAGGTGTCGAGATGTGGAAAGCACTTCTGCAGCACCTTCAAGGTCTAGAGACACTTGTGAGTGTACTGTACACTTGCCCTTGCTAATACCCCCCTCCACGTGTGCACACCAACATATGAAAGCCTTCCAGCTGGCACCACACACCCATACTTGGCAGGTTGGGAGAAACACGAGAATTAAACCTATATGGCCCCAGCTACCAGTTCTCAAATATCAGTGGAGTCCAGCACTTCACCAGGGACTGACGACAGGGAAGCGTGTCAATGGGACAGAAAGCTCCTTCTGGCATGACTCCACTCAACCGCTCTGCTCGCTGCTATTACAGGAGGGAAGTTTTTCAAAAGGAAGGCGGTACAAGTGATCCAGTGAGGAAGGGAGCCGTCTAATAGCTGGATCAGAGAGTGATGGTTTGGCAGTTGTGGCAGGTACCGGTATTTGGTAACTGGGGCCAGGGAAAAAAACTTTCTTTAAACAGGAAGAAACCTTGAGCAGACGGGTAGAAAACCATCTGCCTTGACGGGTTCAGATAAAAGATTTAAAAGTTGGATTTAGGGCATCTGTTTTTTTAGCTACACCTAGCTGATACTTGGACACTCCAAAGCCACAGTCCAGCAGCAAAATGTTTCTTCATAAGGGTTATGATGTTTAATGTTGTTGAGGCTGCTCTAAAGGTGTCACTTAGGCTATGTTCACACTGCAGGTCAGTTCTGATTTTTAACCATATGTGACAAATATCAGATTTTTTCATGTAAGTGTGAACAGTGCAATTCTCATTTTTTTCAAATCTGACCCAGGCCTCTTTTGTATGTCAATTTAAATCAGATATGAATCCAATGTAACTGCCGTGTGGACGCACAGGTTGCGTTCATCCGACCTATACGTCATCAATATGCGACAAACACCACCATTGTTCGACAACACAAACAGGCGCGAAAAGCAACACCAGACGAGGGAAAGGAAAACAGCCAGCCAACATGCTTTGTGCACATGCGGGTCACTTCACGGACGCATTCCGTTCACATTAGATGCCGCATTCGTTGTTGTAATGTAAACAACCACATAAAAAAAAATCGCAAAAATCCAAATTGTGTATCATAACTTGCAGTGTGAATGTAGCCTTACATTTAGAGATTGTATCATAGGTTTTTTGATGGGTGTATTTTGTGTCCTAGTCAGGACCCGTCTCTGTTTTCAGTTTTGAGGCAAACACACTTACTCTGACGTCGAATTTAACACACACAGAGCAACATGAATGACACAAATTTTCATCCAGTTTGGGGGGATAACTGAATAAACCTATTTTTACAAAGTGTCTTTTCTCTAGATTGACAAAGTGGTTCCTCTTTTCTAATCCAGTCATGTTCGTACTTCAGTTCTGTCGTATTATGATCTCATTTATTCTGCCTTTTGACTATCTCCCCTCGTGAACTGCTTCAATGGACATTGCAAACAAAGGCTGTTTTAACAGTCTGTTGTTAATTGCTTCATCAACATCTTAATGGCTGCAGTTAGAGGTTAGAGAAATGACTTTAGGGATGAAGTCGGCTCCTTTTATGGGTAAAATAGAGGCACTAACATTGATTTCAGCCAGTGTTATCACTGGTAAAAAACTCCTCACATTAGCTTTAAAGAAAATAAAATACGTCCCACATTAATGTTGACTTTATTTCCAGGTATTTGAATGTGTTATCCACAGACAGTTAGTGATTGATGCTGAAACAACTTGTATTTTTTCGAGTTTGTGTCTAACTTGTTATTCAGTGGTTAAATTCTTAAGTAAAATAGTTGTTATCCTTAAATTATCCTTATCATTTCAGCTATTGTTAAGTATAACAAAAGTCTCTCCTTATTTTTCTGTATCTCACAGCTCATATTGTGCATAGAGTAAACAAGTATTAGAAGTTGGTACTCTCTTTTAAAGTTACTAGTTATATTGCTAGCAGGTTAACAAACCTCAGCTGAACTTTCCTCAAACCCTCTCCTGCTGTCTTTTCACATTTCCTCCGACTGAAGCAAGTGACAGCTTGTCCACAAACCCAAGGCAGCCTAACTAGAAATAGGAATATCCGCTCCTCTACAGTGATAGAGCAGCTCTGATGGCTCCTTTATTATGGAAAATTATTTTAAACAGCATAAAACGGCTGGGTCTCATTTTTTCTGTGTTTCTGCCACTATCACTCCAGCTATTGATAAGATGTCTAAATTTATTGCAGAATAATTCTGCAGGAAAAGAGATAAAAGGTTGCTGAATAAAATATGAGGCGAAGGCTGTAAATTGTAGCAATGCATATCATTTCATTCAAATGTAGGACGCAATTACCATCTGCTACACTCATCAGTCCCCTCCTTTATGACTTAATTATATGTTTAATGCTATCAGATCAAGGAAAGGGCAAAACAGATGAATGAGAGAGAAAGAGAAAAGATTCAGCAACAAGACAAAAGGCAGATGAAAAGTAACATGAAAGGATGGAATTGATTTCATTCACCAGGAAATAGAAAAAGTTAATTTAGATACAATGTTCCCTCATCTCCTGCGCCTTTGTAAGATAATAAACGCAGCATGTTGCCAATAAGGCTCATAGCAGACACACAAAAGAAGTCAAGTTCCTCCAAACTGAGCGTTTCTTGGCGTAATTTTGAGTTGACGCCAAGTTTGTCAAAGATCATTTCAGTTATTTCAGACTAGGATATCACTGCATTTACCTCCTATCAAGAGGATAGTGACACCTGATCTTTTTTTACTCATCCTTTATATTGTGTTTAGCTCATTTTTGTGCTTTCTTTCAACAGCATGAAACCAAATGTATAGTGTTGTCCTCTGTTGTAGTCGGTTTTGTCTCTGTCCTTTGCAAAAACTTTACAATTCTGAAACTTTTTGTTTGGATGCAGATCGTGTGCAGCAGCGTTCACAAAGAAAACCAGGCCTGTCCAAATGGCTGTGGGCTAAAAAGCTAGCCAGTGGGCATCCCAGGTGCCAGCGGGCACTGTCCTAACTGTGTACCTTTGGCCAGAACTCATTATAGGGTGACATTTAGGACTGCTGCTGTCCATGCCAAGTCAGCCCTCTGGATTGAGACAAATTATGTAGTTATTTTTTATGTCAGACATTAAGCCATGTGCAGGGGGAGCCAAATCAGTATCACCTTCATATCACCTGGACTAAAAAAAGATTAAAAGGCTGTGGACTTCTTATAAAGGGGTGATGCTCTGCACATTTGGTGAAATATTTTGGTTGATGAAATGAGGTTTGATTCAATTAAGGCCAGATTTTAGGGGCAGGATTGACAACAGTAGAAGGAAATGTTTAAAATAAGCAGCTAATTTAATTGTTTTTTTCAAGCTATTTTTTCCCCATTCATTGTTAGTACTACTGTGACTGACTGGAGCAAAAGACCATCTTGTTTGGCTTTTTTTAATCCTTTTTCTCAGTTTTGAAACCTCAAAAAGTGAAATAAAGCCCTGTCATATACGGTGAATCATCCGTACAGAAGGTGGAACCGTTTCCTTTTCTTGTTGTAAATTACTTCTTGAATAAGAAAATAAAATTACCCAATAAGTCAACTTTTTGTGACGTCTTTCCAAAGTATCATAGGAAAACAATATCTCACTTTAATCATGATTGAAAATAATACATCTGAATCACAGCATAGAAGATTTTAATGATTTTCATAGCTCTGCACCAACTTTTAGCATCAGTTTAGATCATGAAAAAATCAATGCCACATTTCTAAACTGTAAAATCTTGATTTATAATATGAATTGAACTTATAGGTGTATTTGAAGTGAAACAGGAGCCCTCACAGCCGCAGATTTCTCCATCGTGTCAAGTCACCGGCATCCCATCAAACAGAGGACGCATGAACAGAACTAAAGCACCATCTTGTGGACCAAAACAAGTACAACAAAGAGGCGCTCTCATGAGAAGCTTGAATAATGTTCTCAAAATGATGAAAGTTATATAAAATAATATGTTAATAGAAGAAAAACAAAAGACGCTGATTCAGTAGAGTTATAAAGAAGCATTATGTGTGGGAGAAAAGAGTCAAATCTGCACTAAAGGAATCATTAAACATTTTATAGTTATCTCATTAAGTGGGAGAAACATTTACGGTTTGAAGATCCCATGAAAGCATCAGAGGACACGAGCAGCTCCGACGTTCATTAGCAGCAGATGTATTTGCTTGCAGGTATCTCACACAAAATGAAATGAATCAAAGCTCTGTATTATTGACCAAATTACAGTTAATTGCTCATTTGATGTATTCGGAGTAAAGCGTTTGTATGATGCATATGCTCTGGATATTTTCCACACAAACTTCAGGATGTAACAAACAAGAAGAAATAGGATGTAATTGATTATAAGTTAATTGTGCAAAGGTCCCCCTGATGGGAACCATCTGTCAAAACAAGCCCAACATTCACTAATTCTAATCATAATTAATTAAACGGCTAACAAATTACATACATCATAGTTAGTACAGGAGGGAAACTACCGCAGGAAGTGTTATGAAACAAATTATCTTTAACAATGAAAGAAAATTACATCACATAACTAAATATTATACTCGTTTCCGCGAGCCATATTTCTTAATGAATTCTCTAATTAATTTAATTCACACAATGTGCATAATTTGAAGCTGGAAATGTCAGTGGGTCAGACTTAACCATATTGTTGCCGGCTGTCTATTTCAACGAGCACCATATTAGCACAACATGACCTCTATGTAAATTACACACACCAACTGTTGTCATTTTAATTCCAGGGTCTAATTAACATGTTCTAAAGATATCTTACAAGTGCATTTAGCTCCTTTACACACACCGGTGTCACTGCCAGATTTCCACTCGCCTTAATTTTGTCTAATGCCTTTGAAGGGATATGTTATGACAGCTTATTTTACAGATGTCAATTATGACAAAAGGCTGATGTTGTTTTCTCATGCTTTCAGTGTTTAGTGCTGAACTTTCAAGTCAGGGTGACTCATCACTCTCAAAACTGGAGACTAACTCTCCAGACACTATGACTGAGCTCTTTCAAACAGCACTTTTCTGAGTATCGCTAATAGACGAGGGCAGAAGATACATATATCATTCTCCATCTTAGGGCCAGCAGGCTTTATTAATAGAAGAATTAGTAGATATTAGGTCAAAAGATGGCGCAGAGGGCGGAATAATAAATCCTGGTTCTCTATATTAAAGAAGAACAAGTGCGGGATAGCTAATGCTTTCATATCAGGAACATTTTCCTACAAAGAGCGGGTCAAAGCACATAATCTTAAGTAAACTGTTGAATCCCGAAGAACTAATAGGTATCGCATCAAACATTAGATATCATTGTTCTAAAGGGCTGCTTATTATGAGTTAACCTGCTGGTTATCAATGTTAACATTTGCCTTTGAAATGTCATCAAATAGTGAAAAATGAAGATTAATTTGTCACCTCAACATAAAATAACCACAAGATGCTCAACTCCACATGATCCATGATAAAGAAATTCATTTAAATCATTCATTTGTGAAAGTTATTGGAGTCTACAGTTTTATTAATCAACTAATAATTTGGTGTAAGCAACACACACACACACACACACACACACCTGTATTTTTCTCATAGTTTCATGCAAGGTCACAATACCACAGATGAAATCCTGCATAACTATAAGCAGTCATTTACTTTCTTACCACATGTTCAGCCAGCTCTGTCTTACTTGTGTTTTTTCCTAACCATGTTTCGGTTCTGTTACCAGGAAAAAAACAATCAAATTTACCAAATGATGCCATCATGAGTGTGAATGCAGAATTGGATGAATAAATGAATAAATTTCCCAGTGCATGGAACATATAAGCTAACACATGCATTGCAGGGCTCAGGGGCTATCCCGAGGCCAATCATTTAGCTAACACACTAATGAAAGCGTGTGTAGTGTGGCTAAGGGCAGCCGCCATGGGAGGTACCACTCCCCTCCCTCCTCTTATTGGGGGGCTGTTAATAGGCTGGATGGAGCCAATGGGAATCCCAGGAGAGGAGTACTGATGAAGAGGGAAACCTGTGGTCGCCTTATAATCACTGCCTAATGGCTGCGGGAACACGGCTTTTACAAAAGGGATTGTGCATGTGAGCCTTATATGTGTGTGTGAAACATACTGATTTTTTAGGTAATAAGCAGCAGAGTCTCAGTATTAAAAATAAATTGTGTTTCATAGTATGTGCATTTTTTTCTGTCAAATATTTTATAAAAGATATTGTCATTCAACAACACCAGAACAGAGCAAATAACAACCAGGACTTTATGGTTTGTTCCTTATTTAAAAGTACAGAAGAAAAAAAAGTCAAAAAATGCTATTAATTTAAATGTTTAATCACTTTTAAAGTGGCTTAGATATATCTAATCAAGAAAATATGTACTTAAAAAGCAAATAAATTAACCTGCTTTATCAGTATGTTCATGTAAAGTACTTAAATTAACAGTTTTAATCATTAATTGGGTGGTTTTAATCACTCTTTAAGTAAAACTTTCCACCCACTTTATTGTTTTGGTATTTTAAAGTGTAACTGAGCCAACTGGATATTTTTAAAGAGCAGCATGTACAATTTAGTGGCATTTACAGGTCTCATCCTAGGAAACAAATACACACCAATTCCTGTGTTTTTAGGCCTTTATAGTGAAAAAATGATGTTTGTGAATATTATTTTCCATGTTTGTCAAATAATGTTCCAAAATATTAGCCATCAGTTCCCTAAAGGTGTTAGATGGGCTTTAGGAAAACTGTTTTATCTTAACTGTGAAACTTTAACTACGGGTCACTTAAAGCTCATAATAAATTGTATTTGTCAAGTGAAAGAAAAGCTTATGTTCCCACTATGGCCTTGCATTTACTAAGTCTATCATCAAAGCTATAGGAAGAGTGGCAAACAGTGGTTTCTAAATTATCTTTCACTTTATCTTTATGAGGCAGAAACTTGCAGTAGTCAGGTTTTAACAGTCCTGCGTCTTCACGGTTTTGTCTTACAAGATTCAAGCAAACATTTGCTCCTAGAGTGTTTTTGCTCCATGGGAATCAGATAAATCTCAGCAGTGAATCAGGTTAAACCACATTTCTTCGATTCTCAGCCAAAGGTGTGTCATGTGTCTCTTGATCAGGTGAAGCTTGTAGCCTATTAGAGGATGAAGTACGCCTCAGGTCTGACAGGTCTATGAAACGTCGGGTAGACCTTCCTTCATTCAATGAACAAAGAAAAAATATAATTAAAGCTTTCCCTTAATCCAAGTCAGCGAAGTTCCACAACTATTGTCTGCAGGAGCCATTTCCGGTCTGGACCTACAAAGTAAAGGTTTTGTTGTGTTAAATTTGCTGCTGTGATTAATGTGTTCAAACCGTCGACTGTGTATAGGTATAGGTATAGTATATTTTGAAATGCATTTTGTGGTCGGAACACATTTAACATTTTTGCCAAGGGAAGATATAATCTGATTTTTAATGGACTTTATTTTGTCATTCAATGGGCCTGTTTCATTTGACTAAAAGCTCTTATGGAGAACTTTCAAAGTGGAATGCAGCTGACTTTTAGAGATCATTTGTGACATCTATTGTGAGTATTTTAAGTGGAAATTGTAAAAATGGGGCTGTTTCTCCAGCTGTTCAAACAACACCTACCCCCCACACTATGGTTTAAAGTATTAGAAGTAAGGATAAACAAATGATCAGTAATGTTGCTGGTGGTCTTTTTTGCTTTTGGATATCAATGAAAGGCATCAGTGTGAGTTTCAATCTATTTCACGGATGTTAAAAAAAACTTCTCATTGGCGCTTTCAGGAAAAACGAAGGTTTGGCAGCCATATGACAAAGTTGTGGTGGACCTGTTATAAATGTTGAAGTAATAATACAACTGGATTACAAATTAGGCTTAAATTGGGTGGGGGTGGAGGGGTGCATATGCACTCCTTAAAAAAGTTATTCTAATCCTTCATAGCTACCCCAACTTCAACCCTGAACAGCTGCCATGATTAACGTGATCTTTTGGCACTAATAATTCAGGGTTCATATCAGTCTGAATTGTGGACAACTCATGTCTTATTCAGGATCCAGTTTAAATGTCACAGCCCCATTATAGCTGCTCAGTTTGAGGAAGTTTTTAACAACTATAAAGTTTTTACTATCAGGTCCTGGTGGTGTATATGTAGAAAAGTACGGTGGATGAGAGCCGCCAGTGCTGCAAATAAAAAGAATGCAAAAAAAAATAAGTCACAACAGAAGTTACTGATGCACAAAAAAAAAAAGAAAGAACCCGAAGCCCAATGCAAATAAAAAAAGAAACGGTGCATATTTTTAAAGAAAAGCCACAATGGAAGTTAAGTTTTTATTTCATTACCTGAAACCAGCACTGTGCAGTAACGTTGTACACGGAGAATCGCCGAGAGTCGCAGTGATCACGCTTGGCTCAAACAGCTTATCCCCCCAGGTGACCTATGCAATCCCTGAACGCCCATAGGCTGTATCAGGTGTCAATCATAGAAAACATGAACCCCCTAATAACTTTTAAAAATGGAGCTTCAAAGACAAAAGAGGACAAACCAGTCTTACTGTAACTACACGTCAACATCGCAAGCAGGGGGGAGAAAAATTATGTTCTGTGTAATAAATTTCTAAAGTTTGTCCACAGCCTCATAAGCTTTGCTGGCGGAGGCGGGATTTATGACCTATACTGCAGCCCACCAACAGAGGGTGCTGTTGTCAGAGTGGCTTCATCCAGCAAGGAGGCAGATTCTGTCCATTCTATATACAGTCTATGGGCCTAACCAAATGACACGTTGAAAAGCACACATGCAAAATTAAACAATAACCTTTCCACTAACTTCTTTGTTTGTCTTCTTGCCGTGGTCTTCTGTGCCTAGATGGTAAAACACCGGTGCATCATCATTATGGGTTCCTGGCTGCTCACTTCTGTTTTGGCTTTTTTTTTTTTGCATTGTTTTATTTTCGCAATAAGTAACTTCTTTTTTTTTGTTTGTTTGTTTGTTTTTTTGCTTCGTTAACTTCCATTGTGTTTTTTTTTTTAAAATCTGCACCATTTCTTTTTTTATTTGCAGCAGGCTTCAGTGTCTTTTTTTTTCATCAGTAACTTCCATTGTGGCTTTTTTTTTTTTTTTTTTGGCATCCTTTTATTTTCACAGTCAGCAACTTCAGTAAGTAACTCCTTTTTTGCATTGTTAACTTCCAATGTGGCTTTTTTTTAATCTGCACAGTTTCTTTTTTTATTTGCAGCAGCCGGTTTCATCTTTTTTCTTTCATCAGTAACTTCTGTTGTGGCTTTTTTTTTTTTTTGCATCCATTTATTTTCACAGTAAGTAACTTCAGTAAGTAACCTCTCTTTTGCGTCGTTAACTTCCGTTGTGGCTTTTTTTTTGTAAATCTGCCTGTTTCTTTTTTGATTGCAGTGGGCTTTGGTTTCTTTATATATTTATTTATTTTTGCATCAGTAACTTCTGTTATGGCTTTTTTTTATTTTTTGCATCCTTTTATTCTCGGAGTAAGTAACTCCTTTTTTTTGCAACTGTTGTCGTTTTTTTTTTTTTTTTTTTATCCGCACCGTTGCTTTTTTTTAATTTGCAGCGGGCTTCGGTTTCTTTTTTTGTATCAGTAAATTCTGTTGTGCCTCCTTTTTTTTCATTCTTTTTTATTTGCAGCAGTGGTGGTTCTCGGCCACCGTAGCAAAGCTTTGTGATAAACCTCTCCCTGAACGTGTTTTTACTGCTCTTTTATTTTGAAGGCTCAGATCTGAACTTCCTTCGCTGATCTCGCTGTCTCATGCCTGCTTGCTGTCAGCTCCGCGTGGGCCGAAACTTCTCTGACAGTCTGTCCAATCAGAGTTTCGTGACAAGGTGGAAGTTGGCCGCTACGTACTCTTACAAACCCCTGTGTCAGTATGAGTTTTGCCGAAGACGTCTACAACTCTAGCAAAGTGTCTTGAAGGAATATGGTGATTTTTGCGGTTGAAAGATAATGTACCCCGGCGGTTGGAGATGAGTGGATTAGTACGGTTGGTATGTGGAGATAGATCTTTATCGTGGTGGTCTGCAGGAGTCAGAGCCTGCTGTATGTCTGACTGACAGCTGCTGTGTTTTAGTGTTAGCATGCCACGCAGGCAGCTAACTTCTCCAAAGAAAAGAAAACTTTTCCCACGACTTAGAAGTGGCCCATGCAGTCACGGTAGGAGACTTTGACATTATTTGTTCGTTCATGTAGATTTGTCTATTTTTAAGGTGAAAATGATGAAGGTTAGGAGATACTTGAGGGGGAGTGGGAGGGTCCTCGCGTTTGTGTTCATTGCCTCTGTCGTGTGGCTCCTGTTGGACATGGCAGCACTGCGTATATCAATAAACGACGTGAACGGACACATGCTGAAAGAGCAAGTTATAAGAGAGAGGCAGCTTTTCAAGCAGCAGTCCAGGGTGACACAGGCTTTAAAAAGAGGCTTTAAACACCCAGTTCAGAGGGTGGACTGGGCTGCTGCACAGGGAGGGACTGAACCACTCAATTCAAGTCAAAAACTAGCCCATGTATACAGAGGCAAGAAACGGGACCAAGAGGAGAAGAGGGTTAACCCTTTGCAGCACAAAGAAAATGCTCTACCAAAGACTGACAAACCTAAAGACATTGCTTCAGAGCAAAAAAAGGAAGCCACATCAAAGCAGGCTGATTCAGCAAAGAAAATAGCTGTAGATTTAGAGGTAAGTGGGCCAAAAGTAGAGAAAAGTACAGTCCTAGATGGCTCCAAGTTAAACAAAACCAAAGTGCCACCCGCTATTCAGGAAAAGATACATGCACCCCTACCAACCTCAAAGAAGGAGCCCATAAAAGATAAAGATGGAGTAAAACCTCATCCTGACAAAGCTGATTCAAGGGACAAAATCAAGGATGGACCTGAGATCAATACTGCAGCCAAAGCAAGTCAGCATCAGGCGGAAGAGTCGCACTCTTCAAAAGCAACACCTAAACCTTCACAGAAGGATGTGGAGGAGAAGAAGGAGAAACTGAAAGAAGAGGATAAACAGGCTAAGAAGGTTAGTGAAAGTGATAAGAAAGCAGAGAAGGAAACCCCAAAACCTACAATCAAAGTCCAAGAGGGGAAGACCGCTACAAAAGAAGTCAAAGTGATCAAGAAGGCTGGTCTCCACAAAGTGCTCGCTCTGGATATGACAAACGCTCCCAGAGATGCCCGTGCAGTCGGTCAGTTCGGTGTGGCAGCAAAGGCGGCCAGTTTGGACAATGTGGAGGTGAGGAAGAGATGGGATGAAGGGGATTTCAATGTTTACCTGAGTGACCAGATCCCAGTGGACCGAGCCATTCCGGACACCAGACCTGAGTCGTGAGTCTTTTTCTGCGTTTTATTTTCATTAGAATATTCTGATTGCAAAGCTGAGTTTTGATCATGCTTATTTTTGCCGTATTTTCCAGGTGTGCAAAGAATCTCGTCCACAACGACTTGCCATCCACCAGTGTGATTTTCTGTTTTGTGGATGAAGTGTGGTCCACACTTCTCCGCTCTGTGCACAGTGTGCTCAACAGATCTCCACCACACCTCCTCAAAGAGATCATTCTGGTCGATGATTTCAGCTCCAAAGGTAATCTTTGTTTTTCCCCAGGACAAAATCAGAAAAAAAGAGGATACCTTTAGATCTACAGGAGGGTCAGAGCAACACAAACTCAAGTTCACACTGGAGTTACTAAATTTGACAACTCATACACTAGAAGCAGATGAGTTGAGCTTCATACTATATCCACCCGTATTAGCATATACTGTAGTTATCAGCTTCAAGGTGTGGTTAACAAATAAACTACTTCAGGATCAACCCTGTCTTGAAATTACCTTTAATAAATATTTGCTTTCTCTCTGCTAGAACTTGTTACTCATGAGTGACGTTAATATCATTTCTGTGCATATAGTTTAGGGGATCATCATACATCATAATAAATTACTCCATTTTCCAACAGAGAATCTGAAGGAACAGCTGGATAAGTACATGTCACAGTTTCCTAAAGTGAGAATCGTTCGCCTGAAGGAGCGCCAGGGCCTGATCAGGGCCAGACTGGCTGGAGCTGCTGTAGCCAAAGGTAAGCACTGCAAAGATGGCGCTAACATGAATACATGGATGAAACACACAAAAGAAAAGGTGAAGACAGCAACAGATTTGAGATGAGATGAGATGAGATCATCTGCTCAGACTTTAAAATAGTCATTGTTGCTATGAAAGCACTTATGTGTGTGGGACCACTCCTGATGAGTCACCTACTGCTATTATTCAAATAACAACCAGGTTTTATAATTATGTTTGAGCTGGGCAAGATTTCAACACCCTTGAAATGACAAATGTAGGCTGTGCTGTTGTACAAGCTTTTAACTCATTGTTATACAGTATCATGCCTCTAAATGTAGGAGTTCAAGCACGGGTGCAAAAACACAAACATCTGCAGGCCTTTGATTTGGCAGATAGTTCAATGGAACTACAAAAGTTTGCAAATAGACTGAGTTGTGATAATCTGGAAACTTTCATATAGGGTTCCTACGCAAGTATGGAAAGTATGGAAATAAATTTGATCAATTTCCAGGTCTTAAAAAGTATGGAAAATGAAAAATAAAGTATGGGAAAATATTAATGTTTCCAGACTATCACCACAGTTTTAAAATACTGTTTTCTAAAATAGAAAAGTCGGTATTTCCAAAAATAATTTTAAAAAGTAGGGTATGGAAATTCTAGCTGCATAGGAACCCTGTTCATAACTAAGACCATAATGAGGGATTATTTACAGATTGTTAAAGTGGGAATGAAAATCCAGTTAGTTGAAATTGTGCTTTGAAAATAGAGCAGCGTTACTTTTCTGGAACCGTTAAGTGACACAGAAATGTGTATTTAAGGTAGTTCAAATAAGCAGAAAGTCTGCTTACCGGTTTGTAACGGAACTGCAAAGATTCAAGAGGATAAAATAGCTTCAGTCAAGATAAGTCACCATCCTGTTAACACAGTATTCAAACATGATTTGACTGTAAAATTTGTTATTTACATTCAAAAACAAACAACTCCCTACCAGAGACCTCATGTCACAGGCCATAAAGACTGCATTGATAATATCCAGATGTGTCTGTTTGTTTAACTGCAACAGGATGTTTGCTCTCCTCATAGGTGAGGTCCTTACCTTCCTTGACTCCCATGTTGAGTGTAACGTGGGTTGGCTGGAGCCACTTCTGGAGAGAGTCTACCTGGATCGCAAGACGGTGCCCTGTCCAGTAATTGAGATTATCAATGACAAGGACATGAGGTGACTCCACACGGCCGTATTTGAGTGATCACAGTGATTATGTGATTATGTTTTTCATGTTTCTTTTCTTGCTTTCCGTCCCCAGTTACATGTTTGTGGACAACTTCCAAAGAGGTATCTTCAGATGGCCACTGGTGTTTGGCTGGAGTCCAGTACCAGAGGAGTACATCAAGAAGAATAGCATGACTGTCGCCGATCCAATCAAGTACCTGACAGTTTGTTACTGTAGACTTTTTGACTTCTTATTGCTGCTGCTGCTTTTATTATTAATCTGTCTTTTCCTTCAGGTGTCCAGTCATGGCTGGAGGCCTTTTCTCCATAGACAAAAAGTACTTCTATGAGCTTGGCACTTACGACTCTGGCTTGGATGTGTGGGGTGGTGAGAACATGGAGATTTCATTTAAGGTATATCCCTCACACAGCTCATGTATAATTTGTACATAATTCCTACTCTATAGAACTTCTCTCTTACATGCTCCTTCATGAACAGATCTGGATGTGTGGAGGAAAAATTGAGATCATCCCCTGCTCCAGAGTTGGACATATCTACCGGGGAAAGAACCCCTACAAGTTCCCAAAAAACAGACAGAAGACGGTGGAGCGTAACCTTGCGAGGGTGGCTGAAGTCTGGCTGGACGAGTATAAGGATCTGTTCTACGGCCATGGCTACCACCACCTGCTAGATAAGAACTACGTCGACATTGGCAACCTCACAGAGCAGATTGAAATAAGGAAGAGGCTCAAGTGCAATAGCTTCAAGTGGTACCTGGAGAACGTGTATCCAGATATGGAAGCTCCCCTTGTGAAAGCTGAAGGCCTGGTATGTAGATGAGTAGATCTATCTAAAAGAAACATCTGTCGTACTCTCTCACCATGAAGTTTTTGTTGTCTCTGCTTGGAACATCTTTACCAAACATCCCAAACATAGGCTGTGATTGTGCGTCTTGGAAACAAAGAGTATTTGTACATGTAAGCCTGGGACAGCTTTCTGTAAACATTTTTATAATCTTTTTTTCTCTACAGGTATTTAACCGTGGAACAAGGAAATGTCTCTCTCTGCAGAACAACTCTCTTCTGTTTGAGACGTGTGATCTCAGTAAGCAGGTGGGTGTCTCATTTATTCAACGGATCATTCAGCTGCACAATAATAGCTCATGTTCCTAGATGTGTCTCTGAAAATGTGCACAAACCGAGGAATCTGGCCTCATGACGGTCTTGATTATGGGTGGGTATAACAAAAATATCCAGGAATAGAACGAGATCAGGATAAGGGCAGTCAAGACCTGGGCCATGATAAACAAGGGCGGAGTCCAAGACAAGACCAAAACTTTCTAAATGTGGTCCGGCTGGATCCAGTGCAGCTTTACTGTGCCGTCAATCAAAATCCTTCAGGTTTCATGCTCTATAATTACCTCCTCCTAACTCTTCACTCATTCTGGTTTAACAGAGTCAGCACTTTAATTACACCTGGATGAGGCTTGTTCAACACCGGGATCTATGCATGGCACCCCAGGCCAATGGTGAGGGCTTGACTTTAAAGCCCTGTGACAACACCAATCCTGAACTGCGATGGATCCATAAATCCTTCAACACCGCTATGGTAGGTTCACTTCAGATGTGCTGTTGTCTCTCTGTGTGCTGTCTTTGTCTTTCTGTCCTTTGTGTACTGTCTGTTTCAGTGTCTCTGTAAGACATAGTTCCCCTACCTCACCAGAGCCATGACCACACTGGACCCTATTATGCACTAACCCACATCCCCACCCCATTAACTCACACACACACCCATTGTCTGGTGCATTATCATTCTCTCCTATTCACTGACTTCTCGATTTCACATAGCATTTCTGCTGGTTCAGAATCTATAGTCTCTGTAAGGGCATTTCACTGTGCAATGTCCATTTTACTACTGTAAAATACATTATCATGCAATATATTTCATTTATCCTGCAAATATTACCTACTGTGCAATGCGTATGATTTACTGTGCATCCTACACCACCATGCAATATACTGTACATTATTTACTCTGCACAATATATGTTCTGTTATTCAATATTATTATCTCTAGAGCAATATAAAGATAAGCTATCTACTACGCAGTATGTATTACCTCACCATAGACATCATTGACTGTGCAATATACTATATTAACTGTGCACAATACATTATAATGTGCAGTATTTATATTTACTGTGCAGTTTATTGATTTAATATGCAGTTAACATTATTTACTGAGCAATAAATGATTACTGTGCTATATATTGTATATCATTTACTACTCAGTACACCTAATATTCTATGAAATACACACTTTTTACAGTGTACAGGTGCATCTCAATAAATTAGAATACAGTGACAATTTTTCTTTCTTAATTCAAAAAGTGAACATTTACATATTGTTATATTCTTGATAAGTGAAATATTTCAAGCCTTTTTGTATTTTTATAATTTTATAATTTTGACACTGATTCTCAGGAGAATTAGTGTCTCAAATAGAATATTTTCTAAGATTAATATTGGTTTTGATAGTGGGAAGGATACAGCTGTAGGTCTGTCAGTGCACACATGCTGTTGATAGACTGACATCAGCCTCAGACCACTCTTTAATCTTGAATCTACTTTTCTGTCAAGTGTGCAGTCTCATGCGTCTTATCCTATCACACTCTTCCCCTCTGGTAAACTTTCCATGTTGACTACGCTTTTATAGAGGGCCCCCTGCAAACAGCTAGACTTTTTCAGCACCGCCCGTCTGTGGCTAACCCTCCTTGTGGTGGGTGTGCATGACTGCCATCTGGACAATTAGCAAGCCAGCAGTCTTCTCCAAACTATTCAGTTTACATGAAACAAGTCTCGTTGATAGATTTCATTTTCTTGATAACTGATTTAAAAATATTTCGCTTTTTCACATATTCAGATTTATTAAGGTGCACCTCTTCATCATCTTTCTTGCAGTGTACATGTTTTCTTGACATGTCTTGCTCCTGTTTCTCAGTTTTGTAATCCATTGAGTAAGGATTAACTGTATTTCTATCCAATCAACCCACTTCAGAGAGTTGCCCTGCTCCCATTTGAACTTGTTGTCATTGTATTTAAAGTTGAGTCTGCTGATTGTGTTTCCTGTTTTGCCTTTTTAAAGGGGGAGCACCTCATAGCAAAATCTGTTTCCCTCCACACGTGCCTGGAGGCAGGGACTCACGGGGACACGTTTCACCTCAGCCCATGTGACTCCAGCAAATATCTCCAAAAGTGGCAGTTCACAAACTACAACACTAAAGGGTCCGAGTGAAGTAAGCTCAATGTGCACTAGAGGTTGCACTAGGGACGACAACAGCTCACCACTGACCAGAGGAGGTGGGGAACACATTTTTGTGGCCTGAAGTACAGGGTGTGGGAATGTGCAATGTTTCTAATGTCCTGTCATCATATCAGCATGGACTGAGTTTAAATTCCAAACACTTGTGCCTAAAGGAGTAGAGCATCTCTTATCTTTGCTTTTGGAACGTTTTGGACTTGAGTTTTCTAATTTTAGAAAAGGTGCTCTTTACTGGCATTTGGAGAGAGGACTAAGAGACTTTGTGTGTATGCCAAAGGGAATAATTTAATTTCACTGAAAAGAGATAGGAAGTGCCTTGGGGATTTAAAAAACTAAGATGTAAAAAGTGACTTTGGGGGTTTATGTGTCTTTAATTTTTTTTGTGCTGGGACTCATAAAGAGTGCATGTAATGTAAGAGGAATTTTGTAAGTGGCATCGATCACTCGTTTCGGTGACGCTTCAGTCAGTGAGGAACTTGCTGCTTCTCTGGTTTTAAAATACTGTGTTACCAAGGTGTAGGTTTCTGTTGTGAAAACTGATCTGTTGTATGAATTTGTTCTTGTCACTAGAGGGAAGTGTTGCTTCAAAACACTCCATAAACCTGTGCTGTGATTTCAGGATTTTGTAACCTGTTCTCAAACTCTTCAACCTCATTACATTTTCCAGAGAAGGTCAAAATAAAACAATGACACTTCAGTTTAATAGCTCATATCTCTTTATTTCACTCACATCCAGAAACCATTAAGACATGTAAGTAGTTAATCACTTGAGTACTTCCACTAATAGTTCCTCTGCAGGAGGTTAAGATACTGAAGCTCTAATACCTAACAGTAGCTCAGTTATTACAAGTATGAGGATTATAAACCCTGAGCTTCTTATTTAATCTGCTGCTCAAATACCTGTCTTACATCATGAGATGACTTCTTCCTCAAACTGAAAATATCCATCACTGTTTAGATGTCAGGTGGCTGTTAGATACTGTCCTCCAATATCTCACTACACAACAGATAGAGATCACTCCTCTGGACTCTATTGTGTTGAGTTTGGGAGTTTTCACGAACTTAAAGTGATATTCCGGCATAAAATTAATTTAGGGTCAAACACACCGTAACACCGAGTTAGACACCCCATTGAGAGATAAATGTTGCTGACTGCTTGCTTCTGTAGATATACCAACTTTAGTAACGACCGCACGATAGCAATTCAGAGAGCCACGTGCTCAACCAAAACACCACTCTATAGCCACAAATAATGCTCAGAACAGCACCTAACTTCATCAACAGGACATATAAGGTCCCAGCCACAGAACTAGCCACCAAACATCTTTTTAGCTTTGCCTGATTTCTTTTGCAAAGAGACGCTTGTTTGTGGCGAGACCTCGGGCCAGTCCATTAAGGACTGCTGCGGGGTGACGCAGCTCAAGGAAAAACATTTTTTGATCATTTCTTCATGGAAATGCAATCAGACCAAGACGCTAAGGCAGAAGAACTACCGTGTCTGCAGTGCAGAATGATTAATATGGTGATTATTACTTCAAAGAAATGATAAAGTAATGATCATAAATGTTCTTCCTTGAGCTGCGTCACCCCACTGCAGTCGATCAACTCGCCGGAGGTCTTGCGACAAACAAGCGGCTGCTGGAAGAGAGTTGGTGAGTTGTATTTAGTCTCTTTGCTAAAGTAATCAGGCAAAGCTAAAAAGATGTTTGATGGCTAGTACTATGGCTGGGACCCTATATGTACTGTTGATGAAGTTAGGTGCTGTTCTGATTATTATTTGTGGCTATAGAGTGGCTTTTTGGTTGAGCGCGTGGCTCTCTGTATTGCTATCTGCAGTCTTTGCTAAAGTTGATATAACTAGAGAAGCAAGCAGTCGGCAACATTCATCTCTCGACTGGGTGTCTAACTCGGTGTTACGGTATGTTTGACCCTAAATTAATTTTACGCCGGAATATCCCTTTAACATGCACCACTTTTGTAATGGTTCATATCATAAAAATAGCATCTTACAAGTTCATCATCATGAACTCAAACTCCTCTATCTTCTTGCGTGTGTTGCCTCTGAGGATCCTGCGGTAGGACACAGTGCTGTATTTGGAGGATCTGAGGTGGTCAAAGGAGCTCTGCTGACCAGACTTTGGTTGACCTGATTTCATAGGGTGAGGCAAAGAGGCGTAGCCTGGGCTGGGGTTTTGATGAAACCCCATAGAGAACTTGGGATCCTTTTCTGGCTTCTGGTCTGTCTGAATCTGCTTCTTTGTGCCTGACATTGGTTCTTCAACTTTAGGCATCTGCTCTGGGACTCCTGTCTCCGCATTCAGCCTTGTACTCCTCTCCTCATTAGTAACATCAAAGGGTTCGAGGTTTGGTGTCTGTGTGACAAGAGAAACTTCTTCCTTTTCAACTAGGAGATTTTCTGGGAAGACAAAGAAGAGGATCATCTGATTTGTATTCTGTTCACCTGTCCTCTCAATCTTTGTTTCAAAGCACAACAACGCAGAAATCGTCTTACCTTTATCGTTCAGTGTATTTCCTTCTTGCATGTCAGGATTCATGCAGTTAGGTGGAAGAGACCCTTCACAGCTGCCCACCAGCTTCTCTGGATTCTGGTTTGACTCTGCTCCTGGATCTGCAGGATCCAAGTGATCAGTGGATTCAGCTGTCGGGAAATCTTGGCATTGCTTGTGTTGCTCATTCAGGCTGATCTGTGGCGTAGTTTCCATCTCAGCCTCTGGGCTTTCCCTGTTGATGAAGATGGATTCTTTTCCGGAATCCTCCTCTGACTGTTGGGTCGGTTCATCTTCTGCCAAACTATTTGTTTTGACACGATGTTCAGGACTATAATCAGCAGGTGTTTTTGTTTTAACGTCCTCATGAGGTTGTTCCTCATCACTGTAGAACACAGAGTCATCCCCCTCCTCCATGGACCACACCTCCCTTTCTTCAGGTTCCTCCAGTTTCTTCGGTGCCTCAAGAGAAGCCTCACCCAGGATCTCTTGAACCTGGGAGGCAAGTGCATCAACATGTAGTGGAATCCTCGGCGGCTTTGGAGGAATGGTGCTCAAGTCGATGTCCATCTCTTGAATTTCTTTTCCCCCTACAAGATAAAACGATCACAACCAATTCTCTCTTTTTTTGTAGATTATTGGCTGAATCAAAGTTCAAGTAACCTCAAACTTCGTATTGCTCCATCGTCTGCTCCAGCCTTCCACAATATTTCCTTCTCCTTCTTCAAAGTTGTCAGCAAGTGAAGAAAGAATCCATCCTGCATTCAGTCGGAGCTCTCTTGTGTGCTCTCTAGCGCTAGTGCCATGTACGTCTGAGTACGTGTCAACAGAGAGAAGAACAGGGGTTTTGTTGTGGTTCTAACAGAGACTCTTTGTGTGTGTGTGTCTACCATCTGTATATGTAGTGATTGTACTCTTAAATAATCTCCGCTGGGTGACCACCTTCATTCTGTGAGGTTTAGAGTCTGGATTAACATTTCCATATAGGTTCTCTGTAAATCTCGTGAACCAACTCTGTTAATGCACATGTGCTGAAGCTTAGCCATATTATGTCTTGAGTTATAAGTGGACAAAGCAGCTTAAGTGAGGCTCCTGAAATACTGACAGCTATACTGATGTCTAGCACACTCCATTGAATTAGAGATTCTCTGCATGTATTAGTTTAAATTTAAAGGGATATTCCGGCGTAAATGAAAGTTATGGTCAAACACACCATAACACAGAGTTAGACACCGCCTTGAGAGATGAATGTTGCTAACTGCTTGCTTCTCTAGTTATACCAACTTCAACAACGAACGCACTGTAGCAATGCACAGCGGTCTACACCTCCACATGCAAACCTCAACCAAAAAGCCACAAATAATGCTCAGAACAGCACCTAACTTCATCAACAGTACATATAGAGTCCAAGCCATAGCACTAGCCACCAAACATCTTTTTAGCTTTGCCGGGTTTCTTCACCAAAGCGACTAAACACAACTCACCCACTCTCCTTCAGCAGCCACTTGTTTGTGGGGGGAGCCCTGACGAGTTGATCACCGAGCGCAGCGGATCATTTCCATGAAGTAATAATAATCATCATAATAATTTTGCACTGCAGACGCGGTAGTTCTTCTGCCTTAGTGTCTCGGTCTGATTGCATTTCCATCAAATAATGGTCATAAATGTTCTTCCTTAAGCTGCAAAATTCCGCTGCAATTCACATATAGTTTCATTAAATTTACAGAAACTCAAGGGGATGGCTGCAAAAATACAGATTGATAGTACTAATTGTTTTTTTCTTTCCTATTGAACATTGATCATGTGAAAACCATTGACTCTCTAAAACCTGATGTAGCCACTATGATATCCTGCTGTGGTTTTTGGAACTCTGTTTGGGAGTCTTGTTAGAGCCCGATATGTATTAATGACCCAAAAAGTAATTTAAAAAAATGGGTAATAAGACTTAAAATATAATAACTGGTCGATAATGTAACAAGATGCTGAACTTAAAACACAGTAAATTTTTGCCATAGACTGTATATAGATTGGATGCCGTCAGCCTCCTTGCTGGGTAAAGCCACAGCAAGAACAGCACCCTCTGGTGACGGGCTGCAGTATAGGTCATAAAGCCCGCTTCTTCCAGCAATCCCTCTGGAGCTGTGGACAAACTTTCTAAACTAACTACACAGAATATAAATTTTTCTCCCTCCTGGTTGCAATGTTGACATGTAGTTACTGTAAGACTGGTTTGTGCTCAAGTCCTCTTTCTTCTTATTAAGGGGTTCATGTTTTCTATGATTGAGACTTGATACAGCCTATAGGCGTACGAAGATTGCGTAGCTCACCCGGGGGATACGCTGTTTGAGCCGAGCATCATCACAGTGACTCTCGGCGACTCTCCCGCCAAATGGATACAATGTTACTGCGCAAGTGGGGGAAAAAATCGAAATACCGAGAGCTTTTTGGCTTCAAATCCGTATTATGATGAAAGGCAAGCCTCAACTTGGAAACACATCTGACACCAAATTGGTATACTGGAGGCCAAAGAGACCGTTTGAATTACAGAAGTAAAAGATTATAAAGACTATGATCAGAGCTAATTTAGTAGCCATCACACTCAGTAGTTACCCACATATATCCCAGAGTCATTTTCTGCAAAACTAAAAGCAAAACTGTGAAGAGAGCTTTTCACACATATCGTTGCAGACTCGCTCCTCGCTCAGACACATCTTGATAAAGTTTAACAGTTTTCTAATCTAATCTTAGTTACTGTAGATAGAGAATTAGGTCAAACCACACAGTAAGCCATACATTTGATATGTACCTGAAAAAATTCAAACACCACAAACCCGCCAGGGTGTTAGCTCAGTAGCTGAATGAGGTGATGGCTAGCATCAAGCCCTTTATCAAGCATGGTGAATGGACTGTGTTCATGTTGCTTATTCCCTGGTCTTCCTGATTTCATTTCATATACTTTAAATGTCCCCATAGGGAAATTTGCCATGGACTCTCTGATGGTCCACAGTTTGCAAATAAAAGATGACCACTCAAAGCGCCTTTGAGTTACCTTATATGTTCACTCATTCACACCACATTCACACACAGATGACAAAGGCTGCTATGCAAAGCACCCATCAGTTTTTGGCCAGTTACATGACTTACCACTGGGTACAGCCACTGGGGGCAGGTGGGGTCAAGTGTCTTGGCCAAAGACACCTCGGCATGTGGACACGGAGACCTTGGTTCAAACCCTTGATCTACCAACTAAGAGATTTCTGACTCTACTGACTACCACATAGTATTTAACAGTGATGACTCTTACTCAAAAGTCCTTTTTTTTTTTTAACTTTCACATTTTACATTTCAAATACTGGTTCCAGGGTTTTAAAGGACTTTTGCATTTCTTTTTTTTTCATACTTTTGTTTGATTAATGGACTGAAAACGTTTTTTCCACAGCTGCCTTCATGCATCACATCTTATGTTCATTAACAACTTTACATGAATCCGTTGATCCATTTCATCTTCATTCTGAAAAGAGTGTGAAAAAGGGTGTATCTTTTAAATCAGTTTTTGCTTTCGTTTCCATCTTGAAACAAGGTCTTTTAAATGTCAAGAGGCGCTAGAAAACAGGGTTTAGCTTATCGTCGAGCGATAACACCCTGCTGTGGACGTCTTTCTAAGCCTTTAGAAGAAACGGCAGGAAACCAAAGAAGTGAGGTAAATTACAGGAAATGTGTGACCTATCTATTCTCAACTTCTAGGTCCCTAACCACCCAGTGTACTATTTATCTCTTAAAGCATTTATCTGTGACACCTGCATTATTAACCTGAATTAGGTGATCCTGTCACAACTTTCCTGTAAAAACTGAAGCTTAGACTGAGTGTTCATCAGTACCTGGAAACTGAAGAATAACACAGTACAGCTTGTAAAACTTCTCAAGTTTATTATGTTTGAAGTTTTGCATTCAAACTTGAGTTGATGCAATAAAAATAGGTATGAGGTTTTTTAATGAAGTGGCATTTTCTTGCAAGTGAAACCGTTTTTTTGTACATTCAGCCTTTCAAATATAGCGTCTGTGTCTCTCAGCTAACACAGAAAATATGAGCTATACAGCTTGTGCATAATTTTGGAAATGAAAACAGTTCTCAGTGGTGCCTCTTACACCCACATCCTGTTTTCAGCTGAGCAGACATCTAAAATGAGATGAGATCTGGTTTTGGTTGTGCACCTGAACGTGACAGAAATACTCAAACTTTACCTGACTTGATGCACAAAATCTTATAGTAAAATTCAAGGTTGCTACAGAAGTTCAGCTACTGCAGGTTAGACTGATGTGATTAATGCTGATCACGGTGATTTAGTCTTGAAGTCAGACTGGCAGCAAACATAACCTCATACATCAAACAATACAATCTTTTCGCACAGGCTACATTCAGAGAAAAGTCATGTTACATTTTCATAATGTTTTGAACCCTTAATAAGCTAAAGCCAAGCAGTGATCCAGGTTCACCTTAGAGAATCAGAGAGTCTTTGAAAGCTAAGTGCAAAAATGTCATTTGTGTCTGTCCCATGGCCACTCATAGAATCTGGCCACCCCAAAGTATTAAACAATAAGCGGTTTTGCAACTGTTTTGAGTGAAAAGACAATATACACTTTCATATAACATCGATCAGATTACTGAGATGTAAATGAACGCTTTTATCGTATGTGCTTGTACATTCTTAATGCCACTCCTGTGAAAAAGTCTGTCTCCTTTCCATGAAAACCAGCCCTTATTTATTTAAAGGGTTGCAATGTTCCTTTAACTGACATAAAGCATGTCATTGGAGTGTCTCTTTAGTCTGTTACAAAATGAGAAACCTTGTCGGCCCTTTGTATCAAGAGGGTACGAGAGGCATCACAACAATACGTCACTGAGTGATCGTCTCGTCCTCCTCCACTGATCGCTGGAGTCCAGGTATCAACTTGAAGATGTGTTTGCGAACGCTGGCTTTCCTGCCTTTACGAGGCAGAGTACCAAACAAGGAGGAGATCCTTGTTTCCTCCCAGACCGGTGAGGAGAGAGAGCTGCTGCTGGAGGCCAAACTAGAACTGCTGGAGCGACAGAGATGTTGGTGTTGGTTGTAATGATCATGGCTGGAGCCGGACGAAAACCGTTTGGAGCTGTCCTTTGTGTGAAAATCTCTGGAGAAGAAGCAGCTATCGTCTGAAATGCTGGCTGCACTGCTGGGGCTTGGAGAGCACAGGTCCCCGAACACACTGGTTTGTTCACTGTCATCAGTCATCACACTCCTGAAGCTGCTGCTGCTGGAGAAACGGCAGCTAAAGCGAGTTGTAGGGGAGCTCTGCATGGCTGGATGGTCCATGGAGAGCTGGAGGCTGCTGCTGTTCATGTCACCTGGAAACATACAAAGAGTTGCAGTTTAAGTCTGCAAAAGAAGTTTATCAGCAGCTTCTATGTTTGATTTTATGGGGAACTCCTTTATTGGTATTCACAGGAGTTTACACTACATGTCGCATCACAAAGTTTCAGAGAGGACAATCGCTGTGAGAAAGGAAGTGCTGTGGTTTGACAGCTGAGCAGGCTCTCACCTCGCATGAGGCGTTTTTCCTGTAATGTAAGCGCTTGCAGCTCCACCAGTTTCTCTTGAAGTGATTGCTGTATAGACAGAAAAAAAGCAGGTTTTACTTCCAGCTAAGCCTGCACATTCAGAGCAGTAACACTACTGTATGAGGACATGCAAATCTTCCTGCATTCACTTGAGACACATTTGGGTATTATACGTCAGTAGGTCAGCTTGTGTTTTACCAATGCACGTCAGTGTTGCTGTTATTTTCACCAGCTGGGTGATTAAGTGACAGTTGGTAGTTTCACAAACAGCCAACCAACAACAAACATGGGCAGGGTGAGAGAGAGAGAGACACACCTTGAGCACGTTCAGCTTCTTCTTCAGCTCAATCTGCTTCAGGACAGTGCCACTTACAGTCTCCATCCTGGAAAAACACAAAGCATACTTTTACAAACACTATCACCAGAAAACAAAAGGTTAAAAAAAGGTTTTATAATTAAAGTTGTTTGAGGTTGTCCAACAAAAATAGTCCATAGTTTTTAACGAGAGAGTCATTACTTCTTGACTTTGTGTAGCTTTAGCATTCAACAGATTCTGCTTATTGAACAATAAAAAGCCAAAGTAAGTCTTTTTTTAACTTCTAGGTTGTGCAGCTAATATTTGGGGATACATCAACATCCATCAAGTCTTCATTTCCATCACTCACTTCAGCTTGTTGGTTGACTCTCTTATCAGGTCAAGTATGCGCTCATGAGACAGTCCTTCAATGCTGGCCCCATTAATATTGATGATAATATCGCCTGTAACAAATGAGGATGCAGATAAGGGAAGAAATCAGTTACAAGAAGTTAAGTTGTGTTTCTATTGTGTTGATGCATGAGAAGTCTATGTGTGGGTGGGATACATATGTGCACATGTGGTGAGAGCTCTAACTGTGAGTCTAAAATCGACAGCAAGGTGTAACAAGATCAAGTGGTTTCGTATGTGCCGAAGCGAATAAGGGTGGCTCACCTGCGGTCAGACCAGCACTCTCAGCAGCACTGTCCTCCTGCACCTTACGCACAAATGTGCACATCTCCACTGCAGAGCTGTCTCTCAGCTGCAGCCCATAAGTCTATAACAGAGAGTTCATCACAAAGTAAATACATTTATTCCACAAAATGACACCTTACAATAGAGTTAAGCTTAAGATTTACGTAAGATGTACAGGTGCTGAAAGAATATAAAAAGGCCTACCTGAATTTCAAATCCAAATGTTTCATTGTCTTGCTTTTCCAGGAGAATTGAGGTCCTGTGCAGAAAAAAAAACATGCAAAAAGAGAAAATGACATATTGTAGGATCTGCTCTTTATGTTCTACATGCAAACTTCAAGAAAATGTAATATTTACAGTCATTTATGTGCAGCAAGACTGAAGGAGAGATCTTCTACTTCATGATCTATTGCACATCAGTTTTTGTATTTACCTTTGAGGGTCGGAATAGTCAACCAGTGAGGTGGAGAAGGATTGTTTATGCTGTGAAGGAGAAATGCAGAGTTCCTTTGTTAAAATTGTTGAATGTGTAAACCTGTACGTGTTGAGCCTAAAGCATTACATATGTGAGTTACATAACCTTTAAAGATTAAAATAGTTGAAGAGCTTTTGCCCTGTTGCAGAAGCTGCTGCTGTAAAATCGGTGGAGTGCTTTTCACTCAAATCAACTGAATGAACCATTTCTAATCTGACGCTTTTTGTTTTCTAAAATGATGTCAAAAAAGCAGAAGAATGTCAAAGCTGCAGTATTTAAGACTTGATTTATTGTCTCACCTTGCGCACTCTGGGCAGAGATGCTGTGTTCTGCCGGGGTCGCTCATTGTTTCCCCTCAGTGAGCGCCGGTACCACAGGGAACACTTCTTCCTCGGAGTGTTATCCACAATGTAATTGTCTTGGCTGCTCTGGCGCTCAAATCCATTGAAATTCATAGTGGACTGCATGGTAGAGTAGTCCTCAAAGCACCATCATGTGTTGCTGCTGCAGCTTTTCAGTGGTTGTGAGGCCCAACCTCGCTGTGCTGTGAAATATGTCAAAGCGGAAATCCACACCATGTGACGTCTGTGGTGGACCTGTGCAGAGCTCTACCTCATACCCACTTTCCTGTTCACCTCTTGTAACTTTTTTCTTCCTTTTTTCTTGAGAAAGGGTCTGTTGTTTTGAAATGCAAGTCAAGGAGAGGGTTTTTTTTTTATCTTCAAAAAGTCCCTCTCCTTTTCTGCAGTCTGGGCGATTCGATTTCTGGTCTGTCAGAAATCAGCAATGCATGAGGAACTGCCACCTCCTGCCTCCAGCAGCACCTGCCTCCAGCCTCTCTCACTCTCAGTTTCTGAATGGGTTAAGCCTCAGTCTGAGTCCTGTGTGCTGTCAAGCAGGGAGACTTGCGGGCCAGACAAAAGGCTGATTTAGCTCTGAGCCAGTGTCATGCTCCCCAAACACACAGCATGGGTCATTGGGCCCAAGGCATCAGACGAGGTTGGATCAAAAGGGAAATCAAACACACAGGAGAGCAGTCAGGGAGACAATAGCTGATGGGTTAGAGAAAACTGAACCACAGTGCACGAACCTTGTCCCATTACCACACCCAGGCCTTCAAAAGGTTCACTGTTTGATCTTCAGGACAGGATCAGCTTTCACCCTGTATTCAAGAGGCATGTGTTTGGTGAGCAGAAAACCATGATTTCACTTTAAACTCACTACTGTATTTCTATGGAAGCAAATGAAAAACCATTGAACCTCTAGATTGCCTCACAGTAATCCCCTCCAGCCTGCTGACCCTCAGAAAAGAAGTTGGCAAACCGAGCCATGGGGCTGTCTGGAACACAGATGTCCTGTTTCACCAGGACATTACAAATTTAGTGAGTAAGGCAGAAAAATGTTGAAATATGTTTATGTGATGCTTTTTATGGACAGGAGCGCTGTATTTGAACGTGACATACAGAAATAGAGACGTGCAACCATGCAAGTAAAAACAGCTCAGAAAACTGAGAGTAAGAAACTGAGACACAACAAAAACACACACTGCACTCATATTGTTTGTTTAGGTCTTGAGACCACTCAGAGCGCCTCTACACTATATGAAACTGTGACACATATTCATACACTGATAGTAGAATCCGCCTACAAAGACTGTAGACTGGATTAAAATCATGGACATCATAACAACTACCCTGAGTGAAGCCAGAACTCTTCCTGTCTCCACACACCAAGCATGAGTAAGATCACGCGCACGTTTTAATTACATGTTTAGCCAGTGCAAAGACGTGATTATAAGACGCTCCTACTACTCTGGCGGTGCGAATGACGTGAATTGGGCTGGAGCTGCAAATGTCTCAACTTGGGCGAATATACGCGTTGCGATAACTAATCAGCACGAAGGTTGCCGGGTGATGTATGAAAACGGATGGTTGTTCACTGATATGTAAAATGGAGGACAAACTGATCGTGTCGGTGTGTGGGTGACCTGAATTATATGATACGTTTTCTTCTGAAACTGGAATAAAAAGGTTGCCTGGGGGAAAGTGAGTGGGGAGGTTTGATTATGTGGTAAATTGTAAAAAAACCTTTGTCTATCACTTGATCCAACCAGTGGAATTGACAAGGATTACTGCTGAAATTACCATTGACACGTGAATGAAGCGAGTAAATGCTATTCATTCACACGTCTAGATTCACACGAATTAAGCGAGTTGATGATTTTACTTGCGCTTGGTGTGAGCGCCCCATTAGAGCTCCCCCTGGTGAGTGGTGGAAGTACCGCTCATTGAGCCAACCTTCTCTATTACAACATGGATCAAACTAGAAACTTAAAACACAGGTTGAACGAGGTCTCTGTTGTTGAAGGTCTGTTTTTATAGTCTGTTCTCATATGCTAGAAAAGTTAAGTTGTAATTAGTCACTTGATGTTAGAAGAGAGGACTGGCAGCTCTGCTGACAAGTGAGGCTCATGCAGATTTCTTTAGTGGGTTAGCAGATTAGAGGAAGGATGGTGACAGAAACTGTGAGAAACATGAACATAGGAGTCACTGAACCTTGTAATTCTCAGTGTCTGCTTCAAATCAACCAAATAGTCTGTTCTGCTGAAGATTGTGCCAACCTGAAGGATCTTTTATGTTTTTCTTCTGAGTTAAATGCATGTTTTGGTCTGTGAAAAGGAATAAACATCAGTCCTGCAGCTCCATGAACCAGATTTCCTCTTGTTCAAATATACAGTCAGTGGTACTAATTTTCCATTTGAGCTACAGACACTCTATAACAACCACTCACCCTGATTTCTGCTTGGACAGGTTTGTTTTTAAGTCATCTTTAAGAAAGTAAACAGACTATAAATATGAGGGCATATGAGGTCAGAGTGATATTGATTCAAGGTTTATTTCTGGACTTAGGTGCCTTAAATGAAGTATAATGTGTGAAATTAGACGAATACACATTCAGAGTTGTGGTTTTTTTTTTCAGTGTAAAGCTCAGAAAATCTAGTCCTGGATAATTTGTTGAGTGTGGTCTGCAAACCTGATACTGACTCGCTTCTAAAAACTGTTAAAGTAAGCAGCAGCATAATCTTGACTGAGAGTTTGACTCATTTGCAGAGTGCTGATGGGCTTCATTGCACACTCTTATTTCCTCTGTTTAACGGACAACTACATCATCAAAAAGTCCTCACAAAGAGGACGCTCGAACAGAAAGCGGGGATGAGTCATGTCAGTTAGGGTAAAAGTGTGATGATGAGGATAAGAAGACTTGAATCAGATGAGCTGTTTCTGGAAACTCTGTCCTACATGCGGTTGTGCACAGCTCTGCAGAATCAGAGCTTTCACTATTATAATTCCCCTGTGAGTGATTTTACACTTAGAGAAACCTAAATCATCATTTTATCAAAATAAAAGATGAAAACTCCATGAAAAACAACGTTTATTGACCCACTGATATCACTTATACAGAATAAATAGTGCAAGAGAACAGATACAATGCAATGGGTTGAAATCCAAGCAACAACACGAAACAGTTTCACATAATCAAAAATATATTTCTGGATGGTTAAAAATCAAAAATAGATATTATCTTATGAAAGCAGTGTCACATTAGTTTTAATTTAGCATTCTCATAATACACAATACATGATATAGAAAAAAGACACCAGTCAGAAATTGCACATGGTGATCACCCCTCTTTGGAATGACTGATTGGTCTTTTATACGCTTAGCTATAGAAGCAGATATGACACAACGTACAAAATATATCTTGGCTCAACACTGATCCAACTTCAGAGAAAAAAAAAAATCCAACGGTACCACGAGCATTTCCAAAGGACACAAGCAGAGCAACACAAGGTGTTTGTTAATTGTTTTCTGCAACACACTGAGTTACTGTCACGGACAGAGTCAACCAATCAGTCAGCAGAAAGAAACACATAACAAGACCTGTACGTGAGCTGATATCGGTACGATAGCAACAGCCTGCGATACAAAGCAGCACATAGCTTATTATCAAGAAACAACTCAGCTGATGCTTTATTTAACCAGTTATAACGAGCAGGACCAGCGGGATGAATTTTAAAGTTTTCTCAACAAAAACTGTCGATGGTACAGAAAAAAATTTAAGGTTGACTTTAAGTCGAAGTTTGAAGTTTTTATAAGGGTTCATCTCTTGGATATGACTAGTGCTTACCAAATGTTCTTGTGCTCCAGTTCATGATTATTGAGGTATCTGACCAACAGAGGGATCAACCACACCTGACCTGGGGTGGTTCTCAATAAAATGTTCAACACACAAGAAACCCATTTGGATATATTTAGCACAAAGTTGATGCATATGCACTGCTCTGGTCTTGTTTAGTTTCCTTCCCATTAAACTATTTAACTACATTCAACTTTGATAACAACGCAAAAGCACTTTTAAACTCAGATTATTATGAACAATCTGCGTACGCTTCATTTTAAATAAGTGATGACCATTTAAGTGTCATACCCAGAATCATTTCTGATTGTACATTAGCACACTACTTACCAAGAAATGCTGTGTCGCTACATGACATGATATGATATGGCACAAAAACATCACAATGTGCAACTTGAAGCTTTGGGCACTTAAATGTCTGAGGTAGCAAAATAATCTGTACAAATATTAAACCCATTCTTATCTCATATGGCTCTTCCTACCTGCTTTTTGGTTCACATTGGTTCATCAAGTGTTAGTGTACCAAGCAGTCTCAGACACCCCCCTTTAAAACTTTGGCACCAAAACCACCTGACCCTGCTGTCTTAGGGTGAGCAGTGCAGCTGTGTCCTGAAGAGGGCAGCCTCAGGCAGTCACAGAGAGCACTTTCTCCCTGTTTGTCTCCAACAACTCTCAGCCCATCATGCAGCAGCGGTGCCAGCACCAGTGCTGATTTAAGGCTGGGTTTGAGCTAATCTTTGATGTCCTTGATGACAGAAATCTGAGACACAGTTTTCTTGACCCGCAGTGCAGTAAGTCTAGCAGAGGGGTTGGCATACCAGCACTCTCTCATCAGTTTGCCCATCACACGAAGAGCCTGGTAAACAATACCAAGGATCAAACTGTATTAGTTCAATGAATAGTTCATTTGCAGTCAAAGTTTCATATAAATACTCCACTTCAGTTTCTGTTTGACCTCTAATTTTTCTCGCCCTGGTGGCCTTTGAGTTACCCTGTTTATGTATTAACAGTTACTTATGTCAGTCCAGTGTTTTCACAGCTCTCAAGTAAAAGCTTAAATATATTTGTTCACTTCAGTAGTTAGATTTATTTACTTTTTACCAGTCAGCTTTAAACCACTATATTAAATCATCAAAATCTTTCTCAAATTATCTTACTGCGACACTAAAACCTTCATGTAAAGTTGCTGAAAATAACCATGAATGTACCAAACTAAAGAGCCTGGGAGGTGACATGAACTTTTTTTTTTTTTGCGATTGAGTATCTCACACATGCCTTTTAGTATCTCGCACGTGCATTTCATTATATCGCTGGTGCAATTTAATTGTTTGTTAATAAACAAAACCAATATGTCTGAATATCACCGACAGCAAAGTCGCTGTGCTTTAAGGATCCTGATGAGGTGTCTGCTTCTCAAAACAATAACAAATGTGGCAAAGCTATAAATTATCTCTTTGTGAATCATACCTAAATGAAAGAAAATGTTGATAATATGCCCTCTGTCCATGACACTGTCCTTACTTCTCTTACAAATGAGGTGCATGTAGGATCATTTAAAAAAACGCATGATACAAATAAAACACACATATGAGATATGTATGAAATGCACGTTCGAGACACTAAATCGCATGAATTCAAACTCAGTGAATTAAAAAAAAAGTTCATGTCACCTCCCGGGCTCCATACCAAACACCTCTACAGCTACAAACAAAAACCTGTGATTAATCTTGATATTCTTTTAGCCTATAGCATCTTTTTTTATGTTAATATACACTAGGAATGCGCTGGTATCATACTTCTATTGACCCCTTTACTACATGAAAACACTTCAGGTGGATGTTTCTGTCTCACCTCACAGCTCTGCCACTGATTTGGGATGTTTGGTCTGAGCTTTTGCTCACACACCACCTTCTTCATGTCCTCTACAGTGGGATCTGAAGGCACCAGGTCATAATAAGGCAGCTGGAAATCTTCATGAAGTCCTGCAGGATCAAAAAAATGAGATTTTTATTGTCAGACTTTCCCTTATTAATGCAGTGATTTAAATAAATTAGGTTTTCAAACCAACGCAAGGATATGACCCATGTACGCTATGACGAAATATCTCTACAAATATCAATAGGTAAGTAGGAGTGTGTATGTCAAGTTACCCCTGACAGAGCATCTCCGGGCCAGTTCCCAGAACACCAGGCCGAGGGCGTAGATATCCGCCCTCTTGAATGACTCAAAGCTGCTCATATTGATCGTCTCATCCAGGATTTCTGGGGCCATGTACCTGCACAGGACAAAATGATTAAAGCTTAATGAAGCCAATAAGTCCTGAACGGCTCAGAATATTCATTTGATAGATCTGAGTGAGCTTGTTTTGAATCTTTATCAAGTGGTCCCTGAATTAAAATCATTAATGTGGAGAAAGAGACGAATTATTGAGCTCAGGAAGTCTAGAAGTCTGCAGAGAGTCGTACATTATTATTTCTGAGACGCTACACAAAATTTCAGTCTGATGGAGAGTTTGCAATACATGATACAACCACAAGGGGTCACCAGAGTTAAACTATCCTGAACATACAGGGCTGCAGTTTGTTCAATCTATTCTGTATACATATGTTAAAAAATCACATACTGGTAAAAATACAGTTTTAAAATAACTGATAGCATCTTCCCCACATCCTTCATCAATCCACCGGGAATCAGGATTAGCTGAGAGGTCACTACTTTTGTTAATTTCCCAGTGAACCTTCAACAGCAATCATAAATCATTTTGAACTGTTTTGCACATCAAATTAATTGACCAGGTCTGAAGCTCTAAGATCTACTCTGGTGTCAAATTGTACAGGAGGTTTTTAGCATCATTAAACTCCACCTCTTTGTTCCCACTCTGTGGTTCGGTGGTATATCTATGGTGTTGGTGTTGGAGTCGTGCTTCACAGCCAAACCCAAATCTGCGATGGCTGCTGTGCCGTTCTTCTTCACCAAGATGTTTTTGGACTTCAGGTCTCTGTGAGCAATCGCAGGTTTCCCTACAACCAGAAACACAACAAATAAAATCTGGTTTATATGCAACAAACATTTCTATCTATATTTTAGTGATCAATAAAAATAACTTATTGCACTTTAATAGCAAACAAAAACATCTGCACCTGACATGCAAATAATCTCCTCAATAATCATAAAAATTAATGGCAATTAGTGAAATATATGAGAACTAAAAGAGGCTATCTGAGCAGTTTATGTGTCGTTGCAAACATAACAGTAATTTAGTTTGTCTGCCCACAAAATGTTATACATTTCATGATCAGTCCTCAGGAAGAGGTCTCCTGAGTGTTCAGCTGTTTCTAAATGAGGACAACAGGGAAACTGTGCCATCCTATCATTGGTGACTCTGTGTTTCAATAGCTTTACTGAAGTTATTTATTATTTATTTGATTTAAATTTGGTTCGTCTCGCTTTGATTCATTCCTGTGAAGCACTGTCACATACTCTTCCTTACCTTGTGTGCCGATGATTTCCATGTGGAGATGAGCCATGCCACTGGCTATGGACAGAGCGAGGACGATCATGCCTTCCACTGAGAGAGTGTACCTGTTCAGGTAGTCATACAGAGATCCATGCTCATGGTACTCTGACACCAACCACAGCTGAGTCCATGAGCCGTTATCTGCAAAGCAAAAGCAACACTTAGTAATGGAGCATATACTTGACTGCTTTAATGGAAACTTTTGTGAGTTTATCGTTATCTAATACCTTTGTTGTCTGCAGCGATGAATCCCAGGATGTTCTCATGTCTAAGCATGATGGTCTGAAAAATCTCTGCCTCTCGGAACCACGACCGCTCATCCCTGGAGGAGAAAATCTTCACCGCCACATCCTCTCCTCGCCACTTTCCCCGCCACACCTCCCCATATCGACCCTTCCCGATGGATTCTTGCAGGACAATAGTACGAGCTATAGTTCGCTGGACAAGCAGTGGTAGACCTACAAGCCAAAAATAGCTGTGAGCTGATATTTTTATGTTGTGAATCTCTCTCTATATATATTTTTGTACAGGTTTTAACACAGAAAGTTACAGTTTTGGTTAAGCCGACCTGATCCAGAGCCAGAGGTGCTCATGTCATATATCAGATCTTTGAGACACTTGTCGGGTGACATAAGCATCTGGTCATCCAGAGGCTCCTCAGGATCCTGTTTGTGGGCTCTGCTGTAGTAGCAGCGGTGACCCTGCAACACAAACACTCCCAGAAGGATCCCCACACACAACAGGCAGGAGGGAACCACAATGACCACAGTGAGCTGCTCCGTGCTCCACCCAGATTCCTCTGATGGCCTGTCTGAAAACACACACACATACAGAAAAACATGAGAGGGTAGACGACACTATATGAGTTAAATTTTCAAAACAATCCAAAGAAAGAGTCGGTAAAAGGAGAGGGAACTTGCATAGATTTAGCTCCAAATGAGCTTTGCTCCCTCTGCTGGTCATTACAGGTTATTGCATGTTGTGTTCCGTGAAATCCACTGAAATCAACCTCTAAGTGAACCATATTTTATCAGTGGTACATAAGTTTTGCTGTTATGTGCTGATGTATTATGACTCCTCAAACAATCTTTGAATTTGGAGTGACATAAATTGTACATTTGGAAGATTATTGTAAATTATGTCTGCCAAAATAAGTGTCTTTCCAGAGACCCAGGCATTTTCCTCACAAATCAAAGATATTACAGAGACACAGATGCAGGATATTTTAAAACACTTTCCTCAAAAGCAACAACAGGTATGTAATTTTGTTGTTGCCACAGCAAACTTCCTAATTTTATGTAAGTGACTCAAGTTAATCCCCAGCAGGTGCATTCGACTGGATGAACAGAGTAACCTGGCATTTCTGTCTCTGACCTTCATTCTGGATGTGGGTGGACAGATGAGACCTGGACACTGACAAAAAATAACAGAGATGGTGGGTGCAGTTATAAAATGAAATTTTAAGACTCCTGACAAATAATGGATGGTGAAAACTGTATTAGATTTTAGCACAACACTTCTATTAAATGGCAGGTCTGGGAAAATCCTGAGAGTTGTGGATTTAAAATGTTTAGACTTTGTACAACACCAAGCTGAGTTGGCCAACCATGATGGAAACAGGTTTGTATTAACTCAATAAGTAATTAGCATTAATTTAAAACTCTTGTACTTGCTGCATAGACATGTTGATATTGTAATTATACATATTAAAACAAAAAAGTGACATGTTGTCTTTTCTAGCAGCTTGATCAACATCTAAACTCCCCAGAGCATTGGATTTCTTCATAAGTGTGCCTTTGACATGCAATATCTGCAGATGGCCTGATGTGCAAAACAACACATTGGGACTCAAACCCTGGTTTCTTAAGACATTCTTAGCCTTTTGCCTAAATACACCCTGTACTACATCCAACTGGAGTAAAGCAGATATGGAGGAAAACAAGACTCTTCTCCTCTGACCCAAAAGCACAGGACCTACAGACCACAACAACTTCAGACTCTGCATGGGTCAAGGATGTAAATCTTTGACTTCACCTCCTGACTAACATCTAGTCACTGTTTAAGCCTATATAAGAGTCTGACTGACAGTACAAATGGACATGTAGTCTCTGTCTGCATACATGAAAAGTAAACACACTGCATGAGCTCACATGCTGATATTTAGCAGAGTAGTGGCACAGATTGATTTTGTTGCCCTCATTCACTGTGAAAACCATCAGAGCCTCGGGGCGCTCTCCTGACCCATCTCACCAGCACACTGCAGGACTTAACTCTTCTTTCTAATGTGTCACCTCTATTCTTTAGTAAGGTGGCAACTCTCTATATATATGAGATGGATAAATCATGGAGTAAAAAGAGTCATTTTCTGACTCAAAACTAAATAATGCACATGTTTTAATGCTCCTGTGGGAAAGAAAGACAAAACTCATCATCTTAATGTGCTGTATCACTTCATCTGACATAGCATTTAATGATATTGGGCATTGATAATAGCATAAAGACTGACTGCCTCTGCACTGATGATGGTGTTATCTTCATTTATAGCTCATAAAGAGGCATGAGCATCCATTTTAGCATTTTTTTCCAAACAGCTAAAAATTCCTCATAGGAGCTTTAATCTAACCATGTGCACCACACTAAATAATGAAGCTCTGTCTTCCTGATAATAATAATAATAATAATAATAATAATAATAATAATAATAATAATCGTACTCATAATCATAATTTATTTTATTTGTATAGCGCTTTTCATGATACTCAAAGACACTTTACATAAAGCATACAATTTGAGTATAGTAAGCGCAACAAAATGAGTTTCTGTTACCGTGTAGTCCTGTCTTGTGAGTTTTTAGTTTGTGTTTGACCCTGTTTCTGTTTTGTTCTTTAGATCAGTTTCCAGTGTTTCCTGTTTTATTTTGTAGTAGTTTACTCCCTGTGTTTCTAGTCTGGTTTTACTTCCCTGGTTTTCCCTCCTTTGTTAATCACCCATGAGTTTCACCTGTTGCTCGTTAGCCTCACCTGTGTCTCGTTTGCCTCACCTGTTGCTCGTTTCCCTGTGTTTAGGAGTCCCTACTAGTCTCCTTGTGATTTTTTTTTCCTAGTGTCTTTTGTTGGATTTTGTCTTTTGGATTTTTTGGTTAGAAAGTTTAAATTTTATGTTGCTTTTCATTTAGTTCTTTTTAATAAATCCTTTTTTTTGTCTGCATTTTTGGGTCCTTTTCCTTTGTTTTAGCCTGGCTTCATGACACAAAAATCACAACATATAGACACCCGAATGTTTGACAATGTTTCCATTTAGTGCAGCTTACATTGGGGGGCCCTATGATTGTGAATTTATTATTTGTACCTTTGAACAGTCTGTGTGAGACTAAATAGTTATTGATCGGTTCCTAACAGGTTGCATTTGGTAAAACAAACAGGTGGCAATGTTTTAACTGTATTCCCTACTTTGCTACTTTTCACCAGGCTGTATGAAAAATGACCGAATATCTTTGGACTGTTTGATTTCTGAGGGGCATTTCCCTGAATTTTCTTTTCAAAAACAGCATCTTTTACAGGCAAACAGATCTGAAACATAAAAAATCTGCCACATCGGTGTGTCCATCAGCTTTTTAAGGAATTTTGCTGAAAGAAGGATTTCTCACACACGCTGAAAAGCCAGACGCACCAGTTGTTGGGTGATATACTGCAGTCAGAAAACATGTCTTATCAACTTCTTAAAGCTTCAAAAATCAATATTTTATTTGAATAGTGAGTACAATATTGTGCTCTGACTGTGTATCGTTTCGAATTGTTGTGGTAAATGAGACTCTACACATGCTTTACAGCAAACAGCAAAGGTCAAGGTACAACTATAGGTGGTGGAAACGGCAGCTACAACAGGAATGAGTGACAATCTAAATAATAACAAAGCTAAAATGGGCCTGATATTCCTCTACTGTTCCATCATGTGAGCAGAAACCCAGCTCAATACAAGTTGACCGCACATTAAAGCTCCAGAGAGTACATTGAGTTTGTTGAGGCACCTTTATGAGGCACCTCTTGTCATGTGTCATTATGCTATTTGTAATACTCAAACATATCACTCATCAAGAATCTCTGCAGTGGAAGATGGAAGAAAGGTTGTTTTTAAGCAAACAGTTAGTGGCTTTCCCCACACATATCCTCAGTAACGTAATACATTAAAATTTACTAAATAGAAATAACCTTTAACAGTCCTTATGATGAGTTACACATAGAGACTTTAGTATTGATTCCAGTCTGTTTCATAAGCAGCCATAAACTCCTGCAGAAGTTTAACACACTGAGACAGAGCCATGGTCAGACTGTGACTGGTAAACTGAGTCAAGGCAGCAAAGAGAGTCGACTTGCTTACGAGTGGATATCAAACACAGCGCCAAAAGAATGAATAGAGACTTTAAAACTTCAGCAAAAGAACAGGGACACAGTAGAAACCATTCATTGGAAAATTTCCTTCGTATCAGTGATCCAATTTTCATGGACCAATGGGGAATGTAAGTTAAATGCAATAAATTCACATTAAATTCAAACACTCAGATTTTTGTGTGTGTATGTGTAAATTATATTGTAAACCAACATATTCAGGGTTTCTCCTCATGTAATTCCTTAGGTGATGGAAATCTGCCCTCTTCCTTAAGGACAACTTCCACCAGTTGACCTATGAGAGGCTTTGAGCTGGCTGTAGGACTACCCGCCTGACAGAGTATTTATTTATAAATCAGGGGAGGGAGGGGGAGGATCGCTAACTGCCGTCCCGTTGCTCCTGCCAGATTTGTTATGTCATAGGATCTAGAAGGATCAGCATCCACCTCGTCTAGCCGGGACCAGAATGAGTGGGAAATCCTGTGCTGATTGGGCTGTCAGTGCTGCCGAATGAGTACCAAAACAACTGAGCAATGTGACATTAACTGACTGTCTGACGGGGGGTAATCTGGATTAATGCTTTTTGTTTACTTCATATCTGTATGTGTCTTTTTTAAGTTATTAATATGTGCACATTTTGGGGGGAAATCATTCATCCAAATTAAAGTTGGAGATGTGTTTATGATAAGTTGAAGTACGTCATTTTATACCTGGATTCAGGTGCAGGGTCTCATTGTTGCAGAAGTCGGTGAAGCAGCAGTTCCTCTTGGAGACATTTCTGGAGCTGTAGCAGAAGACCTGGCCCTTCATCTCTGCAGGCGTCAGGCAGGATTTAACCGTCTCCTCCTTCCCGTCAATCAACATCACAGAGTTCCAGCAGGCGCCGTCTGCCGTCGTCTCACAGGTGTGATTGGCACACAGCTGGCACACACACTTGAGCCCTGAAACACAAGGTGAATAGAATATGATTTTCTTCACAGACACCTGTGAATTTATCAGTTTGTCAGAGGGGGTTTATAGTATTACAAAAACAATTTAACTGACAGACTATCATCATGGTCGGTGGCGTTTAGCACTCTAGAGGCTGGATGCTCCTGTTACATAAGACGGCCCATGCTCTTAAAAGGCTGGAGGTGGAGGAACCAGAGTAATGCCTCTTAGTTTAACACCCAGATAATCTTGTGTTCTACTTGGAGCTGCTGTCATGCTTTGTTTGATAAGACTGCGAGTGATTGATAAGAAAGCTTACACTGCCTCCTCACTGGGGAGAAAAAACGGAAAATAAACAGTAAAAGTGTTGCGTTTTATTCAAAAACCAATTCCAGATCAAAGCTTATTCAATATACATCCAGATAATTCAGCGTTCAAGGATCTATAGACACCACTATATATGAACCTACTGCACTCTCTCTACGCCACCAACCTCTGCTTTAAATCAGTATGTCTTCGCATGACAGACCATAGCTTCTGGGAGTACTTAATTACTATCATTTCACAAATCCTGAGTCAAGCCATCTGTCCTAAAGAAAACCTCACATCCACCAGGAAACCCACAGAAATGCAAACCTTATCATATTGAATATTGCAGAAAAAGACCATACAGTTCAAGTGAAAGTTCAGAGACAAAAACAGCTCTAAAACCTGCTTGGTATCACTCACTCTTCTTGTTTGATGAAGTTCTCCTCAATGTATTTTAAAAGCATAATTAATTGATTCAGGCTCTGTTATCTGGGATGTGAAGCCCATTTATTTAAATTAAAGCTCCTGTAAGAACTCTCCTCCACCCTCCCCTGTGTGGACAAAGTGGTAAATCTTATCTCTTTGCTGACGTTGTCCTGCACGTGCACGAGTGGTGTTTTCTGATGAAAAATGTTATCCTGCTTTCTGTTAACAGCCAGACTTATCACTCACTTTGATCAAGGCTGTAAGGCGGTGCAGTGGATATCACTGTTGCGCCACAGCAACAAGGTCCCTGCTTCAAACCCCTGAGTGAGGAGTGAAGTTTTCATGTTCTCCCCAAAAACATGCTCATCAGGTTAATTGATCTCTCTTAATTGCCTGTAGGTGTGAGAGTGTGCGAATAGTTGTTTGTCTCGGTTTGTCAGTCATTTGATGGAGAGGCAATCAGCCCAGGGTGTACCCCGCCTCTCTCCCTGTGACAGCTGGGAAAGGCTCCATTCCCTTCACTACCCTGGCAGGAATGAGTGGTAAAGATAATGGATGGATGGAACATAAAGAAAGGCTGTACCGTTACTCATCAAACACCCACCCCATGGCAACAGTTACTGGCAATTAAAAATGACTGTCCAATACTATAAAACTGTCCCTGATGGTCTTGCTTTCATTTGTTGGTCATATAAACCATCAGTGTTAATTTTAGTGGTTCATATTATTAGCTGAAAACTCTGAAGGGAAAAACTCCTAAGGGAAAAACCTTCTGAAAAAGTGGTCTAGAGTCGTCCCGGTTAGGGCATGATCAGATGATCAATGACCAATTGGGAAAATGTGACAGTTTTGTTAAAGCAGTGAATAGAAACTTCAGTTCATGTTGATTTTAACAGTCCCTGCAGACAGAGTGGCAAACTCATCTGGTGTTTTGTAGAGTGTCAGCCTTGAGCATTAATTTGTTTTAAGAGCAAGTCAAAGACTATGAAACTATCACTTAGTTTTGCAAACATGTTTGTTAGCAGGATGCACAGCAAAGAGTTCATGTATCTACTTGTGGCTATTTTTAATCAACAACTACAACACTAAACTCCGAAACTTAATTACTTTGATTCTTACACCTTGGCTTGTCTGAAACTTACATATTTGGTTATTTGGTAATAGTAATTTTCTTGATGTCTGACATGGTTTAGTAGCAAAGCAAGCATGACTGTTCAGTTAAAGAATATTTTCCGCTGGATTAATGTCAATCTGATTTGCATTTTTAGGTGATACATTGGCTTAAAACCAAGACTGTTACACTACCAGTTACAATCTCACCAGTGTGGATTAGCGTGACTATCAGTCATGTTTTTCACTCACTGAGGGCCAAAAGTAGATCCACAGTAGCATTTTACCACATAAGTGTTGCAATGATCTTTTGTCTGTACTTCTTTTTTGCTAGTGACAGAAAACCAATGTTAAACTACATGTATTTTGTAACTGTGAGAGACAACATCTTCGCAGTGACTCTAGCTGATCTCTACTTTCATAGCTACTGCTTGAATAAAGCTCTTTGTAGTCCAATGCTCTGACTCGCAGGTTCATATTCTGTGACTGAAAGATGAAGCTGTGTAGCAGTTATAAAGAAAGAACAAATACAAGGTAACTCATTTAAAATAAGAACAGAATGGGATCTAGTATTGATCCCTGAGGTACACCACAAATTAAATCTCCATTTTAGCTAATGAGAAGACAAAACTAAAATATTGAGCAACAATATGTGTGGAGAAAAAAACTGCTTGAAGTTTGATAAATATTGTAAAGGAAATGGTGAAGCTTTGCTATTAAAAAACAGTAAATTAGCTATGTGATTGTTTGCGAAAAATGTGTGGTGCATGCTGCACTAGGTTTAAATAGTTTTGAAAGCTCTCTTTACAAAATTTAAAGCCAAAATCAAGGTTTAGAGAAATGTTTCCCAAAATGTGTCAATTTTTTCTCATTTTTTGGAACAGGACTGGAAGTTGCTTGGCAACAACTTTCTCAAGGATGGTAACTACTGCATGAACTTTTGAACCTTTGTAACTTTCAAAATCAGCTTTATCAAGGTTGGTCATTTTTAACACTCTTTGCAGCAGAGATGACGAACATTGGTGTATTTGCATGCAGGCAGCAGAGGAATAATAATAAAATCACAGTCATACATTACAAAGCCTCTACAAGGCTCAAATCAGTGTTACACCTTTAGAACATTTCAATTAAAGAAATAGATCAAATCATTGAAACTGTTATCAGTACTCATGTGGGCAAAAAAAAGCTTCTACAGGCACTACATCCCATATGCAGACTAAGTAGTACCTCTAACCTCTTTGCTGATTTGTAGTTTTTTTTTTTTTAAACCTTTCTGCTATTTCAACAGTCAAACATACCATTCAAAAATGGGGTTGCTGGTGCTTTTGTTTGCTTCATCATGTTACTAGCTAAGAAGTCCTAACAGGAGCTTCTAAAAATAAATAATCAAAATTGAGTTTACTAGCTGTACTTATTTTAACTTAACAACAGGTTATCAATTTCTACAGTTACATTTTACCTAGAACCAAACACATTAGATAAGAAACTCGTGGGAATCTGTCAAATGTTGACCTACGTGGCACCAACGTTGAGTCTAAGCGCAAAGCTGAAAACACTGTCAATGGCTAAGTAAGAGAACTTCTCACACTCTTGTAGATGTGTGTTGAGTGAGGTGGAGGTATAGACCTTTGGCAGATGGAAGCAGAGCCCTACTTGAGGAGTGCACTGAAGTTAGATGCAAAAGTTTAACATGACTCTTTAGCAAGGTTGACACATCACTTCATCTTGCAAATGCATTTTTTTCTCTCTAGAAAACAATCTTTGCCTAACATAGAGGGTCACTGTAGATATGATTGAAATTTAATATTGCAACCTAAGTTTCTGCAGCTCTTCTTGCTATGGATGGATTACCATGTTTAATATTAACATTTTGATTTCCTCTTGCTATGTGTGTTCCCGGTGTGCAGTACAAATGCAAACTAAAGACACTATGGCGGCTTGAGTGTTAAACATAATTAAAAACTATGTAAAAACAGCAAATCAATAAAACTTGAGTAAATGTATTGAAAGTCTGGAAACATAAACAATGCAGGGATAAGATTATGGAATTATAGCTTGGTCAGGTGCAATTAATGTAATCACTTTTGAATCAGCGCTCTTTTTATAGCAACTTGTCCCTAAACCTAAAGTAATTGTTTTCTGCATTGTGAACACAACCTAAAATTATGCAGGTGATCTGTGACTCAAACGAAGCTGTGTAGTATTTTGAATCAAACATTCTGCTGATTTTGGGTGCTGCTTGTTCGACTCCCAGCTATGACCCTTTGCTACATGTCTCCCCCCACTTTCTGCCCCCACATGTTCACTGTATCTATTAAGCTGTCCAATCAGCAAAGGCAAATATTCCCAAAATTCTACTTAAAAAATGCTGCAGATGTACACAATTACATGCACACGGTCCTTGTCTTTGTACAACAACTCCTAAAAAAATCAATCTCCTCTAAATTCTACAACCAGCACATCACTGCCTGTCAATTTAAACTGAACTACTATGAATTATGAGTTGCTCAAAGAAAAAAAACAAGCTGCTGGACGGGGAGAGTTGTGGTTATCTTTCTGATGCAATTCCTGAGACAGTCCTGCACACTGAAAACAACTCACCTTTAGATACAGAATGCAAAAGGGATTCAGTTCAAATAAAACTTGCCAAAAGTGTAATTCTACTATTCGATGAGTATAACACAAGAAGTATAAGATGATTGACAGCTTCCCTAACCTCCCTAACCAAAAGTCTTTTCTTTCCCCATTAGCAACATAAATTTAACATCTCTTCCACAGCCTGTATTCAAACAGGTGTTTTATGCTGTCCCTTTTATTGATTGTTTAAACAGTCACAATATTTATCAGCTATCTCAAATTCAAGAAACCACATGACAGCAGTTGAGTTTTTCTTATCTCTTCATAAACACCTGGAAACTATCAGCTAGAGAAATCAGTCATCTGTTGAGGGCTGCTTGTTTATGTATTTTTTTCACTCTGGTAGTATAAGACGCACGTGCTTCCAGCAGTAGTCTTTACTACTGTGAGCATGATTTCACAAAATGAAACATCCTAGCCTCAGGGTCACCAATAAATCTGACAATTCTCTCAATGCTTGGTTGAAACCTCAGTTCTGCACAACAGTTTTTTTCCCCCACTGCTCTACTCTATATTTAAGTGAGCTATGATCAACAACTACAGAGAGCCTCTGATGGAAAACAAGTTAGTATGATTAGTTTTTCATAGCTTTCTATTTCTAAATGGGCATATATCAATGTGTCCTTCAACGAAAAACTACATGAGATTGTTGGCTGTGTTTTATGACATACCCCTGATTTTATAAATCGCTCTCTGAGCAGTTTATGGGTAAATCAATTTGTTTTGGGTTTTTCTCCAACTAGACCTGTAGCAACTTTTAATCTCGGTAAAGCACAATGTAGGTCTTCTGTAACGTTGGATAGTTGAATAATTTTTCCAGGACAAGTTATTTATGGTATGAATGCAGTATCTCGTGTTATGCAAAGTGGGTGAGAGTGATGTGTCAGCTACTGTACCTGCGGTCAGCTGGGCGACAGAGAGAAAGATCAACGCCGCCTGAAAGCTCTGCTTCCCGGGACGAGTCATGGCAAGAGCCGCATTTGCTCCCCCTCCGACGCACCGTTCACGCACAAACTACGGCACTCTACACGCAAACACAGGACTACACATTGCGGCGAAGTCTGTCGACCATGCTCTCCTCCGCGCAAACACCTCTCAATAAATGCAGCCAGGAAAACTGTAAATCGCAGTAGGAGGTTTGCTCCGCCTCTGTTGACTGGGATTAAAGCGGATTAGCGCTGCAGACCTCTGATAAAGACATGTGAATGAGAGCCAGAGAGAAAGTGTGGTAGGGGAGACCGGGTACGGTTGTAACATGGGAGGAGTTGTGGCACTAGCATTTCATGTGTTTCACACTGTTCATTTCAGTGTACCCACCTCCTCCCTGATCCACCATGGGGATTTTTAAGGTTACAAATAGGTGCATCTGGTTTATGCAAAGAAATGAACTGACTTGAAGGGGGAAATTAAAGGTTTTGGGGCTGTAGGCTTTTTTGCTCAGGGTTTATAGTATTGCAGATAAATCGGGTGTCTTATAATGAAAAAAACTCATAGTTTCTTCTGCAAAATGTCATTCATTTTGCCCTCCCAATTTCCAACAACTATGCTAATAGAGTTAGCCAAATGATGACTTGCAGGGTGGGTCAGGTTGTAAGACATCTTCTTGAACTCCAACAACCAAACCCCAAAATTATATTTCACTGATTTCAATAATTTTTTCAGAATGCCTTGGTAGAAAGAAATGTTAGAAAAAAAGGTGTGTTCAAAGGACATAAAAGAGCAATATAATATAAATCTATCTGTTGGGATTTTTTGTTTTATATTTTGACCCACGCTCCATCTGTCAACCTGGAGAAAGTGGGCTTTGTGACCTATGCTGCCGCCAACCAGTAGGGGGAGCTCTGAATATATTTAGCTTTGCTTTTGTGACTCTCCATGTTGTTTGTTTTTGATTATTGTTTACAAATGTGCCTGAAACCACATGCTAACATCATACCTGCTACATACTAAAATACCTGCTCACTGCTGCAAACTAACTAGGTGGTTAGTGTGCCGTTAACAACATACTAAAGCTCTGCATCTCTGTAGACCCACTAATGTAGAACCACGCACAAACATACACACACACATACACCTTGAAAAAGAGAGAGTTGTTTCAGTTGAAGCGGTTTGAATTAGTCCGATTTATAGTATTGAAATGTGGGTCATCTGTACAGATATTTTGAAATCCTGGCTAAAACTTTCAGTGCTGAAGCAAAACATGTTACAACTCTACCCAGTCCCCCCTACATCCATTAAAGTGCAGCAGGTTCAGTACATAGACTGTATAAAGAATGGACAGAGTCTGCCTCCTTGCTGGATGAAGCCACTCTGAGAACAGCACCCTCTGTTGATGGCCTGCAGTATAGGTCATAAATCCCGCCTCCACCAGCAAAGCCTATGGAGCTGTGGACAAACTTTAGAAATTTATTACACAGTACATACATTTTTCTCCCTGTTGACATGTAGTTATAGTAAGACTGGTTTGTGCTCAAGTCTTTTTTTTTCTGCTCGCTTTTTAAAAGTTATTAGGGTGTTCATGTTTTCTATGATTGACACCTGATACAGCCAATGGGCGTTCAGGGATTGCGTAGGTCGTGGGGGATACACTGTTTGAGCCGAGCGACATCACAGCGACTCTCGGCGACTGCGCACCCAAATGCGCGCATCGCTACTGCACAGCGCTGGTTTCAGGAAATGAAGAAAAATCCTGGAAATACTGAGAGCTATTTGGCTTCAAATCCACATACAGGCTGTAGGCGGAATGAAGTTGTCCGTAGTATATCCAGTCTATGGTTCAGTACAACACCGACTACTGTCTGCATATTGATCATGTCTTCAACTCAAGGACAGTGTCAACTGTAACCACTTCTTGTGGGGCCATATTGTTCAAAGTACACTGAATATGTTTATGTAATCCAGAGTTTGTGCAAGGACAAAACAGCCAGTCTGCACCAATAGCACACAAACCCACTTAACTTGAACGTAAAAACCTACACATTTCATAGAAAATTAATACACACAGTAGTGGCCAACAAAAATCTATAGTGACTAGCATAAACTACACAAAACTCTTGGGTCACAGCTGAATTAAAAACTGGGAATACATCTGTAGAAAATATAAACTAATAAGTGGTCAAAATAATTCATTAATGTATGTGGTTGCAAATTTAAATCTCATAAAGGGGGTTATAGATTTGAACTAAGAATCATAAAATGCAAAAAGTTTAGATTAATCAAGTCTTGTCTTCTCAAATCTTAATTTTTTTCTCTATTTTCTGACTGTAGTCTCCCTGATATGCTTCCGGTCACTCTAGTATACACGTTGTCTCTCTCAGATTGCTTTTAGTCCCAATTATCCTCAAATATGAATACAGCCTTATTCTATCTTCCCCATTGTATCATTATGCTGTATTTCAAGCTACTTTCCATTTATAAAAAAATATATTACAAGAATATATAAATACTGATTATTCGATGCACTTGACTGCAATTCCATGCGAAGGCCTTTTGTACTAATGGGCCACTGTATTAACTATGATAACATGCATTGGTTACTAAAGTGCACAAGCTATGGATTGAGCAGTTTTACATTAACTGGAACCTCTTTGTTTTACTCCTTGTGTTTACCCTGTTCTCAGACAATCTCCATTGAGTACAGTTCATACGGCACAGTGTAGGCTGAATTGCAGCCTTATTACCAGCATGCCTATACATTTTGGCTATAGCACCAGGTGTCGTATTGACTCCTGTTAGGGTGGCATTAAATAAATGTGAATACAATTACAAACTCGTGTGTCTACAGACATATATCCTTCACTGTCAGCCACTAACTACCAATCTTAAGTTTTGCACACTTCAAATAAGCTGTGATAAAATTTAAAATTTACCTCATGTTGTGCTTAAAGTCACTTTTTTGATTTACATTTCAAGTGTTATCAAAGGTTTTGACCAATCAGAAACAGTATTACGCACTGCCAAGAGAGCCAGGCACTTCTGGGGACAACTTGATCATACAGGTACTATCCAATCAATCTCCCAGTTAACCTCTGTCTATTTACACTGTGGCAAAAAACATACCTTGCCAGATCAGGTTGGTCTTGGGAGTCAAGACCACAGATATAAGAGCTTCACACCCTTGTTCACTCTGTTTGGATTCTAATTCACATAACCATGACCACTTTAAACAGTAACACAGCAGAGTTAAATCATGTACATAGACCTAGATTCTTTAGGAAAAAATTATATCTTCAAAGCCAAAATTAAAAGAGTCTCAAAGTAAACATACTGCACCTTAAGATGCAAAGAGTGCTACTTGCGCATGTTGCAACTCAGCTAAAACAGCTGATTTAAAACTAGTTCTGTCAAAATAGCCAATCAGTGTTAAGGGGTGGAACCAAAGGTGACCAATCAGATATCATAAGGGCCATACCACCTCTGGTCACCCCTTGGGGCACACCCCTGCTTACTGTTAAATAGAAACCACCCAGTTTTCCTAAAGATCTCCACCAGGTTTTGTGTGTTAATCAGCTTGAAATAGTTTGCAGAGACATGTTTATCCAGGATCGTGCCAAACAGCCCAGCATAAAAAAAATTCTAGTTATATTTACGTCAATAAAAATCATTGACTTAGATCTGATTTGGGGCAACAACATGAACTCCTTACACATAACACATTTGTTTTGATACTCCACAGATGTGGTACAACATCTACTACAGATCTGAAGCGTCTCTGCACAAACAAGAGTGTAAAACCTTCTATGGCAGTGAATACTAAATGAGCTGGTTGTACTTTAAACCAGGTACAAAGTTCCACCTCAGCTCAAGTACGTGCAATAAGTTATTTACAGCAGGTCAAATGTGACCAAGTAGCTGAGGTTTCATAGCAACCAGAGCTGCCAATGTCACCAGGAAGAGCGAAGAAGTGAACCACACTTAATTCAAAAGTCTATATAAGCAATGACAGATGCACAGTCTCTGTGTTTGATACACAATAAAGACTTGTCCCTTCACTTCTTCTGTATTAACAAGAATAAATTTAGAAATGCAAAGTTAGTACTCGTAGACAAAGCAATCATGGCACTATCAAGAGACTGGTATTAGGCCCGGGAGGGATTAAAACAAAGAAAACACAGAGACAGTGGAGTAAAGCAGGTAATGTTGGGTATTGAAACTTTAGGTGAACACAGACAGATTTTGGAAGCTGGGGGGCTTCAACAACTGCGCTTTTTGGGTGCAAACTGGATTAAATGATACTGAATGTGAAAGTAGTTTACTTAGCTGTTGACGTACGCCAGCAGGGTATCTGAGCACCCTTAGACACACACTGTGTTAAATATCTTCCAGCCGGTAATTCCTCGAGCATATCAATGAGAGGAAAGACCAACAGGAGCTGAGTTTCTGTTCAACATCTGTCAAAGGATTCAACGAGCTTAGTCTCAGATTACAGCTGGCAGAGAAAATACCTCAATTTCTGACCTTTACCAGATGAATGTAAATTAATTTGTTCCTTTTAGAGTTTGGATGTTAACCTCTTGTGGATCTGAAATGGATTATATCTTATTGGCATGAAATGGCATAGTCAGGCCTGTCACAGACTGGCCTTTGTTTGTTTTTCTGGATGAAGTTATCCTATTATCTCATAAAATAAAGTTTTGCTTTCTTAAAATAATGAGATAAAACAGCCTGTTAACTGAGAGAAACGACCCGAAGCTGACTCTATCACTGTAAAACCAATGTTGTGATCTCAGGATGGCAGGATGAATAAGTTGAAATTGAAAGAAAGCACAAAGAAATAACTCAGTATCATAAAAAATGAGGCTCCGCTTGCTTACTAATAAATGATATTAAGATTTAGTGTTGACTTCAACTTAATTTTGACAAAAAAACACAAAAACAAGACTACAAAGACTGCAAAATTATCACTCAGTACCATCGTCCACAGTAATATGAGTAGACTAATTAAAAGTTGTTGATCTCTAGTTTGGCTTCAGGGTTAAAAGGTGCACCCATAGACTGCATATAGACTTGATTCATTCTATATACATCCCCCCTGGGTGAAGCCACTGCAAGAACAGCACCCGCTGGTGATAGGCTGCAGGATAGGTCATAAATCCCGCCTTCTTCAGCAATCCCTATGGAGCTGTGGACAAACTTTAGAAATTAATTATACACAGTATAAATGTTTCCCCCCCCTGGTTGTGATGTTGACATGTAGTTACTGTCAGACTGGTTTGTGCTCAAGTCCACTTTCTTTCTGTCCAGCTTAATTTTTTAAAGTTATTAAGGGGTTCATGTTTTCTATGATTGACACTTGATACAGCCTATGGGCGAACGAAGATTGCGTAGCTCACATGGGGGATACACTGTTTGAGACAAGCGTCATCACAGCGACTCAAGGCAACTCTCCTGCCGAATGTGTACTGCGCTACTGTGCAAGCGGTGGTTCCACGAAGTGGAGAAAATCCGGGAAATACCGAGAGCAATTCGGCTTCAAATTCGTATGACGGAAGGCAGTGCCAAGTTGTCCATAGGATATACAGTTTATGGGTGCACCCCATCCACAAAGGTTCGTCCTTGCTGAAGGATTTCCAGCTTTGACCCTTTGCTTCATGTCTTGCCCCACACGACCCCGCACATTTCCTCTTTCATTAACTATCCTATCTCATAAATGAGGCAAGGCTTCTCTCCGAAACATGCACAAGTTTAAAAAAAGACAATGGTCTGCAGCAGCATTTGCTAGTGAGTTTGTAAGATGATTCAAAAGTCATATGAGACAAAGTTACTGCTGTTGTAAACTAAAGAGGAGTGATTAAATATTACAACATTATTGAAGTCTGCAGGGACTCTAGGAGACCATGAATGTCTGTGCAAAATATCTACTGAATTCATGAAAGTGTAACCACGTTTCAGTAAACAGAGCCATGCTGCTAGGATGTTTAGAAGCATCAAGACAAATGAGACGGATATAACACATTTTTTCTATTTAATTAATATAAATCACTAATTGATATAAAATGTTAAAGAAATAAAAAAGGCTGAAGTTTGACTTCATTTACTTGACAATGCACGCGTTAAGACAGTATACAGGCTTTACAGGCTTACTTACAGGCCTCTGGAGGAATAGAGTTCAGCATCACCTAGCAGATATTTTATTTGTTCTTTTAGCATTTGTCTCTGTAAAGCTGAAGAAACAAAACATAGAACAGGTACATAAATTCAACGTAAAGTCCATAGTGATATACAAAACGGTTTGCAACAGAGTACCTTAAGTTGGAGATATTTCTGGAAAAGACAGCGCCACTGACGCAGCTGTACAACTAAATGTTACAGAGTGGGTGAGAAATCCCGAGAAAAACCTACAGAACTGTAAACAGAGGTGCATGACACACGAAGGAAACATAACACTGTTTGCTGAGATCACTGTTAACAAAGTATGCAAGTTGAATTGGCAATTTTTTTTATCCAAATGACTCCACCATAATGCAAGTAAACAAGGCCGTACAATTAAAGAGATAAACTGTTAATATGTTCAGACATTTTCAAACTAAAAAAGGTGTCAAACAAATCCTGCTGTTCTAACAAAAGCAAATCTACTCAAATGCTCAGGTAACAGTTTCTTCCTTGAAGAACAATGCTAACAACCCAGCTCCTATGTCACTGATTGAATAGATATTTTTCTATTTCCAAGACCACTGGCAGTCTCAGAAATGTCCGGTAAGCCATCTTTGGATGCCAAAATGTGTCCCGCCAAGTGTTTTAAAATAAATATGTCGGTCTGTGCCACTATAAGGGCACACAAACCATCAAGTCTCTTTTTCTTGAGATTTTCTCCGATAATGGTCCACCCTCTGGGAGTCCTCAAAGGCCTTTCTTAGTCCACCTCTTTCTCTTGGGTCAGGCTCAAATGTCTGTTTTGATTTTGTCCAGAGAGTTGTCGATCTTTGTGAGAGTCTTTTTGATGCGTAACGCTGTTAATCTGGCCGATGGGTTCTGGTACCAGCACTCCTTCATGAGTTTAGCCATGGAGGTTAAAGTCTGAAAAAAAGAGGTGTTAAATCTGTGTAAGTATCACATATGTTACAATATTAATGATATTACTCCACGGCTAGGAATAAATAACAGGCTTTGTGAATATTACTCACTGGGTCTGAAAACCATCTGTTGGGGATGTTTGGCCTCTGCTGGTCCACGCACACCACCTTCTTCATATCCTCAAAGCTGGGATCAGTCGGGACCACATCATGAAAAGGTGGCTTGTAGTCTTCCACGATGCCTACAAGCGGAGCAGAGTGAGAGGCGGTTCATTTTTTAGAAATCACAAACTCAAGCCAGGAGCGAAGCAAAAGTGCTCTGCAAGAATGAAATAGGATTCATTAAGGCGCATCAAAAGGGATTCACAAAGTGTCGAGGAGGCCCTTTTTTCCTTATCTTGCTCTCAAGTGCAGCCACAGGACAAAATAGAGATATGAGATCATGGTGTCAGAGGGTAAATCAATATCTTAAGTGTAGCTGAAAGCCCGGTTCCCACAATAAAATGATAAACCTGTTTGGCACAGGATGAAAGAGTTAGGATTTATTACTGGAGAGGCCTCTCTACAGACTACAGTCAGGGACCACTGAAGCTGGTACCAAGGCTATTGTTTCAGCAGCAGAAGTACATGAAGTCTGACTATGAAACTAACACATGATCTAAATTATTGACATAATCTTCACCCGTGACACAAGGTCTATTGTATTCAGGTCATAAAGAAGCCCAACACTTCAGCAGAGAAATAAAACTAGCACATATAACACAGGACAACTCTGAATCCAACATGTGCACGCTGTAACGATTTGATACTGACCATTGCTGACCGTCCTCCTGGCAATCTCCCACAAGACGAGGCCCAGGGCCCAGATGTCCACCCTCTTGTAGGACTCAAAGCAGTCCATCTGGATGGAGTCGTCTAGCACTTCAGGGGCCATGTATCGCTTTGTGCCCACTTTAGGGTTGTTTCCCACATCTAACTCATTGGTGTCTTGGAAATGCATGACTGCCAGTCCTAGAATGGAAACACAAACCAGCAGAATGATTCAGATTTGTCGTTTTCTCTTTTCTTAAATCTTCAAAGTCCAAGTATGCAGCTTTTAAAATGATTATTATTATTTTTAGAAGTGTAACTTAACTCGAGACGTCCATCTATGATCAGAAAATCTAATTTCTAGGGCTAATTAAACTAGATTCAACATTCAACATTAGTTATTTTGCATGGAAGTTAATCATTGTTTTGGACTGACATTACGGTGTAATTATGCTCAAGTGTCCACGCTTAATTCTGCTCAGTAAGTCTTCAAACCAAAGAAGTAAAAGCAAGTCAAGCATATTATTAAAGAGAGTTTCATTTGAAATGTTGTGAGTGGGAAAAGAAGAACCCACTATATCAACCAGTTTAAAAGCCACTACCTGTTTGTCATGATCAGTGCTTTTCTCTTACACAGGATGTTCTCAGACTAAAGAACAACTTGCTTTGGAGACAAACCAGCGTTACCGCGCCTGAAATGCGTCATCCAGAGCAGAGTGTATTAAATCGAATTTGTAAACATGTCAAGCCTGTCGCCAGGTTAGGGCTTGTTCGTGAATTATTTCTGATTGAAGCATTTGCAATTGGAACATTGGTGTTTTAGATAAAGTGGTCTGAGCAGCTCTAAATGTGCTTTTGATTAGTGGCTGAGTGGTACCATCAGCAGTGGTTGTTCCTGCTAAATCAACAACAAATACAGCAAAGCAAATAGACACGAGTTCAGAGATTAGTTCAAAATACACCTTTCTTACTTCCTGGGGGGAAAAAATGAGTTTAGGCTTTATAATTAGGGGCTTGGAAGGAGAAAGGAAATCAAAACACAAGGATATCAAGTGTGATCAGTTTCCTCACCCAGGTCAGCGATGCAGCACTGTCCATTCTTTTTAACCAGTATATTTTTGCTCTTCAGGTCACGGTGGGCGATGGCGGGTTTGCCCTGAGTGCCAAAGATCTCAACATGGAGGTGAGCCAAGCCGCTGGCAATGGAGAGCGCCATGCGGAGGCAGCCGGATGCATCGAGAGTGCTGAGCTGGAGATAGTCGTATAAGGAGCCCATCTCGTGGAAGTGAGTGATCAGCCATAACTGAGTGCTGGAGTTCCTGGAGGTCATGTCTGAGGCTATGAAGCCTGAATGAAAAAATATGAAGGCATTAATAGGATGACCATCTGTTTAGACATGGCAATACATGACAAAACAGAGAAAGGCGGGAGGAAGAAGATTTACACAAGAGATGACTCCATTATATTTCTAGACAAATGAAAACACGTCTTAAAAGATGTCTTGTAATGACAAAAAAAGCTTTATTAACACTTGTGATTCTAAAAATAAAGTTATTAAAGGCCTTCTGCTAAGATTATACTCTTTAAAAATATGGTCTGTTCATGAGGCACATGGCAACTTCATGATGTAAGGTCTTCTAATTTTAACAGACACCAAGAAATACTGTCACACTACCCTGGCGGCCTTTATAGACTAAGCTGGTTTTAAGATTGTATTGATCTCCAATTTCAGTGCTTGTAAAGCTCACTCCTGTAAACTATGACCAAAGGTAATTGGGTCGTTGATAGTCATTATAATATTTTAAACTTTGATTAACCTTTGTCGAATTGAAGGCTGACTATGAATCATTTCATACAACAATACTGGTTTTTCAAACAACATCTTTGATTGAATATTTTATAACTGTATTGTTTTTATTCCGGCGTTGTTCCTTTTTTTCCGTAAAGCACCTCATAAGGAGAAATACTAAAATGAATATTATTCTCTTCAACTTTCTCTCACTGGTGGATACTTCTATCCCGTTGGGTTCTAACCTAGTTTAAAACCTCACAACATTACATTCTGTCTACTTACAGTATCAACAAGACAAAGCAAGAATCAATGAACAATCTCTACTCCAACAAAAAGTAATGACCTCTATAAGTCTGATCAGACACTCTGAAGAAGCATGAAGGTGTTTAGGATGGTTACTTAAAATAGTGTTTGAAAGTGTCCTAGCATGGTGACAGCAGGATTTAAAAATTACTGTGATAGAAGTTACACCAGGTACATACCTAGGATGTTCTCGTGCCTCAGCAGCACTGTGTTGTAGATCTCAGTCTCTCTGAACCAGGACTTCTCGTCTCTAGAGGAGAAGATTTTGACAGCGACACTCTCGCCCTGCCACTGACCTCTCCACACTTCACCGTAACGTCCCTTACCTGGTGGACAAAAAAAAGTGAAGAAATTACCAAGAAGAATAAATAGAAACAGACTTATAAGATGCTGTTTTTCTCTTTGTGAGAACATATAAGGAGGAAAATACCCTATTCAGAGAGTAAATGCAAGAAAGTACCACAAATTCAGGCGAAAGGGTTAATGTTTACATGTGAGAGTCTTTGTCTGCAGTTGAAAGAAATGACACTAATGTAACAGCCAAATAAGAATCAGAGCGAGTTTGTCCGGCTGCCAGAAAACTAAACCAACATGAGTGCGCGTGTAGCTACATGATGTGTAAATTGGCAACAGTTTGCAGTCATGTGCGATGACATGGTGGTGTCTGTGTAAATGTCAACCTCCCTTTATGATGAGTGTAAATAAAAACATACCACTTTGATTTGTTGGCACGTTCTGAGAGTAAGTATTTACCAACCCCAACAGTTTAAGAGTGACGCAGAAGAGAAGGGAGAAAACTTCATCTAAACTCAAGTGACATAACTCTCAACACTGATAACCATGGCAACACTTGAGGCATAAAAAGGCGCGCTGTTGATGTTGATCATTTCTCTGACACTTAACACACTAAAGTCAGTCTTGAAATAAAGTTTGTGCAATTTTGTTTTGTCTGAGGGAAATTGCTTAATAAAACAGGATTGCTGATACTGTCGTAATAGTCCAATAGTTTAATATCCTCACAGCACAGTTTTGCAATGACTTTGTTTTTTTTTTTTAAAGTGAGTATTTGTTGAAGATTACAGCCCCTCTGTGGCATGTCTTTGGTCATCTTTGAAACTTTTTCTTTTTAGTACAAATGAGGCAGAGTACAAATCTGTGTCTGCTTAATTTGTAGTAAGGTGTATGCAAGAGTGTTTAGTTTGCAACTTCTTGCAACTGTGTCAATGTACAAGAAGCTAAAAGTAGGATCATACAACACCGAGGAGTATTGCATACATTTGTTTTGCATATGATAATTGAAACGACCCCAAAGAAAACTGTATCTGTCTTTGACAGATTGTTCCAGCAGCTATACTGAGGCTTAAAATGCGATGAGTCACCTATTTGGTGAGACTTTGCAGCATTTCTTGCATGTTTCCACTGTGTCAGCACAGTCAGAGTGCCTTTATTGAAATGAATGAAGAGGCAGCATTTTGTGAGGGGGCGCTATTGTCAGTTTGAAAACAGCCTTTAGCAGGACACTTACCCACACACTCATTGAGTGTGATTTGTCGTGCAACGGTTCTTTGGACGAGGAAAGGGAGTCCAGAGCCGCTCCCTGACGTGCAGGAATGATCCAGCAGATCCTGGAAAAAAGGAAACAAAAAAACAGTGTAAAGGACTTGGATATTAACACACACGTGTGTGCGTGTGCGAGGGAGTGTGTGTGTGTATTTCCAGGTAAGCTCTCTGAATGGAAACCTTCCCAAAGGACTCCAGGGACTTGGGCCTTTAAAAATGATGAAATAAGGAGCATCTGGGACTCAGATGGAGATTAATGCGAGCAGGCCTTTGATGTGGCACCCATGAGTGGAAAAGAGGGGGGCACGCTGAGTGTGCACCAGGATATTGTTTGTGTGGGTGTGGGTGTGTGTGTCTGTGCTGAAGGTGCAGGGTGCCCCCTGCTGAGTAAACAACAGAAGTGCCACCCCCTCTCCTGTGACTGGTGTAGGCGCTGGAGATTTTATCTAATCCAAGGGCTAGACTCCAAAACAGGCGCAATGCTGCTAAGCCTTTTATTTTTACCTCAGCTAGGAGACATGCAGCTTCTTGAAGCTGACACAAGGTGGCAGTGCACTGCAAGAGAGTCGGCTGCAGCTGAGCAAAACAAACCACCAAACTAGGAAGGGGGAGAAAGGGGACTGAAAACAAGAGAGAAGAGTGATGCCTCGGATAAACAGATGCATAATGCAAGAGGTGCCTGAGAGACAATTTGGAATCACAACACAGGAATACAAGAGAGCATCAGCTGAACGAGGAGTTTTTCTGCAGAGAGTTGAAATCCCTCTCTTTGGTACAGGAGGATTGTTTTTAGGAGGGCATATTTGGGCCAGCTGAATCAGAACGCAGAGTAATATTATCAGAATAATCAGTGACGAGTTCTGGGCAGTGGGCTGCTGAGGGACAAGCACATGTGTTTCAGTCTGATTTGCTTTTCGCAGCCACGCCGCTGTTCCTAATAACCTTTCTCATGATCCTGCCAAGAACTTCTTAATTATACTGACACAAACATTCTGCGGTTCCATATTTGGGGTATTTATTGCTGAGTGCATTGAAAGACTTTGGAAATAACTCGACTGGAAGCCAAAATCAGCTGCTTTTTCTCATTCACACAGCCAATGGATCATGATGACCACTCATTTGCAGGTTTTAATTCTTAAAAGAGAAACTACATCATCTGAGTTTTAGACATGCTCATAAAAAAGGCTCCATGTTAACTGATAAAGCCACAGTCGAAACAAAAGCTTTAAAATGCCTGTATGGACAGTAACAGTCAGGTACTTTATCTGGGTAGAAACTAGACTATGTGCAGTTTCTGCTGAACCTGATTACATGGTGTGTGTGAGCCAGTGAATGTGCTGGGTTGACTTTCAGACTGAAAGCTAACCACAAGACTCCACCTAAACTCTGGATCAGTTTAGTGGCTCTCCAAACAGAAACCGCTCTGCAGAAAGCTTAACGTCCACGCTTGAGCGGAGAGAAAATAAACAGCGAAAAAGACATTCCTTCACAGACTGGAAAAATGACTGAGAAGATGCAAAACAAGTTTGAAAGAGTTCAACTCCAGCACACACACACACACAAACACACTTGATGCATATGCAGCCATTATGCACACAGCTTTCAATGCTTTTAGATTAGAATTACCAAATACCCCTGGGATTATGATCCTGAAAGTACACTAAGTTCAGAAGTCTGCCCTACTGAATTTTATTATTTTTGGAGACAGGCCTTGACCCCAATGTGACTAAGCACTATAAGATATTAAGGCTTAAATCACTAGTGTGTTTTTTGAGTGCATTATCTAGTTTTTAAAACATTTACTGAGCCGAAGAGAAAGTTTGAGAGAATTTTGGAGCACTGAATTAACGGTTTTACTCCTTTAATGTGTCTCCAGCAACTTTAAACTGATTGTTTTAAGATTCCCTGATGTTCCCATGAGACATTAATGAGATATAACAGGTTATAACAGATATAACATTTATGAGGTATTGTGCAGCTCTTGGAGTCCAAGACAGATTTCCCTAAGGGGACAATAAAGTGTATTGTATCGTATCGTATCGTATCGTATCGAGAACCTGAGGAGCCATTTGGATAAATAGATAACAGTTAATAACTTCACAGCATTTAGTTCAGTCTAACAGCTTCATTTTGCCCTGGCTGAAAGTTTCATCTTTTTGTTTTCACAGGGGAAGTTTATCTGTTTCCTCTAAAAAGGTTTCTCCTCCCTCTTTGAACTGCTCCAAGTTGTCTTAAATAAGACTTAACTCTTTATGTCAGAGCCATCACAAAAACGCTTTGATCACAAATCTAGATAATAAAAAAAAAAAGAGTCAAACAGGGTTGAGCATGCCTTTGTGTCTCTACTGTATATTATCTTGTGGGAAGTAGAGCATGAGAGTACAAAGGGCCGGAAGTCCCAACTAATCTAAGCAAAACACTGCTTTATCACGTCACCTCAGCCCTGGAGTGACTGCAACACATCATTTTAGATAAATCACACCCTTGCGCTCCAGAGCAACTTTGAAGAGTGTCTCCATACGTACATAAAGGGTGACACAACAAAACCGCAAACGAAAACACGTTTGTATAAAGTCATGACAGGTCTAACAACAAGAGTTTTGATTATCAATGTTTGCCACTGCTTTTAATTGTCCGCTTGAAGAGTAAAGTTGAGTTGAGAGAGGCTAAGAAGTGTTAAAAGAATATTGTGACCTTAATTCCAGAAAAATCTGAAAGGTTTATATAAGAAGACATGGGATTAATCCAGTGGTTCTCAAGTCCAGTCCTCGAGGCCCACTGTCCTGTATGTTCTGCATGTTTCCCTGCTCCAACACACCTGATTCAAATGATTAGCTCGTTATTAAGCCATTACAGAGATTGATAACGAGCTGATCATATGAATCAGGTGTGTTGGAGCAGGGAAACATCCAAAACATGCAGGACAGTGGGCCTCGAGGACTGGACTTGAGAACCACTGGATTAATAGATGTGCTTTATTGATTCCAAACTGGGAATTCAGGAAAAATGAATTCTGGGTAACAAACTAGGAGAGTGTGGGGCATCAACTCCACTTAGAGAAGGTATCACTTGAACCTCTAGCTATTCCAGGAAGCTTTTTTACTGATCATGATCCTATTAATCTAGTGTTCCATAAAACCATTATCAAGTCCAGACTTCAGCTCAAAGTGCAAAGTCCCGATACAAAAAGTAAAACCAACACACTTTTGGTATCAAATGTTTCCACATTTGGCCCCTGAGGAACCAAACTTGTCCTGTTTTAGTGTCAAAACAAACCCAGCAAATGGTTTTATTCTTTCATCTGAAGTGGTCTGACACTGCAGACACTGTTCTGATAATCGGTCTCCCTTGTGCAGCGCTCTACGATTCTTTCTAATGAGTTTCGGAGAAATCCTCCTACATGGTATTCACCACTCACCGCCAGAGTGCTCTCCCCCACGTTGGACGCGATCAGACCGTCAATAGTTCCATATTCTGCATCTCGTGAAGTTAGTCTCTCCATTTGGTTGTGATGGATGCGTCTGAACACCAGGATTGCAATGGCAGAGAAGATGATGAGAGCGATGATGGGTCCCACGATAACCAGAGCCAGTGTGGTCACGCTGTAGTTGGGAAGCTCATCAGCTGAAAGAGAAGAGGAAAAAGTACAATGTCAGGAGTTTGTGGAGTTACAGGGTATGAAAGAAACAACAGAGATGATTTCAGAAAAGACCATCATAGTTTTGATTGTTGAGGAGGACTTGTCTTTCTTTTAACTAAGGCCCTGGGATCCACAATTCACAAGCTTGTAGCGCCCTGCAGACCTCCTTCAGAAACTGTCAGAGTGTTGGGGCGATTGTAGGGCAAACACAAGCATGAGCATTCACACGTTCACACACAGAGTGGATCTCATCAAGTCACCAGGGGCCGGGCCTGAAGAACTGACCACCATTCACACTTTCCAGACATTCCAAGGAAAAGACGGCTCAGCTCGGCCTGAAGTCCAGACAATGATCCCCTTCTCTCAACTCATATAATGAACTGCTTCTCCTTAACACTCACAGAGAAACATATTGTAGAAACTCACTAAATTTAAACTCAATGCACCAGGCAAAAGGGGTACGACTAACTGGGCAACTAAACAAAGAGAAATCAAGATGATTTTTGCTCTTTTTGCAAAACAAAAGGCAGTGAAAGTTCTCAGATCAATTCAATATCTGACCCTATCCCACACACAATAACTAAAAGCACATTTAGCGACTAATAAAGTTAAAAACAACAAAAAAAGAAAACAAAATCTCTATGTAGGGGTGGGCGATAAACCGAAAATTTACTGATACCGAACTTCACGACAATAACCAACGTCATTCTGCCCATGTCAATATATTTGGTGTCAAAATAAATAAATAAGTCTTTCCCCCCCCGGAAAATGCAAAATCGCATCGGTCTTGATGTGTATAGTCAGGCCCATCAAAATTCACCTCCGAATATTTGGTAATTTTGCGTTCTATATTCGTTCCCGTGTGTAAGGACCTTAAGTATGAAAAAAAGATAACTACCCACTGTAGTCTTCATTCTGGGCAGTAAAGTACTGTACCTTTAACAGGAAGCTGCACCGTGCTGTTCATGTTACACAGGTGCCCGTGGCAGCACTCCACAATCTGGTCTCTGGAAGGTGGAGTCTTGCAGGTCAGTGTGCTCTGCTCGTAGACCTTAAAGCAGCCTTTCTGGTACACCAGGGAGCCGCCACTGACCGTCAGCGAGGAGAAACACTGGTGGCCCATGCAGCGCTTCCCTGTTACGCATGAGCTGCCCTCACACACACACTCGTGCTCCTCTTTGATCAGGGGCTTTCCCTCCGCCTCTGCAAAAGAGTCAGAAAGGAGATACTGCCAGTGAATAAATTACCACGGTCTCTCCTGCATCACTATAAAAATGCTTAAAAATCCATATTAATGATGGGTTTTGTCATAAGACTAGAATGACTGTGAGTGACATAAGGTCTGTAATGAATGGCAGCCAGGAGGAATGTGCACAATGTGTACAAAGTCACCTCTCCCCGGAGCGTGCACAGTGACGTTCATGTTACACAGATGGCCCTGGCAGCACTTGACAACGTGGGCCGATGAGGGTGGCGTGGCACAGGTGGCTCTACCCTCCTCATCGTCCCTCAGGCAGCCCTTCTGTTGGACGGCCACCCCATCAATCGTCTTCAGCGAAGAGAAGCAGTGCTGGCCCGAGCAGCGACGGTCACGCTCGCACTCACTGCCCTCGCACGCACACTCCTGCTCCCTGAGGACCGGTCTGCCAGCAGACGGTTCTGTATCTGATAAAAGGCAACAGAGATACGGAGAAAACCATTAGAGTCAAACCATTAGTATCCCATTAAATTAAATGGCACTCACTTAGGTCAGAAGGAGTTGGAAATATGGTCTCTGTAAGTGAGCTGAAAGGGCCAATCAAGTTAACTTTATCACTTTTGAAGATTTGTACATGTTGTACTGTTGTGATGCTGATTTGAACAACATAACAGAGTCAAAATGGAAATGCAGCTGATCCTGCTGACTGATAAAGAACTCTGCAGAAAGGGATTGTGGGCAGTTATCTGATTTATTTTGAGGTTTCCCCCCTGAAATATAGTGGTAGGCTTGTTTTTCAGCAGCCTCTGAAGTGTCGGGAAAAAAACACCAACACAGATATGACAAATAAATAGAATTCAGTGAGATATGAAAGTAGACGACTGTTATTGGCGAAATGAAACTTTCTTTTTTTGTCTGTGTTTTAGAAAACATGATATTGGACCACAACCAAGGGACTGAGAGAGGAAAATCCAGCTTTTTCAAGAGTATGATGGTGCAGTGAGGAAAACACAGCTTACCTTTGACTCGTGACTGCAACGTAACGTTCATGTTACACAAATCCCCAGAGCAGCACTCCACCTGCAGCTCCGTCGTTGGTGGACTTCCGCAGCGTGGGGACCCTTCCTCATCAGCTCCAGTGCAGCCCCTCTGAAGAACCGAAGTCCCGTTCTGGATGGAGAGGGAAGTGAAGCACTGCTGGCCCACACATCGGTCCCCACTGCTGCAGGAAGCTCCTTCACACACACATTGAGAGTGTTTCACACCGACATCACCTGCAACAGAGAAAAAGAGTGATGAGACATGTCAGGATTTATTGATGAAAATGAATTGTGATCTTTTTTATGTCATTATTCTTTTCATAAAGAAGTGCAGGCTTTAGAAAAACTGACTGTTCATTCACTTCTCCTGTTCTGGAGTCTCTGATCTACACTGATGGTTCAGCATATTACAGAAAAAAGTTTTAAACAGTTTTCAGAAGGTGTGTCCTGATACAATATTGATAACGGATATCGGTACGATATCAGCAAAAAAAAAAGAATATTGAATTAAATTGGCCTGCATCTAAAATCTCCGATATCAGCACTCTGATACAAGCAGTCCATTCCAGACTCCACTCCAGCACCTCTATCTAGCTGCACCCGGATCTAACATGTAGAGCCCACATGATCACAACAACAGTGTGTACTAAGGTACTAACAAGGAGTAGGACTGATGTGTAGCAGTATTTTCTGTTTAATTCCAAAAAAGACGTTGCAGCTTAGTGCAAAACTTGTCATGCACAATTTTGTGCTAATATCGGTTCAATATCGGTATCGGCTAATACTGAAGTCTACAATATCTGTATCATATCAGCAGTAAAAAAGTTTAAACAGGACAACCCTAGTTTTCAGCCTAACCCACCCAGAAGAATAATAAGCGGCAATGATATTGAGAGCTTCATAAACAAAAAAAGGATACAACAGAAAATAGAACTACTGATAATGAGACATCAACATTAGTAAAAGTCTACTTTAAAAACATTCATTGAGTTCTAACAGTAAAACTTCTTCATTACAGAGGAAGACTGGGAAGTTCAGATATGTTACAAAAAGTCTGCATTTTTCAAAGCAGCTCTCTGAGTTACTCCTCGGCTCCTCCCTGATCTTTTCCAGTTTTAGAAAAATCATGACATCCAGACGACATCCAGACATGCAGGGTGTTTGATTAGATTGTCAGAGGAGCAGAAGTGTAGCGCTACAAAGAGCTCAAATGTCTGGCTTTTTAGGGGTATATGGGAGCACTGTTGCTTGATTCTGACTCCAGTCTGGCTCCAGTTTTGGACTTGAGTGCTGATGACTCAAACTTGGACTCCAAACTTGTGCACTGACAGCAGTCAGAGGGAGGGAGAGGAGGACTTGATTTGACACCTTCAGTGATCTTACTGCAATGTACAAAGGCGTAGTGATGGCATAGTGATGTTGCAAAGATGGAGTGAGTGCTTCTTCACATTAGGAAAGAATGGAGGGCATTGATGCACCTCACAAAGCCCAGTACTCTTTATTTTCAACCTGATTGGATCAGTCTATCCATCTTTCTAACTATCTCTGTATCTACTAGGGCTGGGCAATAAACCGAAAATCTACCAATACCAAATTTTACGACAATAACCAATGTCATTTTGCCTATTTCAGTATTTTTGGTGTCAAATAAATAAATAAATAAAAGTTGGTTTTGGATGTGTGTAGGTAGGCTATTGTCTCATGTCCCTTTAAAGCGTGACTCCACCCCATCCAGTCCGTAACAAAGAGGGAACGACAGGTGAGGAGATGGAGGACAGTTAGAAAGTTGTAGCAGCAGGAGCGGCGGCTGAAGTAAACAAAAGTTAATGTAGGAGGGAGTGAGCAGCTTGTTGAGTAGTTATCATCCATTAATCATTATCGAGGTGAAGTGCCTAATATATCGTGATATTGATTTGAGGCCATATCGCCCAGCCCTAGTATCTACTTTTGCTTTTACTGGATAGGACACCGAGAGAGCAGAGTGCTGCAGCCCGCAGCCAAAACAGTGACCACTGTGAGGTAGACTATCACCTCTGTTCATGGGGCGCAGCTTAAATCACTGGGTCAACTAGCACCCTGCTTCATTTACAATTTATACCTCCAGAAATATCAGTTAGGGCAGTGGTTCTCAAGTCCAGTCCTCGAGGCCCACTGTCCTGCATGTTTTGGATGTTTCCCTGCTCCAACACACCTGATTCAAGTGATCAGCTCGTTATAAAGCTCTGTAATGGCTTAATAACGAGCTAATCATTTGAATCAGGTGTGCACAGTCAGTGTTCAGGACGTTTATTCATGCAGGGACTAGTCTGGAGTGAAGGGCTAGGGTTAAGATTCAAGGTTTGTTGTCACGACTACAAAGCTGGTGGTCTAAAGGATACCCATGTTGCTATAAAGGGCCAGTTTTCAGTATTCCCTCAAATATCTAGGACATGGTCTCCAAACAGTTGAACCAGGAGATATGGACTGAATTTTTCATAAGCTTTAACATGTTTTGCGCCCTCCCTCCCTCTTGAATGTGGACGTATGTATCATTTTTGTAAGTGTGGAGAAAGTGAGGCTAGCCGGCCCATAAAAGCTCCACTTTCCACCGCATTCCTCAGCCACTGCAGTTGTTTAAAATAACACTGAGAGACAGCAGATGAGAGGCAGACAGACTGAGGAGGGGCGGCGAGAAGAGAAAAAAAAATGTGCAAATTTTTGGTTTATGCCTGTGAGAGACTTAAGGGGGACACAGAGACACACAGAGGCTGAGCGATGGTGGGTGTGTTTACTTGAGTTAAAAAGAAACGGGGGGAAAACAGACATGGATCTCTTTCTCTCCTGCATGTGTTTGAGACTTCAAGTGAGTGTCTGACCCGCCGATTTCCTTTGTTCTTTTTGAAACAGGGCTGATGACTCGGCGTTTTTCAACATTCAGATGTAGCGGGGAAAAAGCTAAGTTAAAAGCAGATCCTGTCTCGAAGCCGGCGCTCCCCCCTCAAGGTCTGATGTGACAAGCTGTGTTTTGTGAAACGACGCTTACCCTCCAAAGTGGAGCAGGGAAGGACCAGGATGATCAGGACCAAGAGAGGCACGCCCCCGACCGTCATTGTAGACCTAGAAGGAGAAAAAACAGACACACATTAGGGGTTAGAAAGTGTCACAGCTGCATGAAGAGTCAGGGATCACATTTGTTTGTAATGCAGGGAGCTCAAGGATATATTTCTCAAAGATGTTTTTGGGGTAGTAGCATGCAGCGAGACAGAGAACCACGAGACTGAGACAGATAAGGACGGGATTTGCAGCCGACCTAAGAGTATTAGAGAGAGCAGTTTGACAGAGAGGGGCCTTTCTTATTTTGGGAAGAAAAAAAGAGTCAACACCAAGTTTAAAATGCTCAAGTAAAGTGGGTCTCATGCCTTCCTGTTGTCCTGGCAACAAGGCATTGAGTGGCAAGCAATGGGGAGACTGGTGCTCTCCTATTGGCTGCCTCTGTGCGTGCATGTGGGTGTGTGTGGTGATGTGTGTGTATGTGCTGGAGGGACAGGCTGCTTGGCAGTGTGAGGGGAGAGGAGCAGACAGACGAAAGAGAAGAGGAGGAGGAGGAGGAGGAGGAGGAAGAAGAAGAGGAGCAGGGAGAATGAGTGTGGGTGCCCAAATACTATCGTTTAGAGACCTGGAGACAGTCTGATCCTTCAATATTTAATGCGTCTGTAGGAGTGCCCACATACGCCATGCAGCTCTGTTTGTTTGTTTGCTTTACCCAGTGACACATTTTAGCAGACGACCAGTTTAACTCACACTGTAAACTCCAGAGAACGACTACCCATCTCATAACTGGGATGATCTGTGAGTTTTGAGGAGACGCCGTTGCCCACAGCGCACCCTGTTTATGCCAGGATGTTATCTTGGAAGCATGTGTGTGAGCGCCTGAGTGCATCTGTGCCACAGAAAAACACCCAAGCACACCCCCCTCCCTCCCTTACTTGTACCTCCACCCCCTCTAGGCCTTTGTGCCCGTCTCCCAGACATAAATGATTAAGCACGTAATGTTAGCATTAGCCCAACGGCGGCGTCTGTACGGGCCGCTCGCACACAGACCACATGCTGCTCCTTTAATCAGAGCACAAAACAGAGGCTGCCACACAGAGATAATCAGGAGCTCTGTCTGCGAGAGGAGTGAGGGAGGAGCAGGCAGGGGAGCGCGCAGGAGGGCATGAGGAGGCGAGGGAGGTGTGTAGCCAAGGGGCAACTGGGGGACAGTGGGTCAGAGAAGGGCAGAGAACAGGGCCAACGTGTGCTGCAGCGTCGAGGTGGGCTAAACGAAGGGAAGTGGGACAAGGAGGTGTCTGGTGTCGGTGCCCAGGGGGGACAGCGGGAAGAAGGGCACCATGCTGGTAGGGGTGGGGTGGGGCAGGGAGGGGGCAGTCGGATGACGCCAGGGGGCTGGAGGGAAGCGGGATAAAGAGATAAGCAGAAGAACAATAGTCTGGATAGTCTGGAGCTGAGGAAAGAAGTGATTCAGTCTGTCTGGTTATCTTCATATTGACTCATATATCAGTCATGGAGAACGAGCACATATCCTCACACACACACACACAGATACACACACTGCTGACAGATCAATAACTCACCTCAATTAACTAAGTAGAGCATGTCATGGGGCTCTGTTTAATGGCTTCAATTAGTGTAGGTAAATGATTTGCTGCTTTTTTGTTTACATTTACTGCAGAAAGACCCTCGACGGGGCACTTCAATCATCCCTGTCTCTGTTTATCTCTCCCACGCAGACACTTTGTCTTAAATAAGCTATCATAAAGTGAGTGGGAGCCAAAGAAGCAGCTAAGTTGCACTGTTAGGAGTTTGCAGTTACTGTATGCACACAGCAAATATTACCGCCTATATGTGCTGCAGAGTCTTGTGGGCCTTTCCAGCCGCAGAGCACTAAGTTTACTCCTGCTTTTTTCATTTTGCACAGATTCTGTGCGACACATACTCGCTCCGCATACATCAACGCACGAGGCAGAGGTCGACGTCACGAATCATCACGTTAGCTAACGGCTTTGTCAAACGAACGCGCAGCTAGGACTCGTCCTGATATTGGAAACCTCAGAAGGGATTCTTGGAAAGGAGAGAGGCAGGGCGAGAGCATCTGCAGAACCGATTGCGATCTGAGCAGACAACTTCATGCCGCTGTGTGTATGAAGTTGTGTGTGTCTGTGTGTGTGCGTTTGTTGCAGCTCTCTATCCCTGCGTATTGAATTCTCTGGCAGAGCTCTGCAGTGTGTGTGTGTGTGTGTGTGTGTGTGTGTGTGTGTGTGTTCACGGAGCTGACATCCTGCCAAGGGTGTGCTCTCATTTCCCCCTCTCTATCTGTCTCAACCCCCATCTTTCCTTTTATTCCCTCTTCCTTTACCCTCCGATGCGGAGCTGTAATAGGAAACCAGTATAAATACCACATGGTATTTATAGCTTACTCTCTTATGTTTATTGCTGTTGGGACCAAAAGTCTAATGGGTCTTACTCGAGTGTGATTCAAGCAGCATTTTTACCAAGCTCAAAGAGGGTGGCCAAATGTTATTTTTACTGTGTGACTATGAGTAAGTTGTTTGTTTTACTCTGCATTGTGATGATTCCTTCACTTCTCCTCCCTCTTTCAATCTGGGAAAGGTTAGGCAGTTTATATTGGCCGCCATTTGGAGGTGTCTCAGGCTCACATTTTGCAGCTTAGGAAAGTAAATTAAGTACTGTGCTTGAGTACAGTTTTGAAACGCTAGAAGCATAATTGTTCCCGCAAGTTTAAAGTCTACTTTGCCAGATTTCTGGAAAAAGACCTTGTGTTTTTTACATTATAGAAACAATTTTCGTACATTTGTTTTGGGGTTTTTTTGCAGATACCCAAGCCCTAGTAAAAAGGACAAGTGCTCAGTCTTGTGCTTTTGGCTTTCTTATAAGTTGCATAGCCTAAGAAATGGAATTAAGGGGGCCACTGCAGCACAAGCAGCACTGCCATCTAGGGATGTCCCAATACAATATTGATAATGGATATCAGTCCAATATTAGCAAAAAAACTGATATTAGATATTATCCACCTGCATCTAAAATCTCCGATATCAGCACTCTGATACAAGCAGTCCATTCCAGACATCGCTTCGGCACCCCTATCTAGCAGTGCCCTGATCTAGCATGCAGAGCCCACATGATCACAACAACAGTGTTTACTAAGGTACTAACAAAGTAGCAAGGAGTAGGAGTGATGTTGGCTGTGTACATTTTTTTGATTAAGTGCAAAACTTGTCATGTGCAAGTATGCCAACAGTTCGCTCTTATTGCCACAACCAGAAAAAGGGTGAAACAAACACTGTTAGAAGAGATGTAGATGAGAGGACAAGGATGAAAGAACCTAAAAGAGAGGAGCGAGGAGAGAGAAACCCTGGCATGTGAAATACAGAGCGCTGATGAGGTCTTAACCAACCAGGTGCACCAAGAGTAGGAAGAAACAGCCCTGCATTGGAAACCAGTTCTGAATTTGCTGTGCACAAGTGAAGCATAGGGAATTTTGACCAATAAAGCACATACTCCATCCATCTTTTACACATATGTGAGCCTCTTTAAAGTACAGGGTACATATAACCCCATTAGCTTGCATTAAGTTAGCTTGCATATCAAACTCCAGACAGCTTTTCATGAGGAGTCATACTGACGGCTATCTACGAGATGCAATTTTACTAATGCTGCGTACGTCATACAGCATCACTTCAAATGAACTCTTTAGACTACGCCTTTGGTCATATGAAGATACCTGAATACTAATGAAACATTTGTACTATGCAAGCATGTTTACAAGGTGATACTGTGCACTACCAGGACTTGTGGTTTACGCTCATTAAAATCTGTTGAATTAATTAAAAAATAACTCAAAGCTGTGTAAATCTTTGAATTGACAGTTTCCCTTTATCCTTTCACCTACGTTATTAATCTAAATACTTGTGCTGCCACAGGTATTTTGGCTGGTGGTATCGATGCCTCTGAGGTGCGTAAGCACTGACCCTGCCCATGGAAATACAGAAACCACATTGAGCTCAGCACAAGCCAGCCAAAGTCTGTGAGTATGTGTGTGTGCGTGTGTGTGTGTGTGTGTAACCCAGAGAGAAATAGTTGGAATAGACTGAAAAGTATGTTAGGGTTGACTCCTGCTGAGCGCTGCTGGAGGGACATGAAAGTGATCCTACATATCAAGGCTCCCATTTTATGACGCCACATTTCCTTCCCAGACTCTTTCCAGTGATCCCACTCCAGAGGGCCATCTCGATAAGCACCGCTTTAAGAAGCTGAGCAGAGCTTAACATGATTAGATGGAGATGATTAAACATGCCACTCAAACGCTGTGATTTATCCGGCTGAACCCAAGGAGAGACACATGTGGACCGTTATGTTGCTCTAAAAACATGTTAGGAGGAGGCGGTACATGTTTCCGCCCACATGGCAACATCTAAATGTGTCATGTTAGATCTTATAGTTTATCTCTTTTTTTGTGCTTCTTGGCAACAGTCTGGAGTGATTGTCCAAATTAATTTCAAACATAAACAGAACCTCTTTAGTCTGCTTGGATGCTTCTTTATTTTGGTCTGTTTTGCATTCAGGTCATGACGAAGGAGAGAATGACAAAACACTACTTTGTCTGATGAGCACTGGTGTATCACCGAGGTTGAGGAGGGAGGAGGCTGGAGGCCCTGCAGGAGCTGCTGAGTCATCATGCTGGCGAAGAGGGAGACAAGGGGTGGAATCTGTGTCTGAGCTGGCATGCTGGCACAGTTACCATGGCACAAATAGCCCGGGCACTGAAGAAAAACTGCAGCAAAACTGCAGGGAGCACGAGGAAAGGAGCAGGCGGAGACTGGGGCAATGCAGAGCCTGCTGTGTGCGTGTCCCCGTTCCCCGTCCTCGTCCCCAGACCCAGACAGCCAGAGAGTCAGCATGCCGTCAGGGACACACAGATGGCTCGCTCTTAGGTGCATGTGGGTGTTAATACAGACCTGAGGGCGAAGTCCTCCTCTCTGCAGCAGCCCACATTCATATTCACACTACAGCTCAGCAAATCAACACATTCAGCTCCGTCTGAAAAACATAATCTGCCTACAGTCAAACACAACACCAGGGATGACTAAAACTAAGCTAATGGAATAAAAATGCAGATTTTCAGGAGGTTTCAAGTCGATCTGCCCTCAACAAGACGACAGCTCTGATTATTAGTCTCAGAAAAGACTCTTATTTCAAGACTTGTCCTCTGAATCTCTGCATGTTTGTTTTTCAGCTGCATCATTATACACAGAGCAGAGCCAGAGCAACAGCATGACAGGGTGTAAACTTTAAAAGCCACAAATTGTTCAGTCATTGTTCATGAGGTTTTTATCCAGAGCCAAATTATCCACAGAGGTCTCCTCCTCTCCAAAACAAACAGGACCGGTGACTAATAGTGGTTAAACACTGACTAAAGCAGTTTCATGTTCAAATCACTGTTGTCTGATGTCCTTCTGCAGAGTTTGGGGACTGACACCAGCTGCCTAACTGTGGTCTGGTAGTTCATTCAAATCCTTCAACAACTTATATAATTATCAAGTTAAAACAACAGAAAGTTGACCTTGAATACCAAGAAAATGCTAGTCTGAGATCTTAAAGGGATATTCCGGCGTAAAATTAAGTTAGGGTCAAACACACCGGAACAGCGAGTTAGACAACCCCCTCGAGAGATGAATGTTGCCTCCAGCAGCCACTTGTTAGTGGGGGAGCCCTGACGAGTCGATCACTGAGTGCAGCGGAGTTTCGCAGCTCAAGGAAGAACATTTATGATTATGACTTTATGGAAATGCAATCAGACAGAGACGCTAAGGCAGAAGAACTACCGCGTCTGCAGTGCAAAATGGTTATTATGATGATTATTACTTCAAGGAAATGATCCGCTGCTCCCCCACAAACAAGCGGCCGCTGGAAGAGAGTAGGTGAGTTTTGTTTAGTCTCTTTGCTAAAGGAATTAGGGAAAGTTAAAAAGATGTTTGATGGCTAGTACTATGGCTGGGACCCTATATGTACTGTTGATGAAGTTAGGTGCTGTTCTGAGCATTATTTGTGGCTATAGAGTGGATTTTTGGTCGAGGTTTGTTTATGGCTACTTAGACCACTGAGTATTGCTATCGTGCGGTCCTTACAAAAGTTGGTATAACTAGGGAAGCAAGCAATTGGCAACACTCACCTCTTGAGGGTGTCTAACTTGGTGTTACGGTGTGTTTGACCCTTACTTAATTTTGCGACAGAATATCCCTTTGAGTACTGTATAATAGTGTGTATTAGAGGTAAAATAGTACGCTGTTCAATAGGGCTGGGACGTTATGCTTTTCTCCCGATTCAATTCTTCTACGATTTATTGGATGCCAATTCGATTTAAATTGCGATTCTATGATGTCTATTTTCTTGATTTAAGTCTACATTTTTAAAACCAGTGAAACAGTTAAATGATTATGATTGTCTACTGACTATTCCAGGAACCATATTTCCCAAAAAAATTACATATCACATGTAACTCAGTTTTTAAGAATAATTCTTAAATTTGAAAAAAAAAAAATCGTTTTAGAAATTGTTAAACAGAAAGTTGCAATGCTTATGTGAATTGATTTTTTCTCGAACCCCTACTGTTCAAAGAGTTTGTCTCCTCTGCAGACTTTTGAAAATGAGCGCTTCGTCCCCAAGGGCTAATTCTGAGTCTGAACCCTGAGCCGGGAACAGTCCTATTTAGAGAAAATACACATTCAGATTTGACACAACTGCAAGAGTAATATGTAGGAGACCAATAAATCTTGTCTATAAAAGAAAGAATGGCGCACACTAATGATTCGAACATCTGTGTAAGATTGAAATGAAATCTGAGCAACAATATGAGGGTGTGCACTCCAGAGAGGTACCACCGTTTCCCACGATCCAAAGTTATTAATTCCCAGAAAACAGCTTTAAACGATGGTACTTGGAAAAAGTTGTCACCTCTAAATCACCTGAGGGCAAACCAATTTAGAATCTAAAAGCTCTCGTCGACAAGCTGACGGCTTGTTGATGTTTGGCTTGAGGCTCCAATACGTTGAGTGATATCAGTGATCATGCAGGTTCAGTGCATGCCGCATGTTGCAAGATGGGTCTAATAAAATCGTGCCCCACATCTGTGCCAGGCTGTGTGATTTAACCTTCAAAGCATGTGGTGAATTTCTGATAGAGGAGCAGAAAACGGGTTTTGAACTTTCTATCACGCTGTCACCAAACCTGCCAAGTCTGACACGAACAGATATCCCTGGTTTACACTAATGGTGGTCAACTCCAGTCAGGAAGAGGAGGAGGAGCCTACAAACTGCAGGTTTTCAACAATCACGAACTGGACAACAAGTCAGCGTTTGCTTCTGTTCAGTCCCTACCAGAGGGATTGCTCTTTCAGAAACATTCTCTCAATCATAACCAAGTCAAGATCGTAAAGCTGCGGTTCTTATTAGGAATGTACGAGCTAAGCTAATGACATGATCAAACATTACCACGCTTAGAATTTGGCAACATAATTACTGCCTGGTGAAAACAATTACACATAGTTTTATTGGTCTGAGCCTGAAATGCTGGTCTGGTGTTGTGTCAAAGCTCTGTGTTTATATATTACTACTGGACCAGTTTGAGTTTTAGACTAGTTTTGTCTCCTCACATCATCCTGTGCTGATATCTTACAGATTCTTCTGACATAAATTATTAAAAATCTGCTTCATTGAGATACCTACATCTTAATGTGTTGTCTCAAAGCTTGGTTTATACCTCAGCGGACAGTGATTGTAAGCCATAGCTAGCTTGCAGTGGCTGACATCTTCATGAGTGCTTCATACTTGTGCTTTGGAGTGTCAGCATCGTTCTGCAATACTTCACCCATGCACTAGTAGGCAGTGCAACTTTTAAGCTCGACATATCCTTAGTTATTGTCTCTGCTTGTTTACGCATGGACACCATTGTGACTTCAAGACTAAAGTTGGTGTACAGTGTTCATAGAAATGCTGTATATGCAGAAAATACAATGCAGCACAGCTGATCAGCCACAGGACTTGCAGTCTGCATTGTTAGTTACATTTCTGCATTGGTGCAGGACTCTGACAACCTATGGTGTGTGCTACAGTTAAGATTCAATGCAGAAGTACAAATCAGGCCTACAGTTCAGCAAGAATCCCCCTCTCAGAGCCCTGCAGTGTCTCAGTAGTTTGCTCCTTACATGATAATAGGAGTGTAACCAAATGCAAATAACCTCCTCCCTAAGTTCAGCTCTCACTCACACGTTTACTGTTGTAGGCAACAACTTTGTGGGTTTTTTGTTTCTTAGATACAATCCAGGGTGTGAGCAAACACACACACACACACAGAAGAGTGTTTTCAGCTAGGATCAAATGTAATCAAAGACAATAGTCACCTTGTCTTTCTGCTGTAGTCCCACAAGTCCCCCCCTTCCTTTTACCTTTCACTCAAAACACCAATCTGACACACAAAACAGATCATCATGGTTTCAAGTTTTTCTTTGTGAAATCACACGACAGTGATATGCTTTGGGAAAGTTTTAAACTCTTATTAACAGCAAGTGAGTCAGAAAATATGATCTATGTCCTGACACAGTCTAGCCTGTTCATGAGATAAACCACAGATGATTTTGTGATCTTCTGAGGTTGTACCTCTGAGTTGTTTGAAGTCTTGTAAGACACCACTAAACAGCCCAGTGGAGACACTGTTAACAAGTCCACCCTGCGATGGTCACCATAGCAATTAGACAAGCATTTTCACACAGTCATCAAACTTCTGAAAGAGCTAGTTCAAACAGTCTTTATGTCTGCAGTGTTTGCTAACAGAGGAATGCACAAACACTCTCCCTACCAAAGGACCGCTTCACAAAGTTCACCGGCCCTAGTTAATACTTCTTTCCAAAGGACACCTTGATTTGTGTCACGCTACACCTTTACAACACATTTCTCTTCTCAAGAAACGACAGAAAGAAGCAACTAATGTAGGTACAGCTGTTCGAGGCTCAGAGAGCGTTCAGTCTGTGATGATTCTGTGACACACCAAGCAGAGCCGGAGCTAACAGAACAAGACAGCAGGGACGATGATGTAGGTAACCCTTGCTATGCTAACTGAGCCATTCACTGCAGTGATGATAATCACTCAGCAAACAGCTCGCAACAGAACAATGGACGTGTTAAAAGGACTTTTCTCAGGGCGATGACATCCTGCTGCCAGCGGATGCTTTACAGCCGGGGAGTTTCTGTCCTTCAGGTGATGACACTGTGAAGGCAAAACACCAATAAACTAACTTCAAAGATACAAGCGGTGAGAATTTAGGGCTTCATACATTGATGTGGGTGATTATCATTAATCAGTCTAGTGCAGTCCCCTGACTATCTTATGGCTCTCTGCTGTGTTGTTGCCTGAAGCTTGGAACCATCTTATTACAGAGGTCAATGAGGATTCTGTTGAAAATAAAGTCGGTCTGATCTAGTTTGGGCTCCTGTGAGGAGTTTTTTGGTGGCTAGGAAACCGTTGATGCTACAAAAGCAAACAACTCCAACAACATGACATTGTTTTTCAAGGTAATATCTTAGTTGTTGTTTTAACACGATTTTGAGTATGCCACTTATTTTGCAAGGACCAATCAAAACATGCCTACATGATAATACAGCGCATACGCAATAAGAACATATGCAGTGTTCACAAGAGATGGATGTTGCTCTAAAGACGCCATAGCAGAGAGCCACTGCTGTTGAAACAGCCCAACAACTAACTTGTTTCACCTTCTGGGAATTAACCATCAAACAGGACATGGAGGACGTGTAAAGCGTTTGCAGTCAGTGGCTTCTTTTTTGCAAGATGCTGGCTTTGTCTTCAGGGGGCGCCAAAATCAACACAAATTGAAAGTGAGTTTCTGAAAAATGAACTGTATTAAAGTAAGTTTCAAAATTCTTCACTAAAGCAAAAACAGATCTCACATGTTCAGTGTTATTTAAACCCAACTTGGACAGTGTGGCACCTTGCGTCTCGCTGTGGTTGTACACGATGGTGTTTTCTCATGGATTTTTACATCGAACAGAAACAAAGCCATAACTTTCCCCACAACAAAACTGAGCAAAATTGATCTGTAGAAACTCAATGACTGGAGCTGAATTATTCATTGAGCTAAAATACCAAGAATCACTTCATCTTAAATCTTCAAACTATTTCCTTTTTAAGCTAACTTTTAGCTGGCTCCCAAGTTTAGACAACCAACATTCATTATCAATTCATCTATTGATAAAAAAAAGTTTAACTTTTAATGCTCCTACTGTCTCCTGGTGTTTACTCAAACCATGTTTTTCTTCCTTACCTTCAAGACAAAGTCAATTAAATTCATTAGACGGTTCATCTACAAAGGCCCGAAAGGTAAAAAATTAAACATTTTGTACAAGTTTCGGCTACTTTGCCATCAACAGGCCGAATGAACCTCTTCAGTATAGTATAAAGTCAGTAAAATGTTATACATACTTTATTCAAGCCCAGTACAGAGGAATAGATTTCCTCCATGGTATATTTTCTGTGGCAAGACACCAATGTACAACCTGACCACCACTCTGGTTATTTTATGACCCCATGACCCCAGGGATAATATACACGTTATTCCTGATATGTGGACAAGGTGCCCGCACCAAATAAGAGCTTGTTTCTGGGTCTGGGAATGAGATCAGAGAGAAGAGGCAGCAACAGAAACAAAGCCATAACTTTCCTCACTAACAGCTGAGCGATAAGACAAGAGCACTGAGGCGAGTGAAGGGCTCATAAAATGTGTATTGCAGACTGTCTCCGGTGCAGTCTGGGGTTAGAGAGAGAGCACTGCAGATCTGTCTGCATGAGTGTGGGTGTGTGTGTGTGTGCTTGAGTGTGTGTGTGTGCAAGCATCTGTGCAGACAGTAGTGTCTTGTCTCCTTTCTCTCTGTCTCCACTGGTCTCCATCCAAATTGAAAGACAGAAACAGAGAAATCAATACGTCCGTGCAGAGCCACCAGAAGAACAGGAAGTGGAAGAGGACGACGATGAAGAAGAAGAAGAAGAGGAGGGGAGCAGGACTAAAATCTGGCAGATACACAGGCAACCCTTTTATCTCATTCTCTTTCTCCCCTTCTCTAACTTCCTGTGTCATGCTGAGACTGCAGTGCCCGCGAGTCCCAGACAGCTCTCCTCATCATGATATGTTTTGGCTACACAAGGCTGATGATTATTAAAAGGCTCAAGGATTTCTTTTTTTTTTTTTTCATTTCTGACTAAAAATAACACTGCAGACAGAGGGCCTCTCTCTGAAAAGCTGGACACAAGCACAGAGCAGAAGCAAAATCTCAACCCACATGCTGTATTCCTCCGCAGCCTGCTGCCTCATTTCATGCCAGGTTTGTTGCTAGTCAAACTTTCCAGGATAAGTCAGCGTATAAACACAAAGCTGCACGTGCACCCACACACACACACACACACAGATAAGGCACAGACATAGCAAAGATAGCTGGAGATCGCTCCTCTGAGTCAAACTTCAACTCAGGATCTTTTTTTCTTTGACTCAGCTGCCCTTTTTCCACCTGCAACCACACACCTATTCATGAACCATCTTCCAAACACACACACACACACAGACACACACAGAGGCAGGAATACAGTGTCCCCTCCCCTCTTCCCTCCCTCCTTTCCCCTCAACTTGAGAGCCACCTACATAGAGTAACAAGGAGCCTCCGACTCTTCTTGCTCAGACTTGAAGCAGTCTATCTTGGTCTTATAACCGCGCTTCTCCTGCTAATGACAGACTGTGTAACCTGATTCCACACAAATGCATACACACACACACACACTCTCACACACACACACACAGAGTCCTCCCCCCATCTCTAAAACACTCTCTCAGGGTTTTTGGGAGCTTGCATATTGTTCCAACCCAAACTGCCAGCTGCTTCTGACAGCCAAATTACTGAGCACAGAGAAATGATTGCTATCAGAGCCCCCCCACCCCAACAAACACCCCCCATCCTGCTGCTCACACTCACCTCTTTCTCTCTCAGACGCTAAGACCTCTGTTGGCAAATTAAACACATAATACCCACCAGAAAGACAGACGAGAATCCCTGAAGCCAGTGAAAGAGCAGCAGTGAAAACTTGAATGAGTTCTGCGTGGGAGAGGCAAAAACTTTCAGATTGAGATCAAAGAGTCTTATTTCCAAAAGTTTGTTTCAAAGCACTTCTGCCGCTGCATCTCGTGATTATATTCAGCATCACTTAATCTGATGAGACGTTTCTTTTTTGATTAAGCAGCAAGTCTGTAAAAATGTTGGAATAAGCGGGGGAAATGACTATCGCACTCTGCCGAGTACGAGTTGGAATCTCTTTCCTCACAAAACTTCCAACAAAGACATTTATTCAGTCAAATGCTCATCATTTGGGGGATCAGAAGTGATTTAGTGATCTGAATGAACTAGAAATAACAGTAAAAGCTGGTAGAAAAACAGGATGTACCTACATAATTAGATTTCAGGATATAACTATGACCGTAAGAAATGTACTTCCCACTATTAATCGATGGCTAACATCATTTATTGTTGTGGGAATAAGACAAAACAGCATGACATGAGTTGCTGTGTATGCGTGTCAAGTTTTTCCTTTCTGATCAGAGATTCCAAAATCACTGTTACCATGGATCCGTTCAAGCCCCGCGTGTGTCAGGCATTTAATCTGAATAAAACAGTTCAGACATGTTCAGACATCTCATGTGTCAGAAATAGCAGACATCTCTTGACTACTGAGACATTCAATGGTCCTGAGTTCTTCAGTGAATCAGATATTGAGCAGCATTATTTATAGTAGTAGATTATCTTAAAATGTGTCAATGATTCCTAAATTCTCACACCACAATGCCATCACTATAATGAGACATGTATCAGGTAGTTATCCTGCTTCTTCTCACCCTAGTAAGAAAACATTCAATGAAAGAAACAATGTTCAGTAATATATTTTACAAACTTAAAGCCTCCTGTCTATAAATGCAGAGATCAATAGTTGAGACACTATTGTTAGTAGGGCCAGACCGATTTATCGGCGAGCCCAATTAATCGGCCAATTTTAGCCTGTTTGAGACTAATCAGTAATCGGCCAAAACTCACCGATTTTTGCAGATATTTTCAGAAATAAAATGCGGAGCATAAGCTTCGGTTTCACTTCAAAAATGTTCCGCCATTTGAAAAGTTCCCTGACTTATCCTGTAGATGGCGCAGCGACCTCATGACAATCTCCATCCACTAACTACCTCACAGCACAGCAAAGTGACGGATCTGGAGCAGGCAGCTCAGGGACGCACGGAGGAGAGTGGTCCGCCTCAACGGTAAATAAACCAGTTTGTGAAATACACAGTAAGTCGACAAGTTTCAGTTCAACCCACTTCACGATGTTCCCCGCTGTGCTGAAATTAGTAACGTGAGTTAAGACGCGGAGGCACCGATCGGCAGCGGGGAAGTAGATACTGTAGATATCTACAGTATATATGTATTCTTAAGAACTTCATAAAAAACTTTAAAAATCCACTGATTAATCGGTTATCCAACCCCCCCCACAAAAAAAAAAATCTGAATCGGCCCCAAAAAATCCATATCAGTCAGGCCCTAATTGTTAGGTCTTAACTGTTAGTTTAGTGCTCGACTGGTTGGGTTGCTTTTGAAAGGCTGTTTTTAACAAAGAAACATCCCAAAGCCAAACAATAACATTGCTGTTAGCCCAAGAGAATAAGGAAAGCTCTGATCTGCTCCATGAGAACAGGATCCTCAAGATCCTCATGCTGTTGAGCTTCGGTCTCAGCCCAGACTGCCTGGCTGCTTTTTATCTGACCATTATCAGCCAGACTCCACGACACAAGCTCCCCCTGAGAACAGCAGGCGCCCACCAAGAGGTCCAGCCCCGGTGACTGGTCAGCTATGGGGTTACATTCTCGAGATTGAGAAGCAGAGAACAAATAACCTCAACTGGTGGAGGTCATTAATGTTTAAATACATTTTAAGAGGTAAATTCATATTGATTAAACAATCTACTTTCTAGACACCAGCTCTGGTTGTCAGACTGGTGTGCATTAACAATAAAGTGTGGTCAATTGAATGCAATGCAATTAGGGAAAGCTTGACTTTGTTGTGTTCAATTACACAAACTACGCAGGAAAACAAATGCACAATGGAGTGCTCCCCAGACACTCGGGCTACAAGGGAAGAAAATCCTGATTAGTATGTGGGAATGTAATTTAGTTAGAGCAAGTCTCCGACACAAAGAGTGGATTCTGGGGAACAACACTTGAGTGTGAGACATCCCCATTCACACTTCTTTTAATCTGCACAATTATCTCTGAATGTTTTCAGCCAGAGTTGACACCTTGGTAATGAAGTTTGCACCCTTCCTTTGAGCGGCTCTGCTGGCTTTACATTGAAGTGTCCTTCAATCTGTTTGCTCCATTAAAGTCAACATACACTTTTGGGTTTTTCTGGAAAGGTTACATCATACATAGTGTGAAAAACCAGCTCAATATCAAACTCTTTGCAAACAATGCTGTGTGATCAGCAATGTTGTGGGCTCTCTCCCCCCCTCCTGCGCCTTGGTTGTGATGTTAAAAGTGCTCAGCAGGGGATGATGAGACACACGATCACGCAGGAACGACCCTCCCAAAAAACTGTTTGCATGACAAAACTCCTTACAAAGTCACATCTTGTCGCGACGTTGCGAGACTGATGTGATTGTGAAAGACGAAAAGTCGCAGTGGTAGACCAAAGACATTTAATTAATGCGATTTGAACGCATCTCTATTTATCTAACCCATCACAAATAATAAAAAACAATCCACCTGGAGAGGCTTTATATTTCTATATCAATATATTTATTTATTTTTTTGCTGAGGACGATTCAGGCTGCGATTAAAACAGGCCAAGATTTTAGGAAGAAAAGCTGGGAGGGGGACAGGATTTCTTGGGAGCAGCACGTCACGAAACATTTTCCTGCGAGTCAGCTAACTTCTCCACGGCTACCCAAATATCTCGTCATAGTAAAAGAAAAATGACTATTAAAGTTAAGTCGAAATACAATTCAAGTACATCAAGATAGCTCTTACCTTTCGGGGTGTTTATCAAAGTGCTTAATGATGGCTCAGTATCTGGCGCAGGTCGAACTACTCTGCCATCTCCCGAGAATTCACCGACAAAACCCGATCTGTTTTCCAAAGTCTGAGAAGCGGAGCCTACATGACGCCAACATCATCGTCCGTCGCTCGCTCGGTGGTAGAAAAAAAAGTGTTAAATTCACTCGTTAGTTGTGTTCAGACAGAAAAGATGAACATGCATTTTGTTTCGGGGTGTCTCTCCACACATTAGCACTGCCTGGGCTTCACAAGTCTCTCTCCACGAAGGAAAAAAAGGAGTCAGGATCGGAGGAGGAAGTTACCTTGCAACAACTCAGAGTAATTAAGCAGCGTCAAACTTCACGCGCAAGTAGGAGCGTTTCCGGTAAGGAGTTTCACAATAAAGCAAATGCGTGTTAGTCTCCATGCTAAAAATCTAATATTGCTGCAAACTCTTTCATGTTGTGATCTATTTCACAAGAATATTACACGTATAATACTTGCCTGTTATTTTTCATAATTAAGGATGGATAGAGTTTCGTAGTTGAGATGTTTATTTTTGTTTAGCCATTATATGGCATTGCTTTGTAGTTTTATATAACTCACTCAATCTAAGGTCATGTCTAGCATTTCATGAATTTTGGGAAGCATTACTATAATTGAGTATAAAAATGTGTCACCTCAGAGCACAAAACAAAATCAAACAAGGATTACTAACTATTTTTGATCATCTACATTGATCTTTTGGTTGTAAACATGGATTCCAAAGATCCCTCAACAAACTGACACAAGCTGAATTTTCATGCTAAATCAAACAAAAATTCTCAAACATTTGTACCATTCGCTCCGAATGCTTCAAGAGCTGTGGTGCATTTTGTTTGCTAACCATTCATTTAACGCAGGCAATCATTACACCCGGATGAAATATCTTAGTATGTTTCTTTGAAGGAAAATAGGGCTGTAGTTTTTTCAACATCCTATTAGCCGAGTATTCCTTAGCGTTACACTATGCTTTTATGCTGAAGCGGAAAAAAATTCTACTTCCGGTCTTAGTATTGTTGTGTTTTGTTGCCTTGACGTTAGTTGTAATTAAAGGACCATCGCTGTTTCCTTTGCTCTGCGCATGTTCAGGATTTAGCATTCAGGGAATGAATGGAAGCACATTTCTGCTAATAAAGATACTTTTATGATTAGGGACAAACCTGATGCCCTACAAAAATGCTGTCAAATTTTACCGTGTGCTTTTCTCAAAAATCTATCTGACTTTAAAACACAAAAGATCGTTTGCAACCAGTTTGTGCTGGAACATAATACACACTTTCGCATTTATGAGGTTGACGTCTTTGCATTCACTCACTCATTATGATAAAAAAAAAAACAAAAAAACACTGGTTTAAAGATAACCATGTCTCTACCCATGTTTCCATATATGTAAGAAACTTTGTATTATAAGAGATGTCTTATTACTCATCTATAACTTTTTCACTTGTTTTTACTTAATAACCTTCACGTCAATCACTGCATAAACCTTAATTTTTTAATACTTGGACTTTTGATTAAGTATGGGCTGTATGTTTTAGACTGTTATTTTTATTGTTTTATTTTATTTAATAAATCCATAACCATCGCTTAAATTCTCCAAAGTTTAATTAGTTCTACTTCAGGTGTTATGCCTTAGAATGCACCCCTGCCGTTGAATGCATCCTCTGCGTCCCATCCACTCATTAGCTTCTTAAAGTGGAAGAAAATTATCTCATATTTAAAAGAACAGAAAAGAGTATTGGATCATCAAATCATGAGAAATGGAGAAGCAAACTTTCGTTTTGTTTTTATGTCTCTCAAAAATGCACACACAGAGGTGTACTTGGGTATATGAACTGTACAGTAAGCTATCAAGGTAGAGAACATAATATTTTCGGGACAGCAAATATTCCGAATCAGAAGGCTATTGTTTTTGGCTTATCTGAACAGCCTGAATGAAATTATTAAAGGCACACGCATTTTAACCCATCCAATGGTAAGGAAAACTTGGATTATTTCGCCTCGTTCTCGTCAGGGGATGCACTCTGCGGCTGGGGTGCATTTTAAGACACAACACCTGAAACACTGAATAAATATAGCCTTGTCATCACGTGATCTTTTCCTGGTACTCGCTGTGTTTAGTGGAGCCAAATTATTGCAAATTACAAAAATAATCTCGATGGAAACTCTCAGACAGTTTCTGATATAACTTACAAATGATTTCGTTTTGCTTATTTGAATTGATAAGATTGCTTACTGGATTACGTTTACTAACCCAAGTTAGGTTTTCAATTATTTTAACGGTCGTCAATCAGCACTAAATTTGCACTTTCACTCCAGATTCCGGTGCAAATGTAAAACAAACGTTGGCTACAAACATGTTAACCAAACAAACGTTGGCTACAAACAGGCTAACCAACTAAATAACTCACTAACAGTTACCGTATATCTCTACCGCCATTTCTCACTGAGGAGCAACTGCCCGCCATGCTTGGATGAAAACCCGTTTCTATGGCAACACGTCACCAGTTCCAAACAGACGTTGCTCCTGACATAACAGTTTGTTCCTGTATCCGAAATGACTTCAGAGTAAGTAAACACTCACTGACTTTATAAATGAGAAAATTGTCTTCATTGTCACGCATATATCTGAAGTTTTTCCCCCTGTAGAACTCTATTAATCTCGCGTTATTTGTGTTTGATACATGGCTCGAAAAAAGTCGTCTTTTGCTAGCTAACTTTGGCTAACGTCCACGTAAGTTAGTCGACGCTTATAACGGTTTCTCGAAGTTCTGGTCAAAAAGCTTAACATTGTGCCGGGTTTTGTTTCCATTTCTACCAGAAAAGCCACATCTCTCATGACTAACGATCTCCAGTCGACAGAATCTGGCAAGTAACAATGCCAATGTAACACCTTACCTGTAACTCATGATGTGCTGGATTCTGGTGAGGGGACGTTACCAGGATAAAACTGACCTGGAATAAGAAGTACATGTTATAGTCTAGTTTAATAAAAGAGGCAAATGTAAATGTTGCATTTTATTGTTAATTATTTATTGTTTGTGTGTTTTAATGGTATGCATGGTAACAGGGCGCCAGGGAATAAATGGCCTCATCTCCCAGATCCCAGGACTGTCCCCCTTCATCAGCACTCTACCTGAAGAGAGGGTCCGAGGACGGAGGGCCGGGGTGTTTGAGGGTGATTCTGACTATGTCAAACTTGCAAAACAAGGGGGACACAAAGGTAAAGCCACCCTGATTTATTATTTCTAGAAACATTACCCTGGATGTTTAACCAATGTATTTAAAAATATATTTAATTTTGCTCTTTTCAACCTGGTTCATCAGGGCTTTTGTGGCATCAAGACCCAAATACTGCAACACCTAACCCATACAAACCTCCAGACTGGTTCAGAGCATCAGGAGACAGCGCTGAACAAAGGTACTTACAGGCATTTGTCTTATCATCACACACTCTGACTTGTAGTAAGTCTATGTTAAAATAAAAATTAAAAAAATAATTTTCTATTAATAGGTCAGTGACAAATAAGGGTTTGTATCATGAGTAACTCAAAAATGTTTCAATGAATTGTTTTCATTGTTTCATATCATTTCAAATAGCATTTAAACCTTTTTTTTTTACAAAATGAATGATGGACTTCCCTTGAAAATGTCTAGTAGTGTAACAACAACAAAAGGGGAAATATGTAATACTTATTTCCACCTATGGTGTATTCAAGAGTACTTTTTTAAAAAATTGCTTAATCATAATGTATCAGTTGAAAATACATTTTGTCAGTTTTTTTTTTTTTACAAAGAAATTAGACGCATTTTTGCAATATGGAGCAGGAGAAATGCTGAAAACGGCTGGCATTTTCTGAATAATATTTGACAAATCATGTAGAAACTATCCTATTCACTAACATAAGATATATGTTAGTGCATTGCAGTAGAGGAGTACATTCCAGTCCCCATGCATTTTCTCAAATATTAAATTTTTTTAATGAAAAATACTGGTTACACCAATTGACACAAACCAGTTACTGAGTTTTTATGGTTACACCACATTGACATTTTTCCCATTATTCCCTGAATATTCTCTCAAAATGTATAAAATCTAGAAATTTTAGACAAGGTCTTCAAAAAGAGAATGTATCCAAGTAACTGGTGAGTATATCTTTGAATGTTAGCCTTTTTAAATTTAAGTAAACCATGGGAACAAAAAAAAAAAACTGTCATGTCATTGACCCTAATACAAACTGTGTAAATATTGTTTATGACTAATTTTAAAAATGCTTTTGAGTTGAAGGTTTCACATTAACAGTAATAATTACAGCCACACTGCCCATTTTTACTGTTTATCCCTCATTTTATAATCCAGCCATGATAAAGCAAAGGATACTTTTCATATCCCTATATTGTTTTTCTCCAACAGTCTAATTAACTGTGCAGAGAAGAAAAACCCTGGAGCTTTTCAACCGCTAGAGCCCCCCTTTGGGACTGACAATATGTCAGCCTGGGAGAGGGATGATAACAGCAGCAATGGCAAAGAGAAGGTAAACACAGAAATGCCTGAGTCATTTCAGAAAGCAATTTAGCCAAAATAAACCACCAAATTAACATTTTGTTTTATCTTCTGTGTTATTGTTTAACACTGGTTTGACCCTATTTTCATGATGGAAATTTAAGACATGCCCCAGTGCTTCACTTCTCATTTAATCATTAACTTGATCATGATTCGATGAGAGCTTAAATGGCATATTTGCAATATTTCATTAACAAAATAACTATCTGTAAGTTTGCCTTTTTATTCCACAGAACAACAACGTGCAACACAGCCAGATGGAGAAAATGCAGGCTTCAAATCTGTATCATGAGACCAGTAAATTCAAGAGGATGTAAGTCTATAAGACCACAAGATGGCGCTGTTGTTCACTTTACTCTCCGTATGAGTGGCTAGTTTAACAGCAAGTGCAAGACTCACAGGAACACACCCTGAAAAGAAAACAGATTTATGATAGATCAGTTAGCTCGTTGTGTCAAACCACGTGAGAGGTTTTTAGTGACATTTGTGGTCATTTGTACAGATCAGTTATTACAAAAGTTTAAACTCAATTTAGCTAAACATTTCAAAGCCAGCATTTCTGTATGCGTTAATCAGTAATGATAGATATACATTGAAAAACATTACCAAGGTGGATGTAGGAAAGTTCGGTTCACAATTTTTTAACTTATATATCCAAATGATGTTAGAACTAGGGTTGCAGTAGGACACACCAACCAGCTAACAATTATTTAGAAGATAGTGCAAAAAATGGGGTGAGAGTTGGGAGTGACATGCAGGAAGGTGCCAAAGACTATAGTCAAACCAGGGCTGCCCACTGGAGGATCACGGTCACTGTGTAAAGGGTGCATAACCAGCCCACCCAATCTGTGCACATTTTAAACCGATGCCAGCAACATGTTTAAAAGAAGTTGGGTTGGAGGCGTATTTACTGTGTACCTTTGTGTTGTATCACCTCTTATTCAACAACCCTCTGTAAACATTTGGGAACTGACAAGACTCTGGAGTTCTGAAAACTAAATGTTACACATTATTGCTCGGATAGAATTTCAGCTGCTCAACAGTTTAGGATCTCCTTGTAGTACTCTTTGTTTGTTGATGTGCCAAATGTTTTGGTAGGGGACAAGTCAGGACTGCGGGCAGGCCAGTTTATCACCCGCATTCTTCTACAGCAGAGCCATGCTGCTGTAATATGTGCAGAATGTGGTTTGGCACCGTCCTGCTGAAGTGTGCAAGGTGTTCTGTGAAAAGGAATTGTCTGGCTGGCAGCATATGTCACTCCAAATTGTTTACTACTCAGCATTAATGATATGTTCACAGATGTATAAGCTACCCTTGACAAAGATGGTACAGTTCTGATGTGTATTTGTGGGTACATCAACAAACTGTGGTCAAAGATAGTGGTTTTGAAATGTAATTCCAAGTCCATGTGGTGATTTCCAACACATAGTCATGTCTAGTTTTCATGCAAAGCTGTGCACAGATCAGAGTACAATATTGATTTGATTTTATCTAGAGATTGTGTTTCGAGAAATCTTCAAATACAGAGTCTTTGAGTGATATATATTACAGATGTCCTTGTCCTGTTTTTTCCCCATCTATATTTTATTCTTTTGTATTGTGTATGTATCTAAGGCTAACAAGTACACAGAAAATTATGGAGGAAATTTTGCACTGAAAAGATTATCCTATCATCTGTGTCATATTAAACCCAGGCTGCCAAAAGCCAATACACTAAACACACAGATCTTGCATTGAGAACTGAAAAAAAATCCCCATTCTCCTTTCATTTAAAGCCAACTGAATGGATAACTTTGCGGCCTGGATGAATCATGGGAACAATTAAAACAAGCAAAACTTCTTTCAATGTACATATTTGCTCTAGACAGACGAAGCGTCTAGACAAATCTGGACTTTGGCCTGTTTGCTTTGGCTTGCTGCTAATCTGTGCTTTGTGTCTCATGTACGTTCTGTGAAATGTCAATGACCTGTCAAAAACCCAAAATGACCTCTGGTACATACCTCACACCAGAGACAACAGTCAAAACCGAAGTGGGAGCACATGTACTGTTGATACTGCACGTCAACAAAGCACGCAGTGGAACCTCTGCAAAACAAAGTCAGACAACAATAAAGCAGAAAACAGGGGCAGTCATTTAAGTCAACACAATGCAACCACTATCTGGTCTGAGAGGCTTTAAATTTGCAGAAACAGGGTTGACCAATGCAACATAAGGCTTTTTCTGACCTTTTGGACTGAGATAGATCGACATCAGACTTTTTAGGATACCGTTTGTTGACTCAGTGCAATATTTTGTACGCCTGTAATGAGTAGCCAAAGTTTGCTCACAATGTTGCTTAAAGTGTCCTGAGCCTGTGGCCATGACAAAATATTACATAACATTTGTAACTACATGAGAATTTCTTGGTTTTATCTCCACATTATAAAAATGTATTTTCCATCCAAGTTGATCCTGTTCATTTTTGTGTTCTTACAGAGTTTTTGACAAGAAAGCCCCTCCTGTCAACATGTCTAAGCTGCTGAGTTTTGGCTACTTAGAGGATGACAAGGCAGAATTATCCAACACTGATTTGTCAAGTAAGGAGCCCGGTTTGAGTTCAATCCTTCATGAGATCATAAATATGTTTCTGCCTTGCCTTCTCATTAGGCAGTCATAATTCACCTCTGTTGCGTTCAAAGGAGCTGGAGCCAAGCGGTTGTATCGATTTATGAGGCTCGATAAGTGGATTTAGCACATGATGAAATGATGTACATGAAATTTCTGTAAACATTCAAATGGCAGCCATTAAGAATTTATGATACCTTTTAGCAGTTTAATGTTGAATGCATTATTTAATGATGTGATATTGGCTAATGCTGGTGCACATTTCCCTGTCAACAGATTAGAGGACTGCCAGTGCGTGGGAAAAGGAGATACAAGCTCCAAGGCCTCTAGAAAGGAGTAGTTGCCATCATATCCTCCAACATTTCTGATTTTGTTCACATCAAATGTTCTACTGTTTTTTTAATATTCTATGTATGTCATGTTTTACTCAAGTGTGAATGTAATTGATTTGATTAAAGTAGCAGTCTAAAGATTTTTTATTGCTAGTTATGCATTGTTAAAAGCGCCTAAAGGAGGCATAGACTACTCTGGTGTTCATTTTGTTGCTGTGCTTGTAACTATAACAAAGTTGAATAAAATCAGTTTCTCAAAAGTGTTATCTGTTTTTAAGTTTTGTTTTTACGTAGCCTTGTAAAAAAAACTATTTGTTTTCACCACACACTGATCAGTTTGTATGTAAATAAACATATCATTGCAGCATTCGGTGATCCGTTTAAAGTAAACGATACATTGCTCACTGTGACGTCCATTCTCACAGGGACAACGTCCACTGAGTTTCTCTTAGTTATACATTAAGCTGCTGTGTTTGCCATTGTTTTGAAATGCCAGTATACTGCGTGCCAATGTCAGAGGTTATCTAACCGTTTTTTGCAATAGCTTCATGTCATAACACAGCAGTTAGTCATTGGCTTCATATTGGCTATTTTTAAGACCGTAAACACGCCAGTAAATGTCTTTGCATAATGTAGCTGGTGGGGGGTTTGCGTCACGTGTTGTTTGCATTCCCTCTGATACTGATTTCTTTATGAAGGTTGAGGGTGGAAGTTGACCAATTATCATGATCATATAACCATCTCACTGTTTGTTTGGGGGCTGGTTGGTGTTTTTGTGACAAGAGAGGTGAAACTCCTCTCTATGGAACCAATCAGTGGGCAGGTCAGGGGTCAACACTATATCAGCTCGGCAGTTGGACACATTTCTTATTCTGTAACAGCAACAACAGACATACAGACATTACTAGCAGATCAACTTTTGGAAGACTTTTGAAACGAAACTTACTATTTTACCTTCAGTCATGGCTCCAATTTTACTGAGGAGTATGGGGAACGACCACAATGAGTACATCAAGTAAGTATTTGGACAGTTTCAGTTAAATCTTTCGGCTTTTTTATCTTGATTTTCAGAGCATTTACTTAGAATTCACTCGAACTGTCCATTTATGAATAAAATCTTCATTATTCCTTTCAGACAACAGGTTCAAGTGAAAAATCCTTACCTGGACACCATGGAGGAGGATATTCTCTACCACTTCAGCCTAAGCACCAAGACTCACAACCTTCCAGAAATGTTTGGCGATATCAAGGTGCATGAGCTGGAATTTAACACGAAAGTTAAAGTTGTGCTCATAATTTTAAAACAAGAAACTCATTTGCCATTTTCTTGCTTCCTCGCAGTTTGTGTGTGTCGGCGGCAGTGCCAATAGGATGAAGGCTTTTGCCCAGTTTATCCACCAGGAGCTGAAACTATCTGGAAACCCAGAGGATGTGAGGGACATCTGTGAGGGAACTGACCGTTACTGCATGTACAAAGTAGGACCGGTGCTGTCTATAAGTGTAAGTATTACACTAGATTTTCCTAGTTTGCTTCCTCTTTGATTGGATGAACTTCAAATGTTGTTTTACTTTTATTTCACCTTTAAAGAAATCTCTATCTCGACCTTGTTTCTATCTCAGCATGGCATGGGTGTCCCCTCCATCTCCATCATGCTGCATGAGCTCATCAAACTGCTGCACCATGCCCAGTGCCTTGATGTGGTCCTGTTTCGCCTTGGGACTTCTGGTGGTGTTGGTAAGATTCATTAACTGTCTTTATTTTGAGAGGAAATGGTGTTCTTCTTTGATTACTCTTCAACCTTGAGTTCAGATTTAAAGCTGATCCGTTGTTGTCTGTAGGCTTGGCACCAGGTACAGTGGTGGTCACAGATAAAGCCGTGGACTACTCCTTCCGCCCCCAGTTTGAGCAGGTGGTTCTTGGTAAAGTCATCACCAGGAGCACTGAGCTGAATGAGGAAGTGGCCAGTGAACTTCTGCAGTGCTCCTCTGAGCTTCAAAACATCCCCACAGTGATCGGAAACACCTTGTGCACCCATGACTTCTATGAAGGTTTGAGCAATCTCTCATGCTTAAGGGTGTTTGTAATGACATTGCTCTAACAGGTCAAAAGAGTTGATAAGTTGTGACAAATGTCACGCTGTGTCTCTGTAGGTCAGGGCAGACTTGATGGAGCTCTCTGCTCCTTCTCTCATGAGGAGAAACTGGAGTATCTGCAGAAAGCCTACGATGCTGGAGTGAGGAATATTGAAATGGAGTCCACAGTGTTTGCTGCCATGTCTCGTGTCTGTGGCCTTAAAGGTATTCTTTTTGGTATAAAATAAGGGATATTTTCTTTCTTGCAAATAAAATAAGCATGCATTACTATTTTTTGAATAATGATATAGTTTGTCTGAAACATAATTCTACTTATTTGTCTTCTTGTTTCCAGCGGCTGTCGTCTGTGTTGCATTGCTGAACCGCTTTGAGGGCGACCAGATTACCTCCCCTCATGATGTCCTGGTGGAATACCAACAGAGACCTCAAGCCCTGGTGTCCCACTTTATCAAAAAACGACTGGGACTCATAGCCTAAAACACCTCGATATTCTACCCTGACCCATCTACTCAATGAAAATGTAAATAGTTGTTGACTTATATGTGGATTTGTATATACCTACACTGTGTGAAACATGTTGATATGGGCATTAGACACTTATTTATGATTTTGTTTATGAAGCTAAGATTATTAGTATGTTACATAGAAATAAATATGTTGTATCTTAATATTTAATACTGTAGAGCATGTGTAAGATAACTTACTCTCTGGAGACTGTGTTTTTTATCTTTGGACATTTGGACATTAAATGCACATAATAAACAAGCACAAAAAAGAGACTAAGTTTGTATATCATAATCATTTTAGCTACAACTATTACTGAAATGCATCAGAAAGTTTCTCTTTTACTGAAAGGACAAAATGTGGACCTTCCTATTAAGTATTGTTGCATAAAATGTAGTCATTTCTTCCAAATGCAATTTTCCTTTATGTGACAAAAGTAGCCAATTAATATTGGAATTCAGGTCATTTCGGGTTGTTCACATGTTGTCACTCAAAGGTGCTCTGTTTTTCTGTATTTCTCTGTATAGTTCAAGACCTACAATAAAAGTCTATATTGATAATTGCATTGTGTCACATGTGGTCAATACATTAGGTTCTGTTTACTTTGTTCGAGGGCAGCATTTGTACCGACACAGTGTGACATGAGCATCTGCAAACGTGAGGCATTAATGTTATTTAATTGAACTCAAACACAACAATAGCTGGAGGGATTTAATACAGAAACCTCTTACAAGCCCTGAGTCAGAATTTAATTATGGATTTTGTGTCCGGTCTGGGTGGTTTGGGGGGCTTGATAACAGACATAACCTCTTTGGCATACTGGCTGTGATGCAGACCGGCCTCCCGCAGAGCCTGCTCAACACGCACTCTCGGGTCAGACACAATCTGGAAAACAGATGTTAAAAAAAAAAAAAAAAAAAAAAACACTGTGAGCAATAAATCTCCAGCTTTTCCACACAAAATCCCACCCACAGTGTCTCATTTTAGGTTTAATTGTTTAGTCCACACAACACTTGGAACAAGGTTAAACACTCATCCTTTACATACATTAGTCACTTCCTGTGTTACACAATAACTAAATCCTAACCTGGTTCTGCAGTTCTAACAAAAACAAACTCACACCAACACACTCCAAAGTGCACTCTTTAACTGGTTGGCCTTGAAATCAAAGCTGTGTATAATGTTCTCTGGATGATGAAAGACATTGTTTGAGCCAACCAGATTGCATAATTTTCCATGGGACACTGGTCAGTCTCACCCAAGACAAACTAACAGGTGTGTGTGTGTGTCTTCAACAAATATGGGGAAAGAGGGCGCATAGGCTCATTGTATGTAGAGCATAGATAAGGAGTTCAGGGTAAATGACCACTCTGCTGTAATCATACAAAGCTAAAGGTTAAAGGAGGGGGGATGTTATCAGGCCTCACCTGTGAGTCTGTGTACGTGTTGATACTATAGAGAGGCCTTTGGAGCTCAGACTCTTTTGTATTCAAGTGGTGACTCCTCCAAGCCTCAGTATCTGCCATCATCCTCTCTGGGTCTGCCTCTGCCACCACCCCAACCTGAGATAAATAGGTGAAAAACACTTTATATAGTGATAACACAAAACCGTCGTTTCACTGTCCACCACAAGGTGGCAGTGAAGCCTTGATTTAGATCAGGATGAGTCCAAGTCTGCCCCTCTGGGTCATCAACTGGAAATCGAGGTGGATGAAAAAGGACAGATGATGATGCACCTGGTTTCTGAGGACTTCCAGACGACGCTGTCTCTCTTCTTCCTCTCGTTGCCGCTTCATCTCCCGCGCTTCCCTCTCCTCCCTTTGCTTCTGCAACATATCTGCCCGAAACTGCACCCTAGAGGAGGCACAGAGGGACATCAGAGCTAAGCAGCCCTCTTCTTTCTGTTCCTCCGCCACCCCCAGCAGCCACATTACCTATCGCACCTGACACAGCAGGCCTCCGGGCTGTGGAGGGTTTTATGGTAGAGTGCAGCGCCTCTGCCATCACCTGCTTTTATCTTTCTCACCCCTCCATGAGTCAACACCATTATCTGGTATTAATGCCAGTCCCTGTGAGAGTCTGCAGTACTACAGCAAAGAAATGCTGAGCAAATTGCATGGAACAGGGCATGTTTCAAATGCAGGGTCTGACATTTTTCAGAGGGTGATTTAAAGGGTATTCTGACCTTTTTGGCCATGTTTGGCACGTTTCAGCATACATGGCATGTTTGACCACATCTAGCTGTAATGTTTGTACACATGTATTCTTACTCTTGTACATCCCTGCAGTGCTGACATCCCTAAATAATTCCTGGAGAAATGTTTCAAAACCTGATGATGGCAGCCTGGAAATGCAAACCAACTTTTGCACAACCTGAACACAGGAAAAGAGGTCCCTCCTGTCCTTCAACTCAGCTGAGTCCCCTATTATGCAAATTTATGTTAATCGCTATACCTGTTTTTTATGTAACCTTCCTTCAAACAATGTCTACAAACAAATTAACAACCCTCAAATCATTTTAGAACCAGACTGTACACTTGTCCAATTTTGGTATAAAAACTGGCATTTCACCCTGATAGAGATTCCTCAGGCTTTTGCAGCCAGTTTCAAGTGGACATTTGAAGAACCAAGGTTAGGCCAGGGGTTGGTGCTCAGTCTCAAAATGCAATCAAAAGCCTTTTTTTTTTTCTTTTAAAAAGGCCCTCTATACCTGGTAACTCATGTCTTTAGATTTTGATGTCTAAATTGAAACGGCCTTGATTACATAACCACTCTCAAAGGTTGAGCTGTGCTGTACAGTCACTGGTACATGTACATTTGGTTCAGTCACAATGCCGAGGCTTCTGCAGCTCAGTAAACAGTACAATAAGCCTGATATTGGATATACTGATCATGAAAACTAGTTTGTTTTTCAATGATTATTTTGTAATTGTGAGCGGCTGAAACCTCATAAGCACAAAGGTAAAAGCCTTTCCTGTCATAAGCCGTGCTCTAAGTGTTCATGATTCTTTGTCACAATTCTTATAACGTCTCTGCCGCACAAAATTACTCCAATGAGCTGCATTTATGAATACAAACATTTCACCTATATAACCTATCATGCAGCTGCTGTTCTGTCAAGTTTTGCTATGAAAATTCCTCCTGTGGTGCACATGGATGGCTGAGGCTTTCAGTTTGTGCTATTTATTAGAGCTTATAGGTCACAAACAGGGGGAAGTGTATGGCCAGAATAAAGCAGGCCTGTTTTAGTACGCTAGAATTCAAGTAGAGGTATACTTCAGTGTATCCCCTATAGCAGTGGTTCTCAAGTCTAGTCTTCGAGGCCCACTGTCCTGCATGTTTTGGATGTTTCCCTGCTCCAACACACCTGATTCAAATGATCAGCTCGTTAGTAAGCCATTACAGAGCTTGATAACGAGCTGATCATTTGAATCAGGTGTGTTGGAGCAGGGAAACAGCCAAAACATGCAGGACAGTGGGCCTCGAGGACTGGACTAGAGAACCACTGCCCTATAGTGATCCTTCTCAGACAAAATCCCTTCATATCAAACCAATTCTCTCTCTCTCTCTCTCTCTCTCTCTCTTAAAAAAAGCTCCTGTGAGGAACTTTTGGTTAGTGTCAATTTTGTGTCTTGTTTTTAGTCATTGTTGTTTATTGTCGGTGTGTGTCTTTTGACCATTTCTGTGGGATTCTTGTGCAATATGGGTGGGTTGTTGACTGTGTCTTTGTTAGGTCTAGTACTTTGTGTCATCAGCTTTATCTGTGCAGCTCTTGGAGCCCAAGACAAATTTACCTAAGGGGATAATAAAGTGTATCGTATCGTATCGTATCGTATCGTATCGTATCGTATCGTATCGTATCGTATCGTATCGTATCGTATGATTTTATTACCTAGCTCTCTACATGCTTATACAGTGTATAGTAAAATCCTGTTGACCTCTGACTGTCAAACTTTCATTTATTGTGAATATTTAATGTGGATACTGCAAAACAGGGCTGTTCCTTTATCTGCTTGGCTGATGCCTACCCCTTTGCACCTGTTAGAAGTATCAGAAGTTATGATTTTGCTTTTGTGTATTATAAAAGGCTTCAATATGAATTCCAGCCTATTTAATTAATGCCACAAAATCCTCACAGGACCTTTAAGTTTACAGGAATAGCATACCGTAATAGACTCCTCACCTCTCTTTATCTCGCCTTGCCTGTTCTTCCATCTCACTCCTCAGATTAGCGAGCCTCTCTCGGTCCCTTTGCTCCAGCAGCTCCCTCCTCTTCTGCTGCTTTAAATAAAACTGCCTGACCTATGGGAAGAAAAACGACGATTTACAAAGAATGACAAGAAAAAGTTACCAACAGCCACAGGAAGATTCACACTGCCTCTAATTAGACTCCCGCAAAACTCTCAGGACCGTCATGTCCTATTGATTGTGACATTGCAGAAATCAGATAGGTGTAAACACAAAGAATTAGATGATATTTCAATGTCTGTCAGACTATTGTGCTAAATTATATAAAATCTATTGCAGCCTAAATGTCCTCATTAATCAGAGGAGTGTCTCAGGTTGTCCGTGCTCTCCCAGCAGACCCCTGAGGAGAGAGTTAATGAAACAGTTAGACACACAAACACAAACACATAAACATTCAGGTGATTTTGAGCCTGTAAAGACAATAACTAAACAAATGATCAATACGGACAGATAATTGTAACAACTTATGTTTTTATCTGATCCCCTTCTTGATTGATTGGTTGATATATTTCTAACTGGAGTTTTGAAGTTTCTATGCATATACTTCAGTTCAAAAAGAGCATAAAAGCTTCAGAAAATTTGCTCATTCAACAAATAAACAAATAAATAGATATTTCAAAGATTATTTAGCATCATAATGGCTCAACCAGATCTTCAAAAGGGTCTCTTCTCAGTGCTGTTTGAAAAGGTCCATGACCAGTTGCAGATCTCACCTTCATCATCATTGATGAATGTGTTATTATGATAGTATAGCAGACATTTTTTCAACATTTAAACATTTAAAAAAAAAATATATATATATACATATTTTCAAATGATAATATTCATATCGTCTTACAAATAATGATCAGATTGAATTGAACTTGAACTAATCAGATCTAATCAAATAAATATATCCTTTCCGTTTTTAAAATCTGGAGAGGGTGAACTTTTCCATAATCCAAGGATCCCTCAGACAGATGGAAAAACTCTACTTTTCTCACTGTAGTGTCATATTTTAAATTATTAGGAAATTCTGTCTATTCTCCAAGTAAGCATACTATAGCTTTGGGGATACAGGGTCATAAAATATTTGCACTTATCTTTGTGCTCTTGTACTTTTTCCAGGTAAACAAGTCTGTACTCCAAAACTGTGTGTAAAAATGTTCATGTTACTGTCTGACACTTCCAGCAAAGATTATTAAACAAGTACCCTCTGAGTAGTAGACGAAAATGTGTTAATTATTTAATCATAGAGTGAATTTCCCCCTCGCCTCTTTTATGAACAGTATTTTCAAGTATTTGTTCAAATTCAAATCACACCCTAGGCCCCTCAGTCAAATGATTGACCCACTATTTTTGTATGTTCTTCCAAAAGTAGTCACTTTTCAGATCAGATTTTCCACAAGTTAAAATAAAAGATACAATAACCCCTTCAAAGTATACTTCATTTATCTCAGAAATACAATTTCTGGGCCTCTTTCCCCAACAAATGGCTGGATTATGTTACAGAGGCTGTATATCTCTACCCAGACTGTTCTCAGTACTGAGTCATGACCGGTTTTATTTGATCCATGTGAAAAACATCAAAATGTTTGACAGGCCTCACTAGTTCCTGTCCAGTTTTGATCAGGCTCATGCTGCGATCTATTTCCTTTCATATCTTAATCGATCCAGACATTTGATACAATATTAACCGTACAACCGACCATTGAGCAGAGCCATACCTCCCATGTTCTGCACACATTTTTTTGAAACCTTCAGATGCTGTAAAATGATTGAACCCAAAATATTGGTTGTAAGTAATTTAATTTGGGCTTGTCAGTCAGAGGTATCCAAAGGTAAGGATGACTAAAAGCATTTCAGTGGCTCTGTAAAAAGCCTCGAGTAAATTTCTGAATTTTTTCTAAAGGCAATTACAATTTTTTCATAAGAGGTGGTTCATATCTCATTTGTACCCTCATGAAAGTTCCTAGCATGAGTCAATACACCACATACCAGCATGATTTAATACTTATGAAAAATATTGTATTTTCTGTGAAATCATGGTTATTTGTGTGCCCAGTGTCTGAGATCCAGCTGAGTAAATATGACTCTTATTTCCCTTTTTCTGAGGCAATTTCCTTGGCGCGTTGGAGACATCAATGTAACCTATCTCCTTACTTTTTCTTTATTAAAAAATACATCAGGTCAGTCCTGCTGAGAATGGTCTTATGTTTGTGACTGGCCAGGGTTTTTTTTTTTCTGTTTTTGAACCAGCTCTGTGCGTCAGCAGTGATTCTGGCTGCATAATTATAAAATTTGTCATCTGACTTTATTTCTGAACAACTGGCTTTTAGCCTGAAGATGATAACATATGCACTCAACATATTGAAGTTGTTTGAACACTATTAACAATACCACCCATCACTGAACAAGAACACTTATTGTGATAAACCTCTGTGGAGCTATCTCATAAATTATAATTCACATCATATTTTACAGCACAGGTTGTTTAACCGGAAATAAAATGATGTTAATTATTAGAGCATAGCTTTGAGCTCAAACACATTCACAGGTGCACTGACGTGTATAACAGGTGCAGCAGGAGATGAAGATTGAGATGCAGTGTTTACTTTTTCCTTCTGCTGTGATCTGAAGGCACTCTCCCTCTCCTGCTCCCTCTTTAACCTCGTGTCCTCCTCCTCTTGTTGGCGAGCAGCTATAGCCGCCTCCAGCTTCGCCACCTCCTCCTGCTGGGCTCGCCACTGCTGCAGCTGCAAGCACACATGCAAATACACACCAGGGAGAAACAAAGAGCAGGTTATTGTCCATCAGCAGCTGTCTTTTAAAAGCGTGAGTCAGAAGGAGGCAACCATGCTGAGCACCACCTACTCGGTGTCAAAGTGTGGCATGAACTTTGGAAGAGGTGTCAAAACTCTCTTTCACACATCCAAGTGGATCACCTTGAGACCCCTCAGAGCATTGAGTTTTTGAGCTGTACTACAAATGGAGTGATTCGTGTAAGTCTTTTACAGCAACTCTGGTATTACAAATTAAAAAAAAATCTATATTTACTGGTGAATTTCACAAGATCCAGACTGTCTGCTGGTTCATGTTATTTGGCAAAAACAATCAAGTTTTAATCAGCAAAGAAAACCCACTTGATTTTGTGCTTCATTTATAAGAAGCTAAAACAGTAAAAATATGACAAAACCCCAATCTAACTGGTTTACCCAATGATGAAAAATCTGGTCTAAAAAAGAAACTGCCAGTTGCAGGGAGAGTAGTCTTTGTTCATCCAGCCTTATACCTGGAAACAGACAGTCAGACACATACAAACACACACATACAAACACACACAGGCCCACATTTGCTTAGTGGTTTGAGTGACAGGTTTGTTATGCAGCAGCTTCTCTGCGGCATGCCGGGTATTAAGAGTGTTGCATTCCTGCTGGGCGGACAGATTCACAGATCTATCACAGGACAGCTCAACAATCCCTGAAGGAATGAACTGCAAATTAACATGGTCTCACTTCCATTAGCACCAACGGTATCACCGAGTCAATCATACAGCATGTCTGCCTGGGAAAAAGAAGCAGCTGTGTGATAAGGGGGGATTTAGAACAACAGAGCCTCAAATGCAGGTTAGTTTGATAGTGCTGAAGATGTTCATGCAACAAGAGTTTCCTTCAGGAGCTTCAATGTTCTCTTGGGCAGACATGTGGATCCTTCTTTAAAGTTGTTGAAAATGAAATAACTGGACCAGAACATCACATTTTAATCCTGATGACAAGTACATATATTCATACTGTATACTACCGAATACCAAATACTATATTTAGGGGTTTCCTGTCGCCTTTTTGCTCATGGATGTATTGTAAATCAAAGCCCCCGTTCAGGTTTAATCTGAGGATTTTTTCCCTGACATTTCTTTTACCTCTTTAGCTTTATCTCTCTCCAATAATAAAAACAAAAGAGGCTTTGTTTTTGAAAAAAAATCTGAAAAACAAGCTCACATAATTACACCATCCATCAAGGTCAGGCCTGGCCTAGATAAGATACCTGCATGTTTGATGCTCTGGAGAGATGAGGTTCGCAAACAACCAGGTGGGAGGGCCTGTGCTGCATAGTTTCTCTGAGAAATTGGTCAACATGTGACAGATAAGACTCTTTTTTTATTGTATCATAAAGTAAAAAAAAAAAAAGGCATAGTTTGATTGCAGTGTTCACCTGAGGTCATGGAAAAATTCTTAGATGAATCTCAGTTTAGTTTGGGCCACTGTGAACACTGTGAGAGCCACAGAGGCTGGATGTATTTTGCTTGTTTGCCTCCTTTTGAGGCAGTGATGAAAAGCTTTCTAGAAAGCACAAAAAGAATCAAACATTATGTACAGTCTACAGTTATTTGTCGCTGGGATCTCTTTTTCTATGAATTCAATAGGAAATGAGGCTCCCTCCTTTTCACTGTGGCACAAAAATGACTATAGAGATGTCAGAATAACAAAAGAACGATGGCCTTTATATTTGCACACTGTAGCATGTTCAGGGCCTTTGTTAAAATAACTGTACAGTTATCCTAAAGTCTTCTGTCGAGGGGGTGTTTCAGCAACAATCAAAACTTGGTAACACTTTATTTGACACCTATCTCTATAATGCATTATAAATATTTGTATAATGTGTTATAATCATGTTATAGCACTGTATTACTATAGTTGTAAACACTCATAAATGATCATAATGCTTTATAACACATTATAAAGCATTTTTATCATGACTTACAAGGTCAGGTATTATAATGTGTTATCACTGTTAGCAATGAAACTGTTGTTAACAGTTATAACACATTATAATACCTGCCCTTGTAAGTCATGATAAAAATGCTTTTTAATGTGTTATTAATATTTCTATAAAGCACTATGATCATTTATGAGTGGTAATAACTATAGCTAAACAGTGCTATAACATGATTATAACACATTATAAACATATTTTGGATGCGTTATAAAGATGGGTGTCAAAACAAGTGTTACCCAAAACTTTTCATGTCATATTCTTAAGTCAAAGTTTATCTTTAAAAAAGATGATTGTAAAGAGCTCTAGCGAGCATGTGCAACACTGCAAATCTATCTATCAAATATCAATCAAACTAACACCAAGTCTCCTGATTTAAGACTGTAATGCTGACTTAAGAAAATGACTCGTTAGACTAAATGAAGCTTCTAGCAGCATAGAACAGTAAATAAGGATACAAACGAGCAATTAACTCCTCAGAGAATTGTCATTTGAAATACTATCTAGCCCACGCACTGTCTAAACCAATAGAGCTCATTCCATTCAGCCAGCAGAGGGATGAAGAGCTGCACCTTTTTTAGTCAAAATACTTGCTGACAGGGGATCAGCTGACACACAGTGCCCAGAGAAGAGCATTTCCTGCTGCAGGAAAGGCACTCGGATTATGTGGGCATAAATGAATCTGTAACTGAGCTGTTTTCCTAACAAAGGACTCTTGAAAGTAGGAAATGGGACATTAGCTTTTCAATAAGTGAAAAACCCCTCTGTCTCATGAATACCTTTCGTCTTTCAATTGTTGTGTCACCTGTCCTGCTGGCCTGTTTAACCGCTTCCCGCCTGAGCATGTTGAAACAATCTGCCATCCCTGTAGGCTTTATTTACTCATGAGGGGAACACAATCGCTCATCAAAGATGCCTGAGAGGGAGATAGAAGTGGGAGGCAAAATAAAAGCAAGGACAGAATAAAAGGCTGGAATGAACAGCAACACCAAGAACAATGCCAGCTAATTACAGCAGCCAGAGTGCTGCAGAACAAACAGCTGATCATTTGAAAAGAAGAGTCTGTCTTTCAGAGATAAACTGTTATAAAATGAGCCTCATCTCATGCATGAAATGGTATCTACTTATCTCAATAATCCATTTTGCTTTACCTTGTATTATATCTTGTGCTGTTTAACACATCTGGAGATCCTTTTTAAAGTGAACAACTCTTTTTTTTCTGCTGAGTTCAGACACATGATCCAGCCGGTCGTCTTTGCATGGCCTTCCTAAGAAGAAGCTGGGTTCTGTGTGACAGCCGTGCCCTTTCAAAAACAGAAGGGTAAAAGCTGTCTCTGAAATCAATTACCCTGGAGTTTCTTTCTACTACACCCTCCCAAGAAGACAGCCTTGTTCCCCTTTTATAATGAGGTCAGAACCAGATCAACACTGACCAAAATCATCCAAGAAATGCCCTCACCTGAACCCAGTGCACCACAGAGGAGATGAGTTGAAGAGGATCTTTATTTGCAAAATATCTGTAAAATATCAAACATCAAGTACATAACAGCTGTGTTCACATGTATTAATGCAGTATAAATGAAGCAGCCTGAACTTAGTGATTGATGAAAGCAGTAGGAAGATAGTCTCTTCCTTATTATGTGTGATTGACTTTCCATAGCCAGAGTTTCTTTTGCATCAACATGTGATTGAAATACACAACCAGGGTTTTTCCTGCGTTCAAAATTGCGTGGCGGCCGCCTCCACCTAATTTTGGGCCGCCCCCAGCAAGAGCGATTGATTTCGCTCAACACAGCGTAAAGCTCCAGCTGTGTTGATTGAGCGATTGATGTCCCTCTGCAGCAGCAACGTATTTTAACTGCAGTTGCAGCGTTGCGCCACTGTAGAGGCGCTATATCAACAGCAGTGCACCGGAAAGACCTGAAGCATCTACCGAAGAAGAAACGGATCGAATCATGTTTTTTCAAGTTTTTTTCCCGCTAGTTGGTGCTATCGGCGTCCTGATTTTCCCTGGCGGATGGTACAAACAGGTAAATACTGCTTGTCTTTTTTACATCCGAGCATGATTTATTTAAAAAAAAAAGTTTCCTCCGTTTTTAGCGTTGCAGTTATGACAGGCAAAATCAGCCAGTACTTTAAAAAGCGACCTCGCGAGGAGGAAAGTCAAGAGTCCAGGTGAAACACGGCAGAGAAAAAACGTAACAGGCAGTTAAAATGCTATAATTCATGGTGGTGACAACGTGGAAATTTGTGTCAGGTCTGAAAGTACTTCACAAGGGACTGGTGATCGCGAGGGTCAAAATGCAGGACAGGACGAGTCGGCGAGGCGAGGGTAATTAATTAATTAGTTTCCAATTAGGAGCATAACAACGCAAAGCCAACGGGTACGTAGTTTTTATTCCTCTTTCCAGATCTTCTCAAAAACAGAGCCAGTGGCTTTGACAAGCAATGGCTCAATCAATTTACCTGGCTCAGGCATACTGAGGAAGGCATGCACTGCTATTTATGCCAAAAGCACTGTGCCCCAACACAGCAGGCAATTGCTGCCTCCTTAGTGAGACAGCCATCAACCAACTACAGGCTGGACACATTAAAAAGACATGTGGTAACAGCCATTCACAAAGCAGCAGAAGAGAAGGAGAAGTATATTAAAGATGGTAGTACCTAAAAACACTTAACTAATAAAGTTACAAAAACTAAAATAACATAGTTTAGATAGTTTAAGAAATAATTGGTTGTCGTTTTTTTTAGGGAGGACACTGCAGCGTATACATATATATAATATATGATTGAAAACACTATCACTCTTCATGTCTGTATCAGAATAAAAACAAAAATACTTAATGTATGATGAATTGTTTTGTTTAAGGTGAAGACACCTCTGTGGAACAGACTGAAGGAGAGGCACTTGGATGTCTGTTGTAAGGTGGCCGTTGATGGACCAGACCAGGAGGCCTTGGACTACAAGGAGTGCATGAGGAGGTTCTACAGAATGAAAAAGAGGAGGCTGAAATGTTCTGTCTGGTTGCGAGATGTGTGGATGAAGTGTACTTTCAATTTAAAGTTGCCAGCTGATTTGTATATGTATATAGTTTTAATAAATGAATGCTTTAACATGATAATGGTCACACTCTTTTTTGAACTCTTAACTTAAAGTATGTTGCCTGTAAAAGAAAGTGAGTCGGTTGAATTTACAAATACATGCACGTCATGGCGCATGGTCAGGATGGTGCCACCTCTGCCTCAATTTGAGCCAGGAAAAACCCTGACAACATGTAAACCAGCATTCAGACTGCATTGAGCAGTCTTAGTTGATTCACCTTTCTCTGTGGGGCAGCACTGCTTACTGGTAAAACGTAACAATGAGGACTGTTACAGCCCCATTTACCTTGTTTGGTAGGGTCTGTGTGTGAGACTGTTGGAGGATGTTGATACTACAGAAACCAGCTGCTGATTGGTTAATGGGCAGAGTCCGCAGGACCAATCGGGGAGGAGCGGCAGATTCACGAGGCTAGACGATTTAATTGTATATCTTTTTATTTTTGTGGAATTGTATGGGATAGGGAGCAGCTCACCCCTCAAATCGTTTCAACTGCTGTTTTGAGCTAATTTCAGAAAGCGACATTTTTCAAACTCGAGGGTTGCCTTATGTGTTTCTTTGAGCAGCACTCCACATTCCTCTGATCCTCGCCTCAACTTTATGCCAAACAGCACTTCATTATTTCTTTTAGCAATAAATAACAATTTTGACATCACAGATCTGGGGTTTTACGTTACGTCCTTTCCCCTCACGAGCTAGGTTGTAAAAAGGACAGTGTTTTACAAACTTCTGTGATTAACATTCTTGACTTTTGAAAACCTAAAAATATGTCATGAATGGGTTACAACTGCTTAACCGTAACTTTCAACTAACAATTTAAACTTTTCTCTCAACAATCTTTTCCACTAGTAAGCCATTACTTTAAGGAGATTGTTATTGCTTTGTTTGCTAACTAATTCAATTGTCTTCTATTACTCACACTAATCTAGTTTAACAGTTAACATTTCTCCAGGCTCCTAGCTCTTGACATGTTACTGTTTGCTAACTATTTTTAAATTTGTCCATCACACTGTCCCTTATTTTACCTGGTTATCTGCTATTTCTAACCTACTGTTGGTGAAAATGGGCTAATCCAGTGATCTGTTTATTTTTATCATTTCAACAAACTATCCATGTTAGCTTAACCATTAGCTTTGCACCACTGTTTGAAGCTAACCAGTTGATCCATTTGTTCCTGACTTTACTTTTCCAAGTGCCTATTCTATATAACACCTGGTATGTGTGTTTTCATACAATTACCAACTACTTTGAACACAAATAGAAATGTTTTCTTCAATGACTTTTTTTGCTAGTCTGTAATTGTCCAGAGTTGCAACAGAAGCTGCCGATGTTTTAGAACTTTCTCAGGTCAAATCAGGCTTATTCCAACTTCTGTCAGTAAATGACGATTTTTTTCCCCTCTTATAAAATAGGCCTATGTGGTATTATTTGGTAACCAAACATTGTCCATTTATTTTATTGGTTTATTGTAGTATATTTCAGCTGACCACAGGAACTGTAGAAGTAACTGTGGGGTTCAAGAATATGATGCAAAAAGCAAACTAAAAAAACAAAGGATGAACTATAAGTTACAGATCATTATGACCATGTTGAACATTAGACTGCTCAATAATATGAAGTTTTCATACATTTAGGGCTATCCTAACATTATGAAATTAGGAGTATTAGGGCCACATTAAGAAAAACAAAAATTAAGACTTCAAGATTAATTTATGAGAATAAAGACATTACTAATGAGAATAAAGTCATTACTAGCGAGAATAAAGTAATAAAATCAGTACTTATGAGAATAAAGTTGCAATAAAATCATTATGATACTTACAATAATGTGGTGCTGATGTGCAAAAGGTTAAGTATCTCCTTGTTTGAGAAACCTATATTGAGGTACATTTTCATGAAATGCTTCTTAGCTCTCATTTCAACAACTGTCATCTTAAACAACAGGTTAAATATGGGGACTTTTTTCTGACTTTATTCTCGTAAGTAATTGCTTTATTACAACTTTATTCTCGTAAGTAATGATTCTATTATGACTTTATTCTCATAATTATTTTATTACGAAATCATTCTCGTAAGTAATTACTTTATAACGACTTTTTTGATCTGGAAATTTTAGGCTTTGTTTACGCAGTCTCGATTTTTTTTAATCTTGAAATTTCAAGATTAAAGTTGAAATTTCCTTTTTTTTAAAATTTGATAGTTTTAAATTTTGACCTTGATCTCAAAATTTTGAATTTAATCTCGACATGGAAATTAAAAAAATCTCCCTCCTGTAATTATTTCTTTCTCCTCTTGTGGCCCTAATCCTCTTTTGTATAACATTGTATGTGTTGTGTAATAAATTAAAATGCTAAAAAGAACAGGGGAAACGTATGAAAATATTACAGTGAAGAAATAAGATTGATCACGATGTATGGAATAGTCAAGAGAGTTACTTTGGTCTGAGGGAGCAGCTGCAGAAAGAAAGTAAACAGGCAGATGTAGTAAACAGGAGGAGAATCCATCTCCCCTCTCTGTTGTGTCGCTGTGCAGGAATGATAAAGGCTATGGAAGCGAAAGATTGGATGCAAACAGGCGTCCATCTGAGCCTCCACACAAACTCCAATATGTGCACATTCACTGAATAAACAAAAACGTGGATGTGGAACAGTCAGGGGACTTAAAATGGCAATGTGATTTTATTTTGTTTATTGCCTCAGAGAGCCTTGAAAACTGAACACAAAGCAATGTGTTAGCCTTCGTCAGAGGCGTGTAGTTTATGTTCAACTTCCAGATCTGTGATATTGAAAATCAAAGGCCCCCGTTGTTCTCAAAAATACAATAAAAAGGAGATTGGAGAAACATGCTGGTGCCTTGAATCACACATTCTATCATTTAAAAAAACTGTGATGTCTTCCCCTCACACTACAGTATTATGCCCCAGTTATTGCAGTTGTATCTAAAGTAGTTCCATTCTGACAAAACTGAGAGTGGAGTAGATGTTAGCCTTGAATTTGCTTCTTCACTTTAACCAGAGGTATAGAAAGAATACAGAGAAGGATCAAGTAAAAAAAGAGTCCAAGTCAATGCAGTAGAGGGCTGCATAATGAAAGCAAGTTATGAGGAAAAACTCTTCTTGAGATGATGTCAAAGTGAAAGAATCTGCAAGCTACTAACTGTGGGAGCATATGACATCCTGGACTTTATCCAAACATGCAACAGAAAGAAAAAAAAAGAGATGTATTGTTGGCAAGCATCAAGTCCACTAAAATAACTCACAGTAACATATGTTTCACCTTCAGTGTTTGCACCTTGCACACTTTGCTAAAGCTTGTGAAATAAAAGAGACAGTTTTTATTATAAGCCCTTTTTTTTCTTTTGTAGACTTGTGAGAAAATTAAATTGTAACACTGCAATAAAACATGAGGGGAAGAACATAATTAGGTGATGAAATTGTCACACCGACCAGATCTGGGAGATTAGACCCTGACTTTCAGACAATATCCTTAATCCATTTCTCCTGTCTGTGCAGAGATGTGTACTCAAACAAAATTTGACAAATTTAGTTTCACACAGATAAAAAAATCAACTTTAGGCAGTTGGGCTGTAAAGCCCTAGTCGACTGGTTGACTTATTAGTTGGATTTGAAGCCAAAAACCTCTCGGTAATACCATTTTTTCTCAATTTCCTGAAAACAACATTGCGCAGTGGCGTTGTATGCACTCCACCACTTGGGCAGTAGCATTGTACGCATTCGGCGGGAGAGTCGCCGAGAGTTGCTGTATTGACACTCGGCTCAAACAGCGTATTCCAGCGTAAAACAGCGTTAAAAAAACCCAGCGTATTCCGCCGGTCTTACAAGCAGGGGGGAGAAAAATTTATGTTAATAAATTTCGAAAGTTTGTCCACAGGCCCATAAGCTTTGCTGGCAGAGGCGGGATTTATGACCTATACTGCAGCCGATCACCAGAGGGTGCTGTTCTCGGAGTGGCTTCACCCAGCGAGGAGGCAGACGGCGTCCATTCTATATACAGTCTATGTTCACGAGTAACAGCTTGTCCCAGGACACCCCCCTTGTTTTTACTATTTAGGATTCGCCCAACCCACTGGAGACAGGAAGACTAAACAACGTCCACGTTAATCAACGTCCGGTGGTTAGCTGAATATAATATTTGTGTTTAATTGCCTTCTCATGCCTATAACAGTATATTTTCACCCTGCCAAGCTGCGCTTCGTCGAGTCCCTCATTAGTCGATTTTTGGTCGAAGATTTCAGGGTTTTAGTCGACCAAAGATTTCTTTGGTTGATTACAGCCCTACTAGGCAGTATATAATGTGACCCTGAAAGAGGATGTCATATTTTATGGTGCTTCCATTGTCCAAATTTACCTGCTTGATTCATGCATTTCCTTTACATTAGGATATAACAGGGATTGTGCCCCTACAGAGCCTAACAACGTGCTTAGTAATATAAACTGTCATGTGACAAACCCACAACAACACATCTTCACTTCATCTGGAAGTCATGTTATTCAATCAGCCACAGGACATAAGCCCCATTTATTTTTTAAAAACTGGCAGGCAAGGCAAATTCAATTTGTACAGCACTGCATCAACAAGACATGGATGTGTTCACATGAGTAACCTGTTTGTTGTGTGAATATGAAGTAGCACCCCTCTGAGACAGCACCATCATGTTTGTAAGACCATCCTTATTAGCTTGTTTGCATTCACAGCCCATCCCAAGTGGCTGCTAAAGGGAGAGATGCTGTCAGGCAGCCTGGTGGAAAAGGCAGCCTCGTCAGCAGATATACAGTTAAGAAGGCAGCCAGACACTGCTGCTGCCTGTCTGGTCTGGTCCCACAAAAATGACTGTTGGAAAAGGATGTCCTGCTAAATATATCACTGAAAACAGCCCAGTTCTTTCCACTCCACCGATAGATGTGAGTTTAACCTATAAATCTGACTGGTGGAGAGGAAGACCACAGAGGGCTCATACTTGGAAAGCTGCAGAACAATGAACAAGAGTTATATTAAAGTTACAGACCCACTTCCTCCGGGGTTTAGAAATGGACTGGAGGAAGCGAACTGTAACATAATTGCTGACATAAAAACTACCATCTCATAAAGATGGAAATGTTCCTGATTATGATGGCACACCAGACACTTACCCTCTTCTTAAGATGTGAGCAGATGTCCTGCTGGTGCTGTCGGTCTCTATGGAGCTCCAGCTCCTCCTGGTGGGCATGTTTGGCCTCCTGCAGGGTGACCAGAGCTCTGGCTAGTAGCTCTTCATGGTCCCTCTGCCACTGCTGGGTCACCACCTTCAGCTGTGCCTGGGTGAAGCGCTGCAAGTCCCACACACGTTCATGCTCTATCTGGAACATACATGGAGAAGATTGTGTTTGCAAGTCAGATGGTAAAGCTGAATTATTGAACTTATCACTTGTGTTATTTTTTTATCTTACACAAAACAAACAAATATATATATAAATAAGGGGAAGACAGCATGTAGGGATGAGTAACTGTTGAATTGCAGACAGTGTAGCTCCAGATAAATGACAATCCAAACAAACACAAACACCCCTACATGATATAGTGTCTATAATAATGGCATCAGGCCCACAGGGAAAACTCTGTGTCAGATTTAGCTGTGCTGGTGTATAAAATGGTCCGTCTCTCCTGGCTGTGAAATGTCCTGAAGGAAAACAGTTCCTTTCTGTGTGAGGGCTGCCTGTAGCTATTCATCATTGTGTCAGCGCTCACAGAGGCTGCATCACTTGGCTGCTTCCCTGGAACAGAGGGAATGATATTCATCTATGGGCTAATGGCGGCTAACTGACGGTGGGAAGGCATTAGACGGCTGACTGGTTTTATTGAAAATGAGTGAGCTGACAGACCTGCCAATGGAAGAGAAGTGCCAGAGCCATTCGAGCAGATCCTGTTTATTAATGCACTTTCAAAAGTTGAGGGAGATCCGCCCCTTGTTTTCCCCTTCTTTTTGTCCTCTTCTGCACCTCTCTTGCTTTTCTTGGATTTTTGCTCTTGTCATGCTAAGTGTGTTTGCAATGCTACCAATGCTTGCAGATCAGTCAACATATTGCAGACAGTATGCATGTGGAAGCATCCACCACACTATGCTTAGCACTCTCAACCACAGCCTCTCTTCAGCGCACTTATCCACACAGAGGAGTGACTAGAAATGTTCTCCCAGATATATTCATAAAAAAGTATGAGGTATGAATTATTCCTGCTATTGCTGGGGCATCTTATGAGGGCATTAATTTAAGATCCTGCCGGTACTCTACTGGCTCCCTACTTGTCATGGGAGACATCAAAGAGGAAGCCATAATGGACACTAAAGAGCCCCATCCAGCAGGGGGAGACGTCCTCTTTGAGCTACTTAGAGCACCACCACCTGATGGAAATGAAGATTGAGAGGTAGAAAGAACTCAAGAATATGTCCATATGCATCTAGCTGTATAAGGGAGCACTTTTTTAATACACTGTCCTGAGTTAACCCTCACATACTGTTCGGGTCAAATTTGACCCGTTTGGACTTTTAACAGCAGTAAAAATACCCTAAACGTCATTCTTTAAGCCTGAAACTTGATGACTTTTCCTGAAGTTTCCCAAAATACATGAAATTGATTTAAAAATATTCATGTGTATTTTTGTTTATGTGCTACAAATTTTTCCCCTCTAAGGCTGTTACGGGTCAAATTTGACCCGCATCTATTTAGATGGATTTTAGATCTAGCAGTGTGGGACAAGTGACAAACAGTAACAACAGGGTTCAATATAAGGTTTGTTGTTCAAAAAGATATATTCAAATCATTATGAAACTATCATTACCTTGACAGAAACACACACACACGCACGCACACAGACATACAGTCACACAGACACACCTAGACAGAGGTCAAAATGACCTAACTAGTCAAGAGAACTTTCTGTGACAGAAAGCTGCTCTTTGAACTCTTTGAAGGGGCAATTTTGACCCGGAACATACTGTGAGGGTACAGGATTTGAACAGTATGTGAGGGTTAACTGAATTGTAAATGCAAACTTCAAATATCTTAAATTAGGAAATCAACTTCTACTACAGCTCTGCTTTATTCTAGATATTTCCTACAAAGTAAAAAAGAATGTAAAACACTTTTATTCTCATAAAAGCAAAAAATATATAAAACAAACCACTTCGCAATGACTCTTTCTCAAACAATAGATATAATATTTTCAAAACACAAGGTTTATGCAGCCATTTGAAGAGAGCACTTACTACAGATTTATCACCAAGGCCTTGAGGTGGTTTGACTGCACAAACCCTTAGGCTGTGGTTGTTATATGTCACATCTGCTGTCTGGCTATAAAACAAAACTGTTGCGTCTTGTGTCAGAATTTAAATTATGCTCACAAAAGTCGAGGAAGACTGTGCATCATTATGATATGACTGCCTGCAGAGGGATCTAAATGACAAGCAGGCGAGTTATTAAAGCTCAAACAAGAGCAGCTTTCAAGGCTCTGAAATGGAAACTGACAAAGGACAACCTTAAAGCTCAGACCTAGCTCGGCAGAAACCACTCTGTAAATAAACTCATACTGGTAGAAAGTCAAATTGACAACCACATTTGTAAAAATGCAGAGGGAATTATTTGAAAAATATAAACAAATATCTTTCTTAAGCAGAATGGTGTCTCAATTGTAGGATTTTCTTCCTTACTTTAGATTTCATGGAGCAGAGCTCTTACAGTCTCTGTCCTTTGAGCTTAATAAGCTCTAATCAATGCTGACTTACTTGTGTATTTGTTCTCTTAATTTAGGTTTCGAAAACAGAAAATGTCAAAACAACCCTGAATGAAATCTGTTTTCCAAACGCTGATATAAAATGGCATATATGCACTAAATCAGTGAGGTTTCAGCAACCTACTGTCGTGCACGCTAATTATCTACCACATGTGAGCTAGTTTAATTATGACTAATAGCTGGATAAGGTGAATTCACTGCCACATCAACACTCTGCATCAACTCTGCTTCAGAGGAGGTGAAAAGTGTGGAGAGAGACTGTTGAGAAACACATCTCTCCCTGTCACCCCCCAAAGGCTGAACGATCACGGCTCTAAATGCAGCACCCAGCTGGAACTGATATGAGGACAGGTCTCCGGGAGCGGGTGAGGGAGGAAGGAGAGCGGGGCTGGCGGTTGTCATGGCGATGCTGGGGTGGTGGCTTGAGCGAGTTGTCCACAGTGGGTGACATGGCACATCCTGCAGCGTGCTGAGCAAGTCATTGTCAAAGCTTAACTGTGTGTCTGTCTAAGCGGTTCAGGGTGCTGAGTCACATTGACCAGGGAGTCGGGGACTCACGTTGCAGGGATGCGGGGGGGCCACATTTTTAACCATGAACAAACAGTGTAAATGCACATACTTTGGTATGAAGAAGTGGGGCTGGGATGTGCATTTTTTTTCTGTGGTCCATTCAACCAGAAAATGTTTAAATGGCAGAGGACATCTACACTAGATGAATCCAAAGTCTGCACTGGACCAAGAGGAAAAACCTCTGAATGCTCAGAGAGCTGCAGATCAGAAAGTCTAAGCAATCCCTGTACAAACAAATGTTTATTTTTTCTATAATTAAATTCCATCTCATCATACTTAGCCCTCAGAGGTTTAGACTCCAGTTTTAAAAAAAAAAAAAATTAACAAATATATCCTCCAAGTAGCCAAAGTACAAGATGACATCTTAAAATCTGGGATTTTTTTGGTTTACTGTCAGGATTGCAATGCTTTTGCACCCACTAAACCTGTGAGCAGAACAAAAGCATCAATACAGTGTTGAAAGCTCAACAAATGTCTCTGCAAGCAGTTTTTTTTTTTTTTGGCATTATTGTTTCTATATACTTAAATGGGACATTATTTATCTGTTTGTAGCCAAATGTGACTTTTTCTATGCAAACAGACGTGTTAAAAACACATAATTCACCTTCACCAGCACAGTTGAGTGAAAAGTTTAACCATCTGCTGAGAGTATAAACTATTTGCACTGAAGTATTTGTAAGCCTTGTTAGAGTCTGTCATTACTTTGACACCCCTATCTTTAAAACAAACAGTTTGTGGGTGTCTGGGGCTCAACACTCACACTAACAAATGTGCCATCACACACAGAGTTTGTTTTGCCCCATCTGACAAGTTGCTCTTTGCAGGCTTCCTCAAAGAAGAAAGCTGGGTATAAACTGTGAAATCTGTGTTACATCTGTTGTGAAGTGACTCCATAATAAAATAGTAAGAACATTACCTCTCCATTCAGCTCATTACATATGTAGATAGGATTTGTATCGTCATGCTTAGAGCACACAGTGCAGCTCTGTGCAGCAGAGTGAAGAGATGTCCACGGCTCATCTCAGCAACATTACAAAACAAAACTGAAGAAAATTGCACAGAGCTACCGGACCTGGTGGGTATTTTTGGACTTTAATATCATTTGTGAATCAGAGCTTGAGATAAAGCAGACAGCAGGGGCAAATGATGCACAGCTCTTGGGGCTATTAGCGTCTGCAGTCCACTATTTGTGAAATTTCCCCCCAGTTTTCTTTCATAAAATTAAAATGAATTTCAAACACTGACAGCCTCCATTTTTTGTCTTTTTTAATTTGAATGCATTGCCTAGATAACAAAAAAAGGAGTAGACGTACTTCTGGGTCTTTATACCTGCCAATTGCAGGTGCTCTTTTGATGCTTCAGTATTAACTCCATTTTTTTCAGGGAAGGCAATTGTTGCATGTGTAAAAAAATAAGAAAAAATGAAAGTACAACTTTCTGCCAGTCCAAAGCGCACTGCAGTGATTCTGTTTAATAACACAATAATGTTTTTTTCAATCAATGCAACAACCTCCTTCCTGAAAAATAACTAAGATAATTATTTGATCATTGAAATCATAAATTCTGTATAAATGTAGGACAAAAAAATCTAATAAAACATATGATGGCTTACGACTCTTTTGGTTTAGTTTGTGTCAATTTTGTCTCAGTTTTTCAAAGGTTTAACATTAAATAAAACACTGACCAGCTCATGTCTACTTCTGTGAGGGAACAGCCTCTGCAGCATGTCCATGCAGAGGACTCTGTAGTTGGGCACGTCATGTGGAGTGTACTGAGACAAAATGAACTGGAAACAATGGTGATCATCTGCACACCAGCCACAGAACCTGAAACAAATCAAACAAGAAAAGACTACTTAGCTTCATTAATACATACAAATATAAATATACTAAAAATATAATATTTTGTAGTGTTTGTTTTGAAAAAAAGAAATTCATCTATTTAACACTTTACTTTACAGGTTATCTTATTGACCTGTTCCCGCAGGTGCATATATTCATATATACTGTACATTCAACTGCACACATCAACAGGAGCAGGCCGTGCTGTATGGAAAACATATGGAAATCGAAGTGGAAATGTGAAGGGGCTTTGACACATCGATATCATCAACCTCCTGCTGAGAAACACTTGTGTCTGTCAGGAAACTGACTGCGCTTCTATATGCCGTTAACGTCCTGCTGAGAACATAATCTCTCATCCTGATCTTCTAAGCTCTGCCTATAGAAAGATTTATCAAAGTGGATAGATGAGAATCATTTAAAGCCTGTTTCTTTGAAAAGAGAGGAAAACTGGAGGGAGTGTCATCACATATATTTCACATAGGCTGCAAAACCTACTCAATTTTCTCGATCAATCAACATAAATAGCTCTCGAGTTTATTATAGGAAGCAGAGACGAGTGTCAGCTGCTGTCAGGTGTACCTGTTGATTGCATGTAGTTGCTCATGGAGACTCTGCAGCCTGCTCTGATACCTTTCTGACAGAGACCGAAAGGCTTGGATCAGGGAGTCCTTTAGCTCTGGGTAAGGGCAGTCCGAACCCAAAACCTCCTCTGGAACATCTTTTTTTGAAACCACATCATCTGAAGTACTTGTGAGATATTTCTGTGGAGAAAAAATGACCACCTTTGAGACAAAAACTGAAATGATTAGACATTCACTCTTTATTCAGTCACCTCTCTGGCTCCACTGAACACTGTTATACAAAATGTAAATTTTTATCAATCAACTTAGATTGAACAGTAGGTGAGAAATTTGTACCTCTAAGCCCAAGCCAGTAATCTCCTCCTCCAAGGCCAGGTACTCTGCGTGAAGTTTGGCAGTTATACCATTTTGCTGGTCTTTCACAAAGTTTATCTGGTGATAAAACAGCGTAAAACACGCACAGTTTGAACTCACAATCAAACTGAGAAGAGTGATTTTTCACCTTTCTTGAATTGCATTTATTTTTAGAGTTCAAAGTCTGGTATCCATAACGCTCTAAAAGAGAAACGCCTTTCTTCTTCTTACAGTTCACAAAAATCAAGTGCCGATCTCAAGACGAGACTCAAGAGATCACAGCTATCGTCTGTAACACTTTCTATTCTTCCTGTTTTTGCTGCGTCTGCTGAGATCAACATTAATGCTTGAACTCCAGTTCCCTGTGATCTCCCAGACCTCTAGATTCAGAAACATTTATCATCAGAGTGCCTCTGTAAGTGCTCTGTAACTGCTTCACCCCAGAGATGTCAAATATCAGAGGGAGAAAAACAGCTATTTTGGAAAGGAAACAACATTTATCTATTAATCTAAACTGAGTCTTTTTTGGAAAGAAATGTGGAAATTAGAAATCATCAGAAATTTGGTTTACCTGTCAAGATTTTTAAAGTTATGTTTAACAACAGACAATCTTAACCCATTCTCCAAATGGATGAAGTAGCAATTACTTTTACACTATTCAGTAAGGTACTTAAATAGAATAAATGTGTTTTTTTTTTGTTTTTTTTTACAGTGGCATGCATTCACTGCTTAGTTTAATAGGCAAACAGATTATTTATAGTCATTAGCACTCTCTCTAAACAGATCTACAGTATCTAATTTTCCTCTTGTCTGTTTTCAGCAGTTCACTTTCACAACTGTCAAACTACAGACTACAGACTTCACCAGAATCTTCTTTGCTGTTTAATACCATTAATACTCACATATCCTCTATTCTTAAAGCTCTACATTGGCTGCCTGTATCCTTTAGGGTACATTTTAAAATTCTGGTCCTATTATATAGAGCCCTGCATGGTCAGGCTCCATGTTACATATGTAATCTGATCCAGCCTTACACCCCCACTTGGGCTCTGAGGTCTGTGGATCAGAATCTACTGATGGTTCCGCACTCTCGTTTTCGGACCAGAGGAGACCGATCCTTCCAGGCTGTTGCACCCAGGCTTTGGAATGATCTTCCTCTCTCTGTTGACCCCTTTAAAAGCCAACTCAAGATGTATGTATTTACTCAGGCTTTTGTTTAGTTGTTTTGGGACTGCTATAATAGTTCATGTTGTGGTTATGGCCTTTTAAATTTGTATGTACATTTTTACTTTTTGTTTATGTGAAGCACTTTGTGACTTTTTGTCTGTGAAAGGTGCTATATAAATAAAGTTTACTTACTTTCTACGTAACTTACCATTACGCTGCTTGTGACGCAGACTACGCATAATTTTAAACCCAGTCAGGGATTATTGATGACTATTAAATAAATTAACCCTGTATGTAGTTAAAATATTCTGAAGTATGTGTAAGTGCCGATGTCAGAGATCATAGTGAGGAAGGGGATTTGATATGAAAGCAGAAAATATGCTGATATACCCAAACGATAAATTGTACGATTGTATTATTATTGTAACCACTTTTTAAAAAGTAGAATTCTTCTCCAGTATTTTTTTCTTTTCACAATATGTTTTACAAAAAGGAAAAAAATTGCAATTTTTTTTCAAACTCCTAGCCCAAAGTACTTTCTAACTGCATGTCTTGTGCACCTGTTCACACTGATGTTATGCTAACAGCAAAGAGTGCTAGTGTATGTTAGTGCCCATCAGTAGAGAGTAATCATATTTATTCACACATTGCTGAATATGTCAGCAGGAGTAACTCAGAGTTTAAAACACATTGGCAGGTACAGCTGTAATTGAACCGACAACAGTGAGATACAAACAACTTTGCTACTGAGCCACAACTGCTGCTGTTTTTTTTTATTTTCTTTATAAGCTCTGGCAAAAAATGGTCAAAGGCCAAAAATCAAAGGAGCTCTGAGTTAGAAGCGCATGTACATCAGCAAAGCATGAGAATAGCTGGTTAGCTTGGTTAGCTTGGTTAATGGAATGCACACTCTTACGTGCAAAATTAAAAATGAAAGAAGAACCAGAACATCTACATCTCAGCTAAAGAAGGAGTAAGAGATTAGGAACACTGATGGCTGAAAAATCTTACTTTGATGCATTAATAAATACATCTTCATCATTATAGCCCATCATCTCTGCAACACTTTTAGTTCAGTATTTAACAAAGCTGTCAGATCTGGACAATGTTCAAATAAACACATATAAAGAGAAATATACATGAATATAAAAACAACTACTGGCCAACATTAGCTATCAGGAAATAATGAGCTGTGTACAGACATCAGAGTTGACGTACTTGTGTTACATTATTGTCATGCTAGCATATTTGTATACTCAATGGCTAATTTGTGAAAAAGGGTTTTATTAGTCAGAAGAAACTATTTGTTGTTGTTATCAAATGTGAATATTAGCAATGTCAGATTATGACAATATCTATGAAAGCTATGAGATAATGTAAAGAGGTAATAAAAGAGATTATTTTTGACCCTGACTCTCACAATCAATTCATCCCTGACTATGGGGCATTATTCCTGTTGGACTGTCTTGTTTCTGATTCTTTCTTAAATAAGCTTTCAAATCCCTGTTTGTGTTTCCAGAATCTTAAGTTCCTATTTAAAACATGGATGTATTAATGGCACTAAAAGGGGATCTCTCATGTTGTTAGTTGGTTGGAGAGCAAATTCATGTAGTAAGATAAGTAAACATACCAAATGGTCAGAAGTCGGGAGTGGGAAAAAAGGACAACAAGAGGCATCAATATACAGCTATGTGTGTGTGTGTGTGTGTTTGTGTGTGTGTGTGTGTGTGTGTGTGTGTGTGTGTGTGTGTGTGTGTGTGTGGGTGTGGGATTGGAAGGGGGGTTCCATTGTGCTGTGCCCATGTTATCAGGTGGGATGAGGCTGTGGGCCAGCAGGAGTGGAGGGGGTCATGGGAAAGAAGCAAGCATGGGTAAGCCTCACAGAGGAGACAAAATGGCTGGCAGACGGTACATTCCAAGTAAAGTCTGTCTTTAAAGACCCCTGCTTGCTCCTTAATCTCACCATTCATCTGCAGAGCCTGCATAAAGCCTCTGAGAGTCAAAGGCAAGTTTTTGACTTTGGTACCGTGGATATCTGACAAACAAGAGATTCTTGGACTGTGAGTGCAACGCTGTGTGCAAGCGGGAATCATTGTGTGATCAGGCAAGAGAGTTGAAACTGCTGCTGGATGTGTACAAGCTGTTTCAGTTTGGCAGGATTCATTATTTGGGGCTTTGAATGAACTGCAGGAATTAAAAAACTCCAGTAAAAAGAAAAGGACATGAGTTGGAAGACGCAGAGACTCCAAAAGCCCAGATCCTGATCCACCTGATTTAAGTTCACAGGAACAGAGATGAAAATCTTTTTGCCAACTTTCTACTTCATTTTAACTGAAGTCACTGTGGTGGACATGAACTGTCAGCCATGTTTCTCTTATGTAGATACCTGCTGAATTACTTGTTCCCAGTTAAATCCTGAAGCTCCGTGTTGTTGGTGTATTTCACTCAGTCTGAAGCACAGGTCATCTTTGAGGTGATGGACAGGCTCTACAGTGGCTGTCCTGAATGTTTCTTGTTCCGTCTTTAGGAGCAGTGCTTAACCCAAACAAAGACAAACAAGGAGAGACATTAGTAAAACCTTTACAGTCTAACGGAGGATAATCGAACAATCTTCTAATACCCACTGGCCTTCTTTTGTTTACCATGTTCTTGGAGTGAGAAGATGGCAGTGTCTGTTTTGTCAATCGGTCTGATCATCTCCAGAATATCTTGGATGTCATTCTCAGCTTCCTCCCTGTTTCACACAGAAAAAAAAAACAAGTTAATAAGTTTATTCAGCAACATTAACATGATACAAACTGTCAAGCTTAAAGTGCTTTGGTCACCTGTATTAATCAAGATCAAACTCTTGAGGAAATAATAACCTGAAGGTCTCATTAACACTTTTATGCAAAAATTAGCTGGTTGCATTAGTTAATTTAGGCTAACTACCAAGATATACCCAAATCTTACTTGCTGTTTGTTTGCCCCCCTTAAGATCAATAAATACAGCTAGTGGTTAAAGGAGAATGCATTAGTTTATTCCAAGATTATGACTTTTGGTGCACTCTTTAAAATGTTTGAAATGTTTAAGAAGCAACAAAAGCTTTACTATGAATTTATTTATGCAAAGTAGCATCGAATTGAATTACTAAATCAAAGTACTAGTACCTACATACTCAAATCAAAGTATTATTTTCCTCCAGTGCAAACATCTGGACTGCTAATAAGCTTCTGAGGTGTGGAAAATTGATCTTGAATTAAGTACTCAGTCTATCCTTGAAATATACTTGATTATGATGGGCACAGCTCTTCTCTTGGAGTGTATGTCTGAATTAAAAGTTATGACGTCTTCATTGTGGATGTAAAAAATGACTTCATTGTTTTCCACTTTATCTCCACTGCTCAAGACCTCTATAACTACTGGATAGAATCTGTAATCCATGGTGATAAAGAATCAATCATCTCTAGATGTCTTTGATTAAAAATAATGCAGGCTGAAACTCAGACAGAAACAGTAAGATAAGAAGAGCTTTATTTTTCCAGAGGGGATATTCGATGAAATAACCAGCTCATGGTTCGCGGTCTATTAACATTTTGCATAAATTTAAGTGTTTTGTTATTTTGTGGCAATAAAGGGCAGCAATATAGACTAAAGGGCAATGCAGAAACTTGAGATAAATCACCAAAGCAGAAGCAACTTAATTCTTAAGACAGTGGAGGAGTTATGTTGGATTGTCTGGTTCCAAAAAAAGGTCATGCAGTCTGTGAGTCACCATATGTGTGATCACTCTAACTTTAAGTGATGACAGCCTGTCATTGTACTATACAAAAGAGGATAAAAAGTTAGTGTCAAAATAAACAAAACAGAAAAAACAAGGACTTGGCTGGGGAGGATGGTAAATAAAAATAACAGAAGACAGGAAGAGTGCTGCAAAATAATAAGACAGTAAGAAAGGGGCTGACATTATTGTTAATAAAGGCAGCGTAACCATAGAGATATCTTCTTCTGTTTCCCTTCTGACAAGGTGGCTTTTGAATCCCATGGTAATTTGACTGGGTATATGCATAGAGAGTTGCAAGCAGTGGCACATCTTTAGGACTGGGCTCATTACCGAGGCTCACACTTGTGTACATCATTAACCTTGGGTGGCTCAGACACAGTCATTACGCAGCCAAACAAGCTGCACCCCCAGAGCTAGCGCTGCCCTTCTCACTTCACGAGGCATGACACTGCTGGGGCCCCAATCCCACACTTCTTGCGTCAACACGTAGAGAGTAGCGAGAGTATTCCTCCATTCAGCACCCACACAGCTCCAATCCCCAAACTTTTTCTCTCTTTCTCACCTTTAATTCAATGCCATTACTACAAGAAAATCAACACATTTTTTCTTCCATTCTTGTTTTTTTCATTGATATTTCTTCTTGTCAAGCTTATTTTTGCACCTTATTTTTATATACAGGCTCCGATCTGGGTTCAATGGGGCTTAACTGAAACGGTTACGCGGTGTAATAGCACATCCAGAAAACAGCAACAGATAATGACAGGGAGTAATAGGGAGCTCTTACTCAGCTTTTTGCAGCCTGAGGCACTCTCTGCTCCACACCTGTCTGTGCTGCTGTAGTATGGAGCTCTCTCTGGTCGCCTTGGCTGTGCGGCAGGTCTTCGTGACCTATAAGAAAAAAGTATGACGCAAATCTAAAATAGAACAAGCAACAAAAAACGATTACGAAAGTGCTTGCTTTTATTCCCTCATAAAAATAATTAACTTTGCAGGGACAAACCTGGATATGGAGGGCTTTAATGCATCAATCATCTGGAACCTTTCATAACACCAAAATGGTAGGACAGGGGATAAATCATACTGTTGCATGAGTAATGAAAAAGTGTAAAGTTTGTGTACTAAAGATAAAAATTGACTGTTCCCTTGTTTGGCACATTGAGGGTGTTTTTACACAGGCATTTGCTTCAGCCTTTATTAGCATCACCGTGTCTGTGAAAGGCTCATAAACTTTAGTAATTCAACTGAAACTGTATCCCCACTAAAAGTGTGATAGCAACATAAACAGCTGCAAATTAAAACAATCAAGTTGAAACATGCATGACGCAGAATGACTATGAGGCATGTTATTATGAGGGGGAGGTGGAGAGAGAAAAGATAATCTACTCTCATTTGTTTTTCTTTTCATCTTGAAGGAACAAGGCCCATTCAGAGCACTCCTCTATCAGTGTTTTCATACACAGGCCACTGGCTCAGATAATTGTACAAAAAGAAATCTCAAATAACGAATACATGGGTATGCTGACTCTATCTCACATTAACAGTAATTGTAAAGGAGTTAGGGTTTTGATTTATGTCATTACTGTGTATTTATGTGTCATATTTCTGCTGCTGTTGGAGCAAAAAGAAGTTTGACTGTATTGTGCAAAAGGTTTACCCTGGAGGTGACATTCATTTTATAGTTATTGGAATCAGCAGTCAATGTGAAACGACTGCTGCTCTGAAAGAAAAAGGCCAAATTAATGTCGTTCCAGGCCTCTTCCAGGCAATGAATTGTAGGTGATCTTAATTTGCATTGGCTGTCAAGTAACTCTGCTGAGCTACAAAAACTGTGCCTGGAGCCAAACTTACATCTACTCAATTCTAGTTTCACTGTGCCAAATAAAACAACCGCCAAAATCCACCTTTTTCATGTTATATTTACACTCAGCCAGCCAACTTCTCTCTAAATTTATCAAAAAAACAAACAGCTACAGTGTCAGTGAGCATTTTTCTTGACTTGTTTTCAAAACTGTTTGACCAAAAGTTTCAAATGTATGTTGAGAAGTCACAGTATTTTTTTGTACCTACCTGAAACCATGATATGTACACCTCTTTCTGAGATTGTGTAGAATTTTGCATCAACATACTGTAGGTGTTGCGCCTTATTTCGACTGATAAAATCTCTTGTCAGGATGCTGGTGGATGGGGATATACTGGAAATCACATAAGGTCATCGATCCTGGCTCACAGAGAATTACAATGGTGTACCTTCTCCCTCTTAAAATAAACCTTAGGGTCAGAAAGATGGCAATAAAGCTCAGTCCCCTTCATGCCCACACAGTCCTAAAAATAGAATTCTATCAGACAAAATAATGATCTCACCTGTGCTGGTCAACAATGGGTATAAAACCCTTTGGCAACATGTTCCCTACAAGTATAAAAGCTGCAACAATCACATCTCTTGTTCGACTTCAAGGTTACTATGTTAAACTCTAAAGAGTTTTAAGTCTATTCTTAAGAGCTCCTTTAAAATTATTTGAATATTTTGTATTTCCTCAAATCTAGCTCTTAAAAAGGAGATAATCATTACTCTGTGTATAAATTAACCACTGAACAAGCACTTCAGTATCACACTGAATTTACAATTTAATGATCCTACAGAACTGCTATGTATCTGGTATGGGGTTTATTAGGGCTGTCGGCCTTAACATGTTTATTACAACTTGATTAAGATCAAGGTTATCTTTTTCAATCAATCAAACTCTATTTATAAAGGACCTTTCATACGAAACAATGTAGTACAAAGTGCCGGATACAAAATAAAAAGCAAAACCCCACCCACCCTCTCAACCTGCATTCAACACACACAGCACTCATGCACAAACACACAAGGACACTAAGTGAGGACTCTTCAAACTGCCACAAAAGACCAAGGAAACGCTATCTTGGAGTAAAAAAGGAAACACTGGACCTAAGGCTAAACCAATAAAACCATTTTAAGATAGAATAAAGAAAATAAAGTGTTAAAAGTTATTAAAATACATCAGTCTTAAAACAAACAATAACAAATACATAAAAAGAGGTAATAAGATTTTCTCAACCACATGCTTTTTTGTTCCTTTCAGTTCACTGTAGTTCATCCACTGTAGCTTTTTCATGTTTCCTACTGCTGCTGTGATTAAAAACAACAGCATTACTGCACTTTCCAAAGCCACATCCCCTCCAAAACGTTTCAGATGGCTCAGATGACAAGTCAGAAGTATCATACACTTCAAGTGCTGCTGAAGTTCTTCAAGTTTGAGCTACCACCTATGAGCTAAGCATACAGGTCCAGAATGATGTCAGCAGGCAACCACATCACAAAAGCCAGCAGAGAACTATTTGGGCCACATTTTTTTTTTTTTCCTATTTATTTTTTTTTTTTAATGTGATTTTGCTTCATTTAGTTCTATATAGTTCTATATCGTTCATTTAGTTCTATTGAGCTCTTTGGTACTTTGGGTTCTTGCTGTGTTACATGTTTGCTTGTATGTCAAAGCACTTTGTAAACCAGTTTTTAAAAGTTGCTACAAAGATAAATAAATTGCTATTGTAAGTTATTAGTTTTTATCTCTTCTGGTAAAATTGAGAAATGATAATTTATTGCATTTCTCAAACATATACCAGTATGTGAGCGCAGAATGGCTGTGTGAATGCCCCCCGCCTTCCTTTTTTTTTTCTTAAGTTGTACACTTTTCCACAGAGCTCCTGGTAAGAAATCCTATAATGAGGTAAAATTTAAAGGTTTTAGTATCTCCTAATGCTTCCAGTCCCATCCTGGAGAGCAAAAATGATCCTATGCTTGAAGCCACTCGTGGTCATTTATTTCCCCCTCTATCACATCTCCAATGGGAGATACTCTAAAAGCTTGCCTTTCAGCAGGGAGACCAAATGTGACTATGGGCTTATCTAGGTTATACAGAGAACAGGGTTGGAAGGCGCCATGGGCGACTGTGATGATACTAAAGGCTCCTGCCACAGTTTACCAATTAAAACACCGCAGGTCTAACAGCCTTATCTTCATTGCCCCTGGCATTAACTTTTAGCTCTGCTCAGAGCCTTCTATGAACTTCAATCAGTTTTATAGAAAAACCCCAGGCAGCCAAATGAATATTCATAAAACTGGAAAAGCTGCTGTGTATGGTGGTGATATTACAGCTCTTTTTCATGTACTTAAACAAATTAGAGACGTTATGCAATAGCTGTTTTAAGAGGTATTGAATCCCTTTGCATAATACGAGAATAAGAAAGAGAAAGAAGATACACTAATAGAGATAAATGTTGCTGTTTCCTTCTTTTACAACATGCTTTTTATTGCCTCACAATAAGGTCATGTTCTGCTTCCCCTGTGGAGGGCTATGATGACTGCTGTAAAAACATTTTATATCCCAGTGTATTTGAACATTATTCTTCATCTGCTGCATGCTGAATCACCATAAAATCAAATTTAACAGGGATTGATTTTAAAATGAAAATGCTGTTTTTAGCATGGACATTGTATTGATTACAACCAAAATTTACCTTTTGTCCAATTAGATCAGACTCCAGGCGCTTGGCATCAATGATAGCTTGCAGTCTTTCATATTCAGCAGGTTTGTACTCTGAGCTGCCGAGACCATTTTTCATCCGTACTGTCAGTTTTTCTGCATGGGTGAAAGCAAATGATATGGCTGAATTAGGATCATTGGAATTGTTGAAAGTCTCATCACTCTTAGTGTCCTAAGTAAAGTCTTTATGCTGACTTCAGCAGAAAAAAAAAAGAAATAGAAGTAAAGACAACACCAGCTGAGAGCTAATGGATTTCATGGGTAATTCAGAAATAACTGCAGTGGAGGGGTGGAGGGGGTGGTGAGTGCAAACTAACTGTTAGGCAGTTTTTAAGAGTTCAGCTGTGACTCAAGGGGCAGGTGAATAAACACAAGCAACGCTGCCTCTGACAAAAGCATCAAAAGAGTTGGCAGTACCTGGGGAATTCAACATGAAGACTTCAGGTCAGATCTATTCAGTAGATCAATGGGCCACTATGTCACAAGTCAGCAATATTTCAGACCCGGTTTGTGCTGACTTACCCACATCCTTTGCTCTGTAGCTTGTAACAAATGTATGCAGATCCTTCCCACTCATTACCAGAGTTAGATTTGCTTGCCTGCAAGTAAGACATGTATCATTATACAAGACATTTCTAAGATTTTTGTCAACACATGATGAAAAATAACTATTCAACTGCACATCTGCCTGTTTTTTGAGCGGTATCTCAAATGACAAAAAGAGGAATATGAGCAAAAGTAATACGAGTAAATCAGTAAGATCTTGCAAGACTGTGAACTCAAAGGGGGCATATGGAGACGCAGAAATATTCCCCAGGGACAATTTTTTTTCATTTTTTAAAATTTAACTTAAAAAAAATGGCCACACAGACAGTGTCAGTTAAGCTTTATGGTGGATGTAATGGATTAGTGTGAAGTGTGGAGGAACTGATTTAAACTGTGATCGAAATTAATATGCTGTTTTTTGGATTCAGTGAAGATAATTGCCATTTTTGCCCACTTTTAGCGGACAAAAGAGCTTCTTCTTATAGGACAGAACACAATGTTTTTTTTTTTTTTTTAATGAAAAACTAGTGACAGGAAAATACTAGGTTTCTGGACAGAGTGGCAGCATAACATGAGTCATTGATTTACTTTTGTCTGACTTCCCTTTACAAAGACACGTACCTTTAAATACACAATTTAGAGCTGGCCAGTTTACTGATAGGACAAAAACATAATCAAAAAACCTTTTTTGGTCATTTGATTTTCTTTCTCACAGCTGCTTTACGATTTAATGGTTGCTAATATTTGAAAGAAATTCACTCTGTCTTGATTTTCAAAAAATTCAACAATACTTTGTCAAAAAAATGTGGTGATAAACACTTTACATAAGCCAGAGCCGGCCCAAGGCATAAGCGAACTAAGCACCTGCTTAGGCCTCGCAGCCGATAGGGGGCCCCCAAGGGCAATCAAAAAAATAATAATAATCTAAATATTTTTTATTTTTTGCATGTATGAGTGATGCTTTTTTGTATGATCAAATATAGATTATTGTAAAAATAAAATAAAGTAAATGATGTGTCAAAGCTCCGTTATGTGCCTTCTGTTGTGCGATGTTCACTGAGCATCCAAAGCGCAGGTAGTTGTGGGTTAAAACCACAGACTGTAAAGCTCTCGGTATTGCCGTGTTTTTTCTGCACTTCCTGAAACCAACATTGCACAGTAGTGTAGTACACATTCGGTGGGAGAGTCGCCGAGAGTCACTGTGATGTATCCCCCGGGGGAGCTACGCAATCTTCGTACGCTCATAGGCTGTATCAAATGTCAATCATAGAAAACATTAACCTCCTAATAACTTTTAAAAACGGAGCTTCACATAAAAATGAGGACTTGAGCACAAACCAGTCTTACTGTAACTACATGTTAACACCACAACCAGGGGGGAGAAACATTTATATTTGGTGTAATTAATTTATAAAATTTGTCCGAAGCTCCATAGGGATCGCTGGAGGAGGTAAACTGCAGCCCATCACCAGAGGGTGCTGTTCTCGGAGTGGCTTCACCCAGCAAGGAGGCAGACTCTGTCCATTCTATATACAGTGGGCAAAACAATGTTGCAGAAAAGGACATATCCTTCAGGAGCAGAGAAAGGAAAGAGGAAGAAAGAGAAAGAAGAGAAAAAACGCAGAGATAAAAGTATGTTTGCACGTCATGAAATCTTAATCAAAGAGATTTATGAAGGTGTGTGAATGATCATCAATCGATATTATTGGCAGAAATAGAGGGCCCCAAAATCAAATTTTGCTTAGGGCCCCATTGAAGCTTGGGCCGGCTCTGACATGAGCTACTTGTTAGGTCATGAACCAACCACTGCTGTGCTACCTGGTCGGTTAGCTAACAAGCTAACTACATCGACGTCAGAAATATGTTTACAAGACAGAAATATTGTTGAAGAAAAAACTGTGAAGTTGGATAACATATAACAATGCACACTACCGCTACCAGATGTATTATGCCCGCAACATGCATGTAAGATTAACATTTACCCTCTGAACTCTTCCTTACCTTGTGCTTTCCCTCTCTGTGCAGTAGGTTGACAAAATTTGTAACCACGGCAACTATCAGCTGCTTTGTTATTGGTTTATTCAAGAAAACGAACCTCCTTGGGAACGCCCCTTACCCACATCGTAACCAATCAGGAGTGCGCAGTGCTTTCCCACATTCCCACTGACGTCATGCACGCTCGCATTGCCTGGGACTGCTGGAGGAGGGAGGCAGGGAGGGAGGGAGCAGCGGTGGAGGGGTCGGTCTCCTCTTCTCGGCTTTAGCTTCATGGAGGAGCCGCGAGTCACTCTTCCACATGCATGGGACTAAAGGACTGGACTTTACCGATCAACTTACCTGTACTAATGCAGAACCGGGCCGAGCCTTAGCCAGCTTAACAACAGTCCTCCTAAGGTATGTAACTCCTTTCCCCCGCTGCTGCTTCTTCACGAACTGCGAAATAACTGAGGAAAAAGGTTGGGGAAAAAAATTAAAGAATCTGTGCGCAAGGCAGAGGGGACTCAGAAAGTCGGGGAATTATTGTGATAAGTGAGAGTGGGCTTTTCGTGTGTGTATTTAGAACAAGACAAACTTCTTAGGGCTTCTTCCCAGCTGGAGTGAATCTAATACTACGCTAATCTTGTTCTTGTGACCGACTCATCGCCCACGACGCGCACCTTTGAGGGACCTTCACGCGTCGCCTTCCACGTCCTGCTCAGCCGTCGGGATGAAAACTTAACTCGCTAACGTGCACGAGCGAAACTGGGTCGGTGTTAGTTTGCCTGGACACTGAGAAATACGCAGCAACTCACTTTTTACCCCCTGTGATAATGTCCTTGAAAACGGGTTGTTAAAAGGTGAAGGAAAAGGCAGGTGAGCTTAGAGTGTGGGAATCTGTGGAATGTGAGCCCACTGTGGGGCGGAGATCCAGACTCGTTGGTCCCACCAGATAAGCTTACCTTTACCCTCACGTTTACGAGCTACAGTCAAACTACGCCATATTTAATGACCCTAATCTGCATTTTAAGCAGGGGCGTTTCTTTGAATTGAAGATTCATGGCTTTCCACCGTGAAATACCCACGCGCTTTTTAGGGAAGGGTGGACCCACTTTTATTGTCATGAAGGCTGTTAATAAATAGTCAATCTTCCTGTCCTAATGCATTATTTTAGCGTGGTTAATGAGCGAGCCAAGGAGTTAACAGTCACTTAGGCAAATGTCCTCCACCTTATCCCTCCTTGGTTTTAGAAGTAGGTCTGACTTGAACAGTTTCGTTTACAACCAAAGACCAATGCCCTGGTCTCAAAAACCCTAAGTAACATCTAGCAATTGTTTAATAACCCTGTGAGAAATGCTGCTTTAAGTAGAGTAGTATGGAAGCCCTAAATGGACATGCATTTAAATATTTTATTCTCTCAGTTTTCTAATCTCATCTCTTGGTGTTTTCCTGCAGATGTTGACTTGTTTATTTTGTCATCTAAAGGTCCTTACGCACCAGGACCGTTTTTGTCGTGTGATTATTTCCGACGGCAATATTTTTTTTCGAACCCGTATCCTGTCAATACAAGTGTTCACGCTTTCCCATTCTGCGATATTGCGGCATTTATTTTTTCGGATCATGGTCGGTTTTTCTAAAGTTTCGCAAACTGTGTGTCCACTTCTGACCAATCAGATTGCGTGTTGTTGCGACGTCAGATTCACCGGTATATCCAACATATCCGACCGGCTGATTGTTTATATGTCGGAAACAGAGTGCATTTTGATGAAAGACACAAATATTACAAAGATACTGACCTGAAGGACAACTTGTGGAGAGTCATAGCATCGGATCTCTCATATGACGATGTTTTGTGTGCTTTAACAGTTTGCTAAACGTCTTTGTATGAACTTTCATCTGTGCTAGTGTAAGCTAACGGTTGTTACTATAGTTTCATGTGCTTATCTGGTACTTGCCCCGACTCAGTATTTGCTATCATGACAGAAAGCCATCTCAATACTAGTGTCTAATCAGAACTGAAAACAATCAGCGATCATGGTACAGTTTCAGCTCCTGAACCAAGCAGTGAAACTCACCAAAGTTCTCTTCTTTTTTTAATATAGGAAGCACCCATGTGCTACGTTTCTTTTTCTTTTGAGAAAGCAAAAGAAGTACCAATTCGCCATCACTTGAAGCTGAAGTAGACTCCATTTTTGTCTTCTCGCTTCCACCCGGGACGCTGGTTGTTAAGGGAAGGTCCCGCCCTCCTTAGCCTCTAAACGGCTATAAGTGCTGACCCTTTGGCTTGAGCATTTAATGACGTTTCCAGCTTTTCTAGCCAATCAGAGGCGAAAGAGGTGGGCCTTTCCCCCGGAAAAGTCTTCCCCGGGATGCGTCTTTTTCCCCCTGGAAAGTCACAAAATCACATGGGCCTTGATGTGTATAGTCAGGCGCGTCAAAATTCGCCTCTGAATATTTCGTGATTTCGCGTTCTGTATTCATGTCAGCCCCGGTGTGTAAGGACCTTTAAGTGACCAGCACTGATTTTCCCATGATAAAAGATCAACCTACTGTATTATCTTGAGATACCTAAGCTTGTTTACTCGTGACAACAGAATAACTCTCAGGCAATTTTAAAAAAACAAAACAACAGGCTGTGGTCAATGTGACTGTTCTGAACACAACAGGCCTTGCTGACATTGTCACACTAATGAGGTAAGCTATGCCTTTGTTAATTGCCTCTTACATACGGCAATGTTTAGGTGGAATATCTGTGTCTCTGTTGTATCTCGTCGAATCAGGATGGTGGGGTGAAGTTGTTCCGTTTCTGATCCTCCATTGAAGGTAGTAATAGAGGCAGAACCAGAGGGAGTTCAGATGTGCAGTGTCAGAGCCAGCAGGGCAGAACAGCACTGTGTGAATTTGCCCGCCTGGATGTGTGTGTCTGTGGCACTGTAGCTGTGTGACTACAGGCTGTGCTCCTCGCTATCCCTCAACTAGTGCTTTCACAGTGAGTTAATGGTTATCAAAACCTTTTAGTTCCCTGTCACCTTTCCTCAATCCTATTATTTTTCATGTTAGAACTACTTGACTTCTCCACAGGAATACAGCACTGTGACTACAGATGATATGCTAAGGTGGGGATTATGTGTCGGTCATGAAGAACTTGAAGGAAAAATGATCAGGATCACTAAAAAGAGCCTGGATTGCCAACACGAGCAGAAATCGACGCTGAGGTTGTTTCCCAAAGAAAGAGGATGAATCCAAACCCTGCCAATACAGATTGCTGACAGCTTGAACAAGATTATACATCCTTGTTCATGGGTCTATATATGCATATATAATATGTTTAAATCAAATGTTTTACCAGACTTGTATAGTGGGGACCCTCTCCATTTGAGCAGGAAGGGAGGTGAATCATCTGATTTTTACTTGGTAGCTTATTTGTAACTTTCCCTTAGATTTTCTGTGTTTCTTCATTTCACACAGATCGTTTAGTCACAAAATTTTTACGTTGCATTAGCTAACTTAGCTGGTTTTCTGTTCTTGTTTGGCTGTAAGCGGAAATGTTCTGAAAGGAGCAGAAACGTTAGGGTGAGGTGAAGACACAAGCAGTTGCTTGGTGGTTTACCATGCTCTCCTGTTGGCTTCTTAATACTGCAGTTTTTAATTTTTGCGGTTACCACAACAGCCCTGCCCTTTACTCCACTATGTGATATGAAATCACTATCCAAGACAGAAATTTTATGCCATTTCAGGGTGCAATGTGTAAGTGTAACAGGCTGTGTATATGTATGTATGTATGGATACATGTCCTCTCAAGGCTTCCGTAGAATAGGAGTAATGCCTTTTACTGTTTTCCCTCTGTTTTGTTTTAGTTTGATTTGGGACTGTATGGAAGAGAAAGCCTTAAGGTTGAGAGTGCAGTTACTTGTTAGGTATAAAGCTTGTTCACCAAAAGTCATGTCTGTCACTCATATCAGGCTTTCATATGAGTTTTGCCGGCAGCAGGGCCTCGAGTCTCTGTTGTTGCCATGCAGGTGTGGGAAGATTATGTTCCTGAATCTGTGGTGTGACCATGATCATGTAAATACCTTTTTTTTCTTTTCCGAGCCAACAGAAGATGTGCATATGGCAAATGTGATTATATGTGAACTAACCCTCACACTCACTCATTCTCACACATACCCGAGAGGAATCACTTTGTTACTCCCCTCGTGATTCACATTACTGCACTAGACACGCACTGCCACACAGCTGACAAGTATTCAGGGTGGTTTTGGAGTGGGATTGAAAGGACAGCAGGACGTTGGATTGTAGAGTCAAACTCGCTCTCTCTGGTTTTGTTTGTCACTAGTTTCTTAGCAGTGACACTTGATTTGACACAAAGAGGGACGTTAAAGCAGGTCAGACATTCTTACCAGCTGGCTGTCAGTTTATCTGCCATTCTCCATATTTTCATTACAGCTGCTGTGCATAAGGTGAAAATACATGCATTTGTTATTATTCACATTAGCTATGGAAATACTTCTACATGGAATAAGAGGATTGTTTGCATGAAAAGCGACCCTGTTTCTTAGACAACAAAACCACAAAAAATGCCTGCAGAAGACCTTTGGTTTGTCGTTGTGTTTGTTTGACTCAGTCTTCATGGTGACTTCTTCTTAATAGGGACTGACAACAGTTGAATAGTTTAGCGCCCTTTGGAGGGCCTCTCTTCCTTGTATTTTTTTCACTCCCTGATTCTGGCTCCGACATCAAGGCTTAATCCCTAACCCCTGAGTTAGGCTACATGTCAGATTTACTTTTTCTACCATGATCAAAAACTATTTTCCCCTCTCTGTAAGAAAAAGGAAAGCATTTCCAGTCTTCGCCTCACAGCTGTTTTGTCAGGATACCAAATGGTTATCAGACTTGTGTCTGTGCTATGTGAGCTTGCATGTGTGTATTCAAGGAAAACGGTGAAGAATCAACCTCTTTCCTCAGTCAAGCAAGAGAAGGTCAGCATCTCCTGTGCACAATTCAATCAAGAGTCAAGTGCTCTTAGAAGTAGAGCGTTTACTGTGTGACAGTCTGCATTCTGAGTTTTATTTACTCCCTCAC